AAAATAATATTTATTATTTTTCCAACAATTTAAACACTACAAAAGAAAGGAAAAAAGAACAATACAATACAATACAAAAACACTACATAACACATTAAACTAACAAAACAAAACAAAAACAGTTTAAAACACATCAAACAATTTTAATATCTTATCTTTCATTCACTTATTTCAATGACCTCCTCACGCCTCCCTTTTTGTATTCCACTTCTGTTAATTGTTTCAGCAATTCCTTTCCATCTTCCTCTGCTTTCTATTCTTTAATTATCTTAACAGATTCTAACCTTATTTTTCCCTTTAATGCTCTATTAATCTATTTATACTTAATTCCTTATAACATTTCTACTAAAGCCATATAACTTCATTCCAACATTTTTCTAACATTCATTAATTTTACAGTATTTCTGTAAATAGTCTTTAAACTTTTTCCAATCTTCTTCCACCGACTCTTCTCCCTGGTCTCGGATTCTGCCAGTCATTTCCGCCAATTCCATATAGTCCATCAACTTCATCTGCCATTCTTCCCGGGTGGGTAAATCTTGTGTCTTCCAATACTTCACGATGAGTATTCTTGCTGCTGTTGTTGCATACATAAAAAAAGTTCTATCCTTCTTTGACACCAATTGGCCAACCATGCCCAGGAGAAAGGCCTCTGGTTTCTTCAGAAAGGTATATTTAAATACCTTTTTCATTTCGTTATAGATCATCTCCCAGAATGTCTTAATCCTTGGGCATGTCCACCAAAGGTGAAAGTATGTACCTTCAGTCTCATTACATTTCCAACATTTATTTTTGGGCAAATGGTAAATTTTTGCAAGCTTGACTGGTGTCATGTACCACCTATAAATCATTTTCATTAAATTTTCTCTTAGGACATTACATGCCGTGAATTTCATACCTGTGGTCCATAATTGTTCCCAGTCAGCCATCATTATGTTATGTCCAACATCTTGTGCCCATTTAATCATAGCTGATTTCACCATTTCATCCTGAGTATTCCATTTCAACAGCAAGTTATACATTCTTGACAAATTCTTGATTTTTGGATCTAACAATTCTGTTTCCAATTTTTATTTTTCCACCTGGAAACCAACTTTTTTGTCCAGATTGTATGCCTCCATTATTTGATAATAATGGAGCCAATCTCGCACTCTGTTTTTCAATTTTTCAAAACTCTGCAATTTTAATCTGTCTCCATCTTGTTCCAGAATTTCCCAATATTTCGGCCCAAAAGGTCCCAGTTCCAGCATCTCTAGGTAGGGAGATGACCCTATCTGAAATCCATCTGCTAGTCAGTGTAGACAGAATTGCTCTAGATGGGCACATTTCTATGTAATAATTTAAATAAACCATGGTTAGGACCTTTCCAAACTATCCTGGAATTCAAGAAGCAAAGTGTGGACAGCAGGAAAATACCCCAACCCACCAACATTTATGTGGCAACGGTGAACTTTATATGTCGATTGTGTACACACAAATGTCATGGGCCACAACAGAACAGTATGTATATTGCTGTGAAGAGCAGCACAATCCCATCAACCCACATCTTCTTGGGCCCTGGCTATGATCCTTCCCCCCCACACACACACTATGTCCAAGAAGGAAACAGTCTCCCGTGTTTCACAATAGTGATGTTCCATTGCTATACCCCCTTTGGACATCACTATTGCTGAGTGTCTGCTCTGTACTACCTGAAAAGCCACATGGGAGTAGACCTTGAGCACTTGGTACTTGCATGGAGAATCTGTCCCTGGAGTGTATTCACTATGACAATGTGGCGTAGGTATCATCAGTCCGTTGCTCCTAGAGCAGCCTCCCACCTGACAGTGTATTTGTTGTTAGGTGTGGAGCAGGTAGATATGTGACTTGATCAACTGCACAACTGAGTTGCCCAATTGCCTGTGGGGCTCTTGGTAATGCAGCAGATCCTTTCAGAAAGTAGAAGCTGGCTTCAAGCCTGTTGGCTAGAGACTGTGCAGGACCTTTTGCAAGCCTTGTACGAGGCATTGAAGTCCCGATTGGAAGTCGTTGTGATGCAATATTGGAACACATTAAAGATATAACAAGTACAGTGGTACCTCAGGTTACATACACTTCAGGTTACAGACTCCGCTAACCCAGAAATAGTGCTTCAGGTTAAGAACTTTGCTTCAGGATGAGAACAGAAATCATGCTCCGGTGGCGCGACAGCAGCAGGAGGCCCCAATAGCTACAGTGGTGCTTCAGGTTAAGAACAGTTTCAGGTTAAGTACGGACCTCTGGAACGAATTAAGTACTTAACCTGAGGTACCACCGTATTGTGAATGCAATCAGATACTTGAAGCCTTATTCTCAGTTCGCAAGTATATATCCTCATGGATATAAGTAGAAAAATTGTAACCAGTAGGGCCAAATGGCAATTAAATGTATAAACTAGCACCTGTGGCAGTTGAATTTAAGCTTAAATGTATGCAAAATAAGCACAGCAACTGTTCACAACTTAATTAACTGGGAATAAATCCCTTGGGAGGATTGCCTTATCTTTCACTGCTCTTGTAACTATCTCGCTTACCACAAGGAGGCAGTGCTTTTACATTTTTACAGTACTTTAAAAAAATCCACCTAGTGATGTGTAGGGTGGGGTGGGGTAGGGAATGCTGAGATGGAAAAAATAATTATAAAGATGTTTTCTAGGGACATTACCTATTACCTGCTTTCCTAGATTATGTTTTTGTATTAGTGCTGAACTACAAATAAAGAGGGATGCGGGTGGCGCTGTGGGTAAAACCTCAGCGCCTAGGGCTTGCCAATCGCATGGTCGGCGGTTCGAATCCCCGCGGCGGGGTGAGCTCATATCTTTTGGTCCCAGCTCCTGACCACCTAGCAGTTCGAAAGCACCCCTAAGTGCAAGTAGATAAATAGGTACCGCTTTACAGCAGGAAGGTAAACGGCGTTTCTGTGTGCTGCGCTGGTGCCGGCTCGCCAGAGCAGCTTCGTCACGCTGGCCACGTGACCCGGAAGTGTCTCCGGACAGCGCTGGCCCCCGGCCTCTTAAGTGAGATGGGCGCACAACCCTAGAGTCAGACACGACTGGCCCGTACAGGCAGGGGTACCTTTACCTTTACAAATAAAGAGTGTGAGATTCTGCTTTGCTGCCAGAGCAAGACCCTTACGATGGTTTTTCAAGGCAAAATGCCTCACAATACCACATAGCTGTCTGCACCACTTTCTGGGACAACATAACGAGAAAGAAGCCGAAACTGTTGATGTCAAGATTCAGCACAAACACATCCATTTTGTGCTAATGCATCACCTTGGGTTTCACCAGTGCTTTAGCTCATGTTTCTTCTGGTTAAGCGCCAGTCTTCGGTTTGGGGCAAGGAAGGAAGGATGGAAACAGAGGCTGCAGAACTACAAATACTATTCCATTAGTTCATCATCAGATAGTAACTGTTGGATATCCCTGTTGAATTACCGATTTCTTCTCATTCTTCACTTTATGGCTGACAACTAAGGGCACTTCTAGACAGCCACTGTTTTGGGCTTGCAATTTACACAATAAAAGTTTATTCTGATCTATTGTGCAGCAATCCTGCTTCCTCCTCCACTCCCCCCCAACCCCAACCCCCGACTTTTTGCAATAAGAAAAGCAGTGGGGGAAATGCACTGGAAAGTAGGGGATAAGATTTGCTTGACTCAGCGTCAACTAACCACCCTGCAACCAAATCAGAATTAATACTCAAAAAGTAGCTGACACCGTCTCATCTCCCTGCAAACCTTCTGCAAACAAATCTGGACGAATGTTCAATGAACAGGTTGTCTGGAAGTGATCCCAGAATGGCAACCAAAAAGCTGCTCTAATGTGAAGATCCTGGAATTCAATTATCTTTAATTAAAAACTGACCGTCATGCACATTCAGTACACCCCAGTGCAGTGAGAACGTTAATGCATTTCCATGATGCTATCTCACTCAATGGTAGGGAAGAGTTGCATTGTTACCACAAACTGCAAACAGATGTGCAGCAATTTTGTTTTTTTTTAAAAAAATACTATATATAGAAACAGTCACACTATTGTTTATGGCCATGCATAGCTTAAGGAAAAATTTCATGTGTGTTTTAATAAAAAAACCTGTTTCACATTTTGTTTGGTTTAATTCACTTTATTGCCGGCTGAATGGACATTTTATATGTAATGGAAAAGTTTCTCAAGTTGAGTGGATGTGGATTATCATGACTGCTTAATGGAGCATTCTTCTGAGGCAGCCATCTATTCCAGTTTAATAAGCAATTCATGTTATTTACTCTTGCTCAGAGACATTAGTGAGGAAGAAGCAGGAACAGCATTCCATTGTTACTATTAACATTCACTTGTAAATGTTTTTCCACTTGAAGGCTCTCTAAACAGTGGATTAAAATACAGTCAATGTAAAGCAAAGAACCGGTGGGCCACCATATATTGTTGGACTCCAACTCCCATCAGCCCCATCCAGCATAGCCAATGGCCAAGAATGAGGGGAGCTGGAGTTCAACATCTGGAGGGCCACAGGTTTCCCCACCCCTGATTTAAGGAGCATATATTCCTAAGGACTGTTTATTACCATGTATATTACCAGAACAGAACACCCTTATGCCCAACCTAAAGGCTGCCCTAGAGAATTGTGAGACGGTGTTACATGATTTCCCTCAGCCAGCTCCTCCTTGTGGAGAAAATAAAGAATGAATCCAAATACCTTAAATGTGTGTAAAGGCAACACAAACTCTTCAAAGTAACTGCTGCAGAAATGCCCTATTTGGCTTCCAGGATGTGCAGCAAATGTTCAATTCTCAGCGGATGGTTAACTGAAAACATTCAAGGCTTGAAAACTTGTCTGTTGCTATTATTTTTAAACAAACTATGGTTGCTCCAGAACACCCTGGAAAAGCATTTTCTTGGACACAAGACACACAAAGTGAAGTAAAGTCCTAGATTCAAGTAGTTGACGGCTAAAGTATTAGACTATTCCTTTTGGACACCAGTGACAAAGAACAGGAATGATATATATACAGTCAAACCTCGGCTCCCAATCGCCTCCGTTTTGGAATGTTTCAGCTCCTGAACGCCGAAAACCCATAAGTAAATGCTCCAGTTTTTGAACATTTTTCAGAAACTGAACATCTGACACAGCTTCTGCTTTGAAGAGTTTGGATTTGATATTCCGCTTTATCACTACCCGAAGGAGTCTCAAAGCAGCTAACATTCTCCTTTCCCTTCCTCCCCCACAACAAATGCTCTGTGAAGTGAGTGGAGCTGAGAGACTTCAGAGAAGTGTGACTAGCCCAAGGTCACCCAGCAGCTGCATGTGGAGGAGCAGAGACGCAAACCCGGTTCACCGGACTACGAGACTACCACTCTTAACCACTACACCACACTGGCTCTCCAGAGTGCAGGAAGCTCCTGCAACGAATCAGAAGCCTTGGTTGTTGAACATTTCGGAAGCCGAATAGGCTTCCGGAACAGATTACATTTGACAACTGAAGTTTAACTGTATATATATTGTTACAGCTACATTTGGAGGGCCAGAACTTCCCATTCCTGCTTTATTGTTACAAGATTGATGCTGCCTTTTGTGTGTGTGTGTATGCACAATTACAAAAGAGTTCTATAATGTGTCGTGGAGAAGAAAGGTGGCAAGGCAAACATATTCAGGAAGAATATTCTGTGCCAAACGAAGCATGTTAAAACATTGTGTTAGGTACCTTTATTCATTTTTCTTAACAATGCACGTTTTAAATATAATTTCACTCTTAAAACAGCAAGACATTAGGGTAATTTGTAAATCTTTATTGGTATTAATACAGAACATTGCTCTTAGATATAAAAGAACTGAATGATGTCACATATAGGCCAATTCCCTCAGTATATAGCAGATATTAGTCATTTATTTAGCTATATCAGGCAAGGTGAGGCAAGCACCTTAAGTGGCAGGAACCACAGAGGGCAGCAGATTCCAATGTAGATCTTTAGTTCCCCCTTGTTCCTGATGTATATCTTCACTCAGCCCTTCTTCCCTGGTGCTATTTTGTGGTTTGCCTCAGGTGCCAAAATGTCTCAGGCCGGCCCTGAGCCACATGCCAGAAGATTTTCAGTCATTAAGGTTTTAACATGTGACCTTAGTTTCAGTGAGCAATGGAGATCTCCCTTTTTAAAAGCGGGTACCAAAGCCCTCATACGAGATTAAATGTAAGAAAGATTATTTCAACTTCTTGATCAGGTGCACCAGTGAAGTATATTGGAATAGATCAATCATGCTGAGTGGTGAAGCTAAATGTGATCAGCTTCCACAGATGCTACATGGTGAAGAAATATCTGCATAGTTATAGAGTGGTATCCAGTGGCAACTATCTATTGACAGAAGGAATTGGTCAGCAAAACAGGGAGGGCTTTTTTTTTGTCCATTTCCCCTTCCTGCATAGCACCTCTCAAAAAACATACTGGGGGGGGGGGCAAAAATCTGCCCTGAGGGGACCCCCCCAACCCTTGAGGCAGATTTAGAGAGGGCATGGAATTTAGGGGTCATTGAAATGGCCTCCTCCCCATTCCACTGGTGGATTATTTCAGTACCATCACTTTTGGATACCACCCACAGTCTGGGAAGCTAAGCAGCTCAAGAGGAAACTTCATTCGTGATCTATATAAGACTTCTTGCTAATTTGTAATGGAAAAGCCAAGTGGATTTCATACATTTCCAGAAGTTACCTGTTTGGATTTCACATGCAGAAAAGAGTTTTATATTCTTGTATCTTCTTTACATTTTTCTGTTTCTAATTGGGACTGTAAATAACCCTTTTTAATAAACTTTTCTTTTTTTAATGCAGAATAATTTTTAGCTTAATTTGATCTCCTGCAATATGCATTTAGAGATCGCAATGGCATCTCAGGCCTGGGAGAATAAAACCAACAAATATTTTGAAAATAGTCTGCTGTTTATCAGAAATATTTTATTTTTAAAAATTATATAATTGCAATGATTTAAGCTATTCTTATCCTGAGAAAAATATATCTTTCCAAAATAAGTATTCATCTCTTTTAGCTTTCATAAAGAGTGCTATGATTATAAGGGGGGGAAATAAAAGATAAAGCTTCTCCATCTAAGATAATGGGCACAATCCCTATAAAGTTCCAATTAACCCAAGTTTTTTGGTGAAATCCTAAGCACATTCACTAGGAAGGAAATTCTGTTAAATGCAGTGTGACTTAATTATGAGAAAAGTTGCTTAGGATTGGACTATTTTACATGTAAGCATTAAATCCCAATTATTTCAATAGGATTAGAGGATGAACGTGCTCTGAATTGTGTGTACTGCAAATAAGTTGGAGTATTCAATAGAAGTGCAGCACATAGCATGGGCGCATTTTAATTTTTAAAAAGTGTTTTGAGATTTATTATACTTCCAACTTGCAATTAATAAATTCTGTCTGATCTTTCTACTGAGTTGTCAATTATACAATGACATGCTTGTTTTTGCATAGACAAAATTGCTAATAATCTATGCTACAGTGCTGGATTTGAATTTCTGTCTTTTGAAGAGTTCTTTCTGCTGTTGTTCAGATGTTGCTTCTTTCTGCTGTATCAACTCAGCATCCCCTTTGGTCACCCCCCAGGCATCTGGCTTTGACAGTGAGGGGCAATATGGTCTTCCTGAAGCAGGCAAGAGATTCTCCCAGTATTCCTTCCTAGCCCTAGGTTAAAAAAGGGACAAATCCTATTCAATATATTTTTAATCAAAGAGGGATAAAGTACGAGATATTTTACAAAATGTTTTAGCATGTAAATCAACAGATTGTCATAGAATAATTTTGGTTGTAAACCTAACAGTGCAAAGGATTGTTTTAATAACTAAATTTAAGGTGTTCTACTTTTAACTATGGCTCACTATGACGCCTCTGATTTTACATACCCATGAAAAAGAGGACCTGTCCTGGAAAAAGAGGATATGTGGCAACCCTGACTTGCCAGAGGGATTAATAGTGTAATCATTCAGCCAGGACACTGAGATCTAGCACCGAGGGCCTCAAACACTTAAGGGGGCACATTGGTAGTGCTGTATTGTTGCTAATTCTCCCCACTCCACCTCTCCAAGGATATTGAGGCATAAAACCCTAACATATCATTTCTGGAATACAGGTGCTTTTGAAAGGGTTATATGCATATTTCCTAGTTTCTTTTCCTCCTAAGGCCAGGTCAAAAATAACATTGACATATATAATATAGTGAAAAGGGGGAGGGGGCTAAAATGAACTTTGTAGCCCCAGGAATATGAATAGTAGGTTTCCAGAAATCTCGACTATAGCTTTAAACATTGTTGAATGTTCAAAGGCAGCACATTGTTGAACTTCAAAGGCAACCTATATAATGATTGCAATGTAAGACATTTAAATGAGGTTTCAGGACCTCAGACAACCTTCACAACCATGATACAGATATATGCTGAACTTTATAGTGGCCCTCTGGCTTAGCTGCAACAAAAAGGAAGGCAATACCACACAATAACAAAAGAATGCCCAACATTTTGTGTCAGGGAGGGAGAATATTTGGAAATCTAAGAAACTGTTATGAGCACCACAAAATACCCATTTCACAGAATGAAAGTGGTGCTGTTCAGAACTGCCTCCACTCCCTGAAACAAAATCTCCCCAGGGGCCCAGCAACATATCTACATACAGCTCAAAACAAAGAAAACACAGACCTCCCAAAAGAGAAACCCCTGGCCTGAAATAAAACCCTCACAGGTTTTTTTTAAAAAAAATTAAAAATTGGTAGGGACAGAAGGCCTTGATGGGCACTGCATTGGGCGCCTAAGAAGTAGTATGAACAGAACAAGTTTATTATGAAATTGATATCTAAATGTCCCAACATGTTTGGAGCATGAGGGGAAACTACATAACTAAGAAGCTAGTATTCTGATTGAATTCAGTCTCTCTAGCTTTATTATACATAGCAAATGCTTCCAGCCTAACATGAAAGGAACAACATTTATATCATCAGGAAATCTGAATGAAACTGTACTGTACAATGGCTGAATAACAGGTACTCTAGTAAACTGGAGGGTATTTAACTCAGTCACTGTATTGATCTAAATGCACATGTTTAGTAATATCCTGCATCCATTACTTCCATCTTGGTGTTTAGGTCTATAAAATTACTGTTCAAAACTGCTTGTGTGCATGGTTTTATACCATGACATAGAGTTCTACTACTACCACCAAGAAATTTGCCATATGAAGCAATGCATTTCTGAAAAAGAAATATATATAGTAGGTTATTTTAGTATCAGAGTTAAAAATATACTTTACCTTGCTCTGACCCATGGTTTGGTATGCATGCTCAATTCGCTCCCCCAGCTGCCATGTTTTTCAGAGGCTTGTGGTAAAAATCCTCTTTCAGGGGCCAGCTCCTCTGCAATTGCTCTGATGTGATATGGTTCAAACCCACAGCACCCTCCAATATATCGAACCCCCAAATTATAGGCCTCTCTTGCATATTTGTGAACATCCCATCTGGATAGAATTCTTGGCTCCAAAGCTGTAATGATATGTAATTACTTTAACTTCATTATTATCTGAACATTCGGTGATAAAAATCTGTGCAAAACACTACCATTGTCATCCAAATGTTTTACAAAATAGGTTTGTTTTCTTTAGACAGCGCTAACCAGGACAGACAATTGTGTATTTATTCACAACTATTTAGTTTGCAAACAGCAGCAAGGAGTCTCTTTCCAGGTACCATTAGGCAGAGCCACAATAGCCACTCTTGGGAAGCAGGTTTTCGGTTTCCAAACTGACTTTTCTTAGGTAGGGCTCCCTATTCCACAAAGTGATCTAAACAAATTTTTCAGCACTCTTTTCTAGTTCCAAGAATTACCTACATGTTTTCCCAACCAAATGGAATAGATCATCTGAGGAACAGGGAGATTCTATTTATTTATTTTTAATCCCCAGTTCAGCATACAGGGTGGGAAGCTTTAAGCATACTGAGATGGGGATGAAAATCAGTAGCTTTCTCCTGCTCCTTAGATGATATTTGCAGATCATCTGGGAAGCAGATGGCCCAATTTCATGCCAGTCTCAGCACAGACATCAAGCCCAGCCCTATAACAGGATGAAAATAACACACACACCCCTCAGCTGATCTGCATGGTAACTTTTGGGCTCTGCCCATGTATGAAATGTGACCCCAACCCTAATAGCTTTTTGCTGAGTAACGTGGTCTGTGGCCTGAAAAATGGTTCCTATTCTTGCTATAGACGTTTACCTGCCAGCAATCTTTAGGTTTAAATATTTAGACTCTGACCCTACTGTTTTAGTGTTGTATTTTATAATTAATCTAAGTAAAGGTAAAGGGACCCCTGACCATTAGGTCCAGTTGTGACAGACTCTGGGGTTGCGGTGCTCATCTCGATTTATTGGCCGAGGGAGCCGGCATTCAGCTTCCGGGTCATGTGGCCAGCATGACTAAGCCGCTTCTGGCAAACCAGAGCAGCGCACGGAAACGCCGTTTACCTTCCCGCCAGAGCGGTACCTACTTATCTACTTGCACTTTGTCATGCTTTTGAACTGCTAGGTTGGCAGGAGCAGGGACCGAACAAATGGGAGCTCACCCCGTCGTGGGGATTCGAACCGCCGAACCCACAGCACTACCCGCATCCCTATAATTAATCTAATTGACTATAAATCACTCTTGAAATATGAATAGAATGATGGTGCATTTTAAAAAAATTAATAATACATTTTATACAGTGCAACATGGCTTCAGTTCCAGACCAACTGTATGCTTTTGAAGGCAATGGGGCCTATTTCCAGTACATGGACTGGATATTTGATGTATACTGTATACTGCTATTTGATGTATAAGTGCTATTTTTCTCGCAGCTTCACGCTAAGAACAGCAACAACAACAACAAAAGTCTTACCAAAAGGAAATTCAGGTAGATCAATGAACCCCTGCTTCCCACAGTCCGGAGTATGAAACGCAAGTGGCTGTGACATGAGGTGCGCTTTTAGTTTAGCAGCTGCCAAGCCCTCCTTCATGAGTTTCAGAGTTTTGAGGGAAGTAGCTGGATCAAAATGGCAGTTCACTCCAACAATAGACGCACCTAAAGAACAAGATGTGAAGTGTTTCACAATATCTTTCAATTCAATGTTTTTAAACTAATGTGATCTGTGTATAAAGGGCCCCTTGTGATATGGTGTTTTTTTTTATCTGCACTTTAAATATGCATGTATGGAAACAGACATAAATAGCAAAGTACTTATTGTCTTTGAAATGCTGGGAGCGTCAGATTAAAGTATGAGATCCACACCTTGCAGGACTGGGCTAAATGTACTCTAGACCTGGGGTGGGCAGACTTCAAGCTTGAGGGATTTGCTAAGTTCCCACCCACAAACCCAAAGAGCACAAGCTGGCATCACTAAATAAATAAATAAATAAATAAATAAATAAGTTTGTATTCCATTCTCCCCGGCTGAGGCCGGGCTCAAAGCAGCTAACATCATAAAAACAACACAATATGCATAAAAACAGACATCAATTAATTAAAATACATCTTAAAATTAATTCTGACAAGTTAAAATCTGGGGCAGGTGGCAATTATCAGGTTGGAATCACATGCAAAATACTACCTTAGAAAGGGAGGTAAATGTATACTTAGAATTAAAGGGCAGGATGTACCTCTTAGTGATACCTCCCAGTCCAGAAATTTGGTTGTGTGTGTTTTTGTTTTTTTTGCTCACAGTCCTTTCACACAAAAAACCCATTCCTGGTTCCTCCCATCCAAAGCTTATTCGTTTTAGCCACCTAATTTAAGTGTGGAATTGTCGGTATTGTAAAGCAACCAAGTATGGGTGTGGGGTACAAGCTTCAAGTATTTGTGCCGGGATTTGCATCTCGTGCACCTTTTCAGGCAGAATCAAGAGATTGATAGCTGTTCCCCACTTGCCTGTGGATGGGGCCACGTGCCTGTTTTTCTGTGCTGCAACAGCTAAAGTGGGCAACAGGGTCATTTGCAAAGCACTTGTTAAAATGCCATTTTTACTTTGAGCCTTAATAAAGCAGATTCGAAATTTTAAAATAAAAAGTAGAACTATTTGAGTAATTGGTCCATTAGGGAGAATGAGGCAATGCCCCCCCCCCCACAAGCTGGGTCCACCATGAGCCAACAGGCCTTCTCTTTCACCTTGTCCAATATTTTCCTACTCAAACATGCACCTACTTTTGCTGAGCTTCTTTCATCTCATTCCATATCGCTAATATTTTAACTTGTATCACGATGGATACGTCAAATATAGAATCTTACCAGCATTTACAAGTTTGACAGCACATTCTCCAGGTAATATGCCATGCATATCTCCTTCTGGACCAATACAAAGAGTTGCTGCAACTGGAACCCCAGCTTCTTTTAAGGTTTCAACTGCCCACACAGCTTCTTCCACATGTTCAAAATACTAAAAAGAGATGAAAGGAGTAAGTAAGAGAGAGAGAGAGAAGAGAGAGAAGAGAGAGTTCAGAGCATAATACTACCTTTGGTGTGAAAATGTGACAGAAACAAACAAAAGACTAAAAGAAAAAGTACTTTTTAAAAAAATTGGGATACGATGCAAAAACCCACCCCCTGACAAAAGGGCTTTGTGGAGGGTCAGAGCCATCGTTGCATCTGCCCCATATCTATGCATGGTGGCTGTGATGAAACGGAGGTGGACTACGATTAGCCTTGATCACTGCTGGAGCTCCAGACTGGCACATTGATCGACTCCACAAGGGGCCTAAGCCTAGCTCTGCTCCCTCCCCACCTTTGGAATGCTCCATATTTCAAGGCTTTCTGCTGCCCTCCAATGGCAAGAAGAATACCACCAGTGGGCCACTCACCTTCAGTTGGGAGACACCTTTGCTGAAGCCAGTGCTTCCTCTTCCCAGCCCAGTGGAGAGGGAAATGAGGATTCCTGTTATTTTCTAAATATTCAAAACTTTCCCTCCAAAAATTGCATTTGCTGAGTATCTTTCATCATATACTAAACTCATTTGTACCTCAGGGTATCTGTTTAAGGGTTCTACCAACCTACTCACTGAGCATCTATCCTGATTTGTTCATGTAAAATTTATGTGGAGGCTATATGATATCAGTTTATTGAGCATTCATTCTGATTTGTTTGTGCAGAGGCTAGGCCCAAGACATTGTTATCCCACACCTTCCAGCATTGGAGGGGGGGGCTGAGGGGCACATGGCCCTGGGTACAAATTTCTGAGGGGGTGCCCCACCCCCAACTCTGGCACTCTTGGATGAAACAGATTTTCTATATCCATTTCAATAGGGGTTTAGGCCCGGTTTTGGCATGCCTTGGTCACTCTTTGGGGGTAGGTGGGTTGCAAATCTGCAGAGCCCCATTGTGCAAGCAGTTTTTCAATTCACACAAACTCTGGATATGAACCTATCACAAAAGCCGTTTCCCCCATTATCACCACTTACTGTTTCCTTAATGGTTGCATTTACCTCTGCAATTAAGAAGTCCACATTCTTTTTAGTAAAAACCTCTAGCTGCTTTCGAAAGATTGATTTAACTTCAGCTTCACTCTTGCTACTTAAGTATGAAGGGGTTTGGCTGACGCCTCCAGCCACCAAAGCATCGCCTTCTTGAGCCACTTCTTTTGCAATATCACAGGCTGCTTCATTTACTTTCTTGCCCTGATAATACAGAAATAGCATTAGTATGGACTTACACCATACACATACCTACACTTTTATTGTAGGAAAAATGAATACACGTTACATTTGTTGTCCAGCTAAGAAGTCTCACATTTTACCAATCATCACAGTACAGTTTCATAGGGGGTGGTTTTTATTAGAGGACAGTGTAAATGTTTGCCTGCTTCGTTTTTGGGTCCAAAAAAGTATCTTCAGAGGTCCCAAAAATATTTCCTGAAAATAACTCCTTCTAATCACAACATAAATATAGTTCGCCTCTCTTTGCTGCCATTGAGCCAGCCTGCTTCTGTTTTGGCAAAAGCAACTAAACAACCAACAACAACTAACTAGGTCTTCATCAGTAGTCCCACCCAGACAGTCAGGAATCATGCAGCAAATGTCATTTATTCTGTCACTCCTGGCAAGCAAAGGTAATTTAGAGTGAGGACATATGTGATCCTAACCAACTACCTAAAAATAGGCAGATGATTCTTAAAAGATTGAAGTGGAGAGTGCCTCTCAGTGTTGACAAAAGTGTCTGTATCTCTTTTCTGGTTCTGTCCTGACATTGCTGACATGTTCTCAAGTGAGAGATTTAAAAGCACCTGAGGAAAATATTAGGGGGAGGGAATATTTTCAAGCCTGAAAGGTAACCACAGTGTTACGATATCTCTAAGGAGGAGCAAAGGACAAACTGGCCTCCAACTTTAGTTTCTAGATTAAAAAATAGTAACTAGGTTTTACTGAAAAATCAAACAGAAACATTCTTCTTGGCTATTCATGTCTTGCACATAATATTATTTCACACTATAAGGAGTTACTTCTGTATATGGGTATACAAACTTTTCTTTGTCACAATTAATTGATAAATTTAGCCCTTGTCAGCTCCTGTTTTCCACAGTATTAAACAACTTGAAAGTGCTTTGTGAGAAATAACTACAGTAAGAGTAACTAGCTTGCTTCTTTCATCTGACAGGCGGTTGTCCCTGTTTTTTTTTGAAGGTAATCCAGGCAGCATCTCTGTCTTGCCATTTCAGTATACTAAATCTTCATACATTTTATTTCTATTTGAATTTTTAAATCTACATCTTTGAATTAATGAGTTATGTCTTGCAAAGATGACCCATGTTTCTGCATTGAGATCATGTAACTCTACTTGTCAATAAAGATAAAAAGCTGTTGAAACTACTCACAGAATGTTTATCAGCTACATAGTTCCCCCTGTTTTCTAATTTGTCATCACTGGCATAAAAGGTGAATGTCTGTAAAACATTTGATCCAGCCCTGAGGAATTCTCGATGCAGCTGACGAACTGCAAAATGTTTAAACAAAACGGAGAGTCAAATATGATGTTAATATTGTGGCAGCAGCTCCTTTTACATGGTATTGCCTTATCATGTTCCATTTTATGACCTACACATAGTGATTCGCTTCATTTTTTTTTTTAATAAGATATTTATTAAGGTTTTTTGAAATATTACAATAAAAATGAAAAAAAGAGAAAAATACAAAATAAAAACAGTTAAAGACACACATATTTTCAGTTACTTATTTTCCTTTAGCTTGTTTCCCGGACCTCCTCGTACCTCCCTTTTTTGTATTCCACTTCAATTTATTGGTTCAGCAAATCCTTACCATTTTTCTACTTTCTTTATCTTTGGTGCCATTCCTCTAGTTATCCATATTTGGTCAATTCTAGCCCATGTCATCTTGGCTTCAGAAAAGAAGGTTCCCTCTCTTCCCAAGGGGTTCTTTACTCTCCAAATATCCACTAAGTCTATATTGTCTGTCATCTCAAAAAATGTTTTCGGTAGTCTACCATCCTGTCTTTGTGCCTTATCCATATTTGTAGATACTACTCCATTCATGTCCCCCATCAAAATCAAATTGTAATCCAAATAGTCCAGTAAGGTCTCGTGCAACTTTTTAAAGAATTCAGATTTCCCCTCATTCGGTGCATAAATTCCTACTATCAAGAATTTCTCTCCTTGAACTTGAATTTCAATTGCCAAGAATCTTCCTTGGTCATCTTTAAAAATTAATTTCGGTGATAGTCTCTCCTTTGCATATATCACAACTCCTCTTTTTTTTAACTTTGTCAGATGAGATAAACTCCTGTCCCAATCTTTTATTAATCAGTAGTTTCCTGTGTAGCCTTGTTATATGTGTTTCTTGTAAACAAATCAAGTCCAATTGTTCCTTTTTTAGTAGATGAAAAACACTTTTTCTCTTTCGAGGGGAGTTCAAACCATTACAATTCCAGCTTAACAGTTGCAGAGCCATGATGGGGTTACTTCACTTTACCTCCAACTGCACCAAGTGTCTGTTCTTGTTCTGTAGGTGGTGTCTCTTTCTCTGGGCCGTGCAATCCAAAAGATAAGTTTGCTATGTCTAGTATGCCTTTTGGCTCTTCTCCAGATTCCACTTCTTTCTGTAGGTCTTCTTCGTGATCTTTCAAGAACCTGTCCTTATCATTGACTGATCTTATTTTTATCTTTCTTCCTTTGTATTTAAAGGATAGGCCTTGAGGAAATTCCCACCTGAAAAGAATTCTATTTCTTTTCAACAGGGCAACTAGGTCTCCGTAGTTAAACCTTAAGTCCAAAAGATGTTTTGGAATGTCCTTAAATATCACCACACTTGAGTCGTAAATTTCCAAAGTCTTTTGATAGTGCAAATTCAAAATTTTGTCTCTCTCTTCTTTTGTTCGAAGGGTAATCAAGCAGTCCCTCACCTTGTTCCTGCTTTGTCCTCTTCCAGGTCTAAATGCATTCACTATCTTGAATTCTTCCTTCCCCAAGTCCTGTTGCCAAAATTCTATAAATTCCTGTGTAAGAAAGTCAGCCAGGTTATCTTTCTCCCGTTCTGGTACAGCCCTGATTCTTAAATTTCTTTGTCTCTCTTTCAATTCAATCATAGACAATGTCAAATCGTGGTCCTCCAATTTCTTATATACTGGTGGTATCTTCTCTTGAATAGCAGTTGCAATATCTTTTGCTTCTTCAGCTATCTTTCGGGTCGAAGCAGATTCCTGTAATAATTTTTCGATAGACTCTGTATTGGTGTTCACCTTCTGTCCCAAATTATTAATACTTGTAGTATTCAGATCAATTTTACCTGATGCTTCAGCTACTTGTTTATTAGTCTCAGCTACCTGCTTAGCTAAATTTTCCAAAGATTCATTAATTTTTCCAAGTGCATGTGCCAAAATGTCTTCGGACGACATAACTTTTGGTTTGACCTGTGGGTGTGCAGCCCCTGATGTTCCAGATGCTCCAGATGTTGAAGCCCTTCGCTGCTGCACAGTATCTGTCCGATAGTGTCTGCCAGACCTAGTAGTTTTTTCCTGCGCCAGCTCTATCTTTCCTTTCCCATCTGCCATAACACTCTCATGAGAATTCAAGGTCGTTCCCACAGTTGAAAGTTTGTTTTGGAATGGAATTTTCCTCTAACCCAGTTGTTATTGTAACAATGTCCAGCCTCCTCTAGGGGGACACAGTAACAGCCAAAGCTTGCAACTTTTAAGAACAAAGATGGTCTTTATAAGTCCCCCAATTCACTTAAAAACAACAGTTTCAATGCACTTGAACAGTTACTTTAAAGCCAGGAGAAGTCCAGAAACACTATATCTCTTCTGCAGAGTTAGCTGTCAAAAATCCTCTGCTTACCGATAGGCTTTCCACTGAACGGCATTCCTTGTCTAGGGGCAGTCCGTTCCCAGGTTTTAAGCAGCAGATTTTAGCTTCCTTTCCCCCTTTTCTTTGCAGGTAAATACAACTCAAACCTTCCCCCCTCCTCTCCTGCAATCCAGAGGGGAGACCACTTTCCAGATGTTAAGATTTAAGTCTTTTTTCCGAACGTCTCTCTATGTTTCCGCTTTACAGTCTCTTTGCTTTGAACTATTTACAAGAAAGGAAGGCAGACTTCCTGGTTATACCTTCCCGCTTCGGTGCCGAATTAGCTGTTTTTTCTCCTTTTAAATCCAATTTAATCCTACTCACAGGTAGTTGCTTTCGAAATCCAATTATCCCAGGAAAACGTCAGCGCTCTCCGATAACGGCTGTGTGGCTTCACTCCGCGGAAGAAGCAGTCGACTCTCAGCACCGCGCCGCTCACCCCGTCCCGCTCCGGAGCCCTTAAAAGGGTCCCTTCGCAACTTGGGGGGGGCGCAAATGGTGCCCGCCGAGTCCCCACGTTCACAGGCTTCCCCCGCCTGTGATTTTTAAAGGGTCCCCACTTTGCTGCAGCCGTAAGACCCGATCCCGCGGAGCTGGTCCCTCTGAGAATCAGAGGGAATCCGCCATTAGCGATGGCACTGACCCGGAAGTCCGTGATTCGCTTCATTTTTAACTGAGTTGTTATACTGTTAAAAAGAAACACTCCCATTGATTTATTACTAAAGGGTATGCGTATTTAATCAATTAAAAAGTCTGCACATTAATTTCCCAACTTGCAATTGGTACATGATTAATGCAAAAGGCATCTGAGACTGTTAAACCATTTCACTTGTAGATCTGACAGTTGGACAAAATTGGATTTGAACCAGGGAGGTTTAAGGTTCATCTCTATTGTAGAGATATCTTGGGAAAGCAAAATCACTCTCTCTCTCATCATCTTTCTCCTGCCTGTAAAATAAGAACAATGCTGACTTGAGTAGAAGTATAAATAAATAGGATTCATATGATAATAGCTGATGAAAGACTTCCAGGTAGATCTGAAGTTGCAAAAGAAAGGCACATTCTTTCCTTTCCTTAGAGCAATAGCCAGTGTTATCCAAGCAGATTTCCCCTTCTTCTCTTTCCCTCTGCAGCCTCCTGCACTCCTCCCCCAAATTGCTCTAGACTCTCAGGGACATCCAACTCCCAAATGACTGCGATCTACTCAAAGTTATTGAGCTTTTTTGGGAAAGGCAAAGTTGTTGAACTTTTTTTAGGAAGCCACAGGTTTTCCCCCCTTCTGGGTGCGGGGGAGATCACTGAGGGCCCAAACACCCCGCGATCTACAAGTAGATCACCTGCAGAGGGTCCAAAACCCTACACAGCAGTTTTAGTAGGCATGCAAGGAGCTGCATGAGGAGGAGAGGAAGGGGAAGTCCTGTTGAATGGCTAGAAGTCTGTTCACTACTGGATATTGTCTATAGCCAATTAAGCTATTTTTCCTTAGTCTACTGGTGCAATATGCAATAGCATTTTTAACAGGCAGTGTATCAGAAGTAGATTTTAAATGGGAAATGTGCCACCCACAACTACAATGAATTTATAGAGACAGTAGAACACAGACAGCCAATGCAGTGTCCTCCAGATGTTACTGGATCCCAACCTCAATTGGCCGTAGTCAGCATGACCAAAGGTCAAGGATGATAGAAGTTGTATCCAGCAACACCTGTAACCATGCTGGTATCCCTGCAGTGCAGGATACTTAATGTGCACAGGTAGGCCACTAATTACTTCTACTCGTTACCTCATTTAGGAAGCATTTTCTGCCACAATAAAAAGGACAAGCAAATGTGTTTATAATTATGATGCCAGAATAGCTGTCTCAAACCCCACAGCAGTTACTGTGCAATAGCTGGCACCATCCGCACTCTAACCAAAGGCAAGAAAAAACAGGCTCTGTTTCTTCACTTCAAGACTGTTTGGTTTCCTATCCAGTTTCAAGTTCACATCTGACACTCTCTGTCACCCCTCTCACCCCCCCATTTTGACCCATACAAATGTAATTTAAGAATGATTTAAGGTCACATCTATTTCACACTTAGAACACTGTTTGCCTGACTGGTATGGACTTTCGCAATACACCCCAGTTGTGAAATAGTTGTTTGTTGCATTTTTAAAATCTTGCCTTACTTTAAAGGAGCTGGAGTGATACATGGAAAATTGTAGTGGTGGACAGAAGTAGCAGCATCAGGCTTAATTTCACTCTCCCCATACTGTGGCAGGGACAGTTTTGTGTTTGAAGAGGTACAGGTTTTGCCAAATGATTTTGAACATAAAGCTACTACTGAAAATGGTACCAGAACACCTAGTATTCAACACCATCAGATACAAACAATGTGGTGGATTACTACTGTTCACCTGACCTCCTGTTAGTTGCATCACTGCTGCTTACCAGGAGGCAGAGGGGTGAAGTGCTGGCAAAGCCTGCATGTTGCAAACGCAGAGGCAGAGCCAATCCAATACTCCCATTAGTGCATTTGCACCATAGCCACCATCTCCCTCCTGGTAAATATCGACAATGCAATGACCACAGGTCAGGTGAGCAGTGCCGTCCCACCACATTGTCTGCTACTATAGAAGCAGAGGATAACCAAAAGACCACTGATTACATTAATATGGCTTTTTTGTGATTATCACAGTATTTGCTTGCATCCCCTTGTCTTTGTAAATCCAGGACCCTATCTTCAAAGACCTATAGATGCCTTCAGACACAGGATAACAAACAGTATACTGTAAATCCTTATTTTAAGGCAGTCCCGAAACTGCAAAAATATTTTTTTAAAGATTAAATTTTACTGATATAATGTTAAAGCAATATTTCTGTAATAACCAGTTCAAAGTGTCATAAAATACAAAATCAGGTATAAATCAGAAAATGTGCCCATTAAAGAGCCCATTAAAATTTGTTGAATAGAATCAATTTTCATTGGCCTGTGTGTTGTGCCCAACAGCTCCTATTTAGCTAAAGTGGACTATGATTAAGTCCATTGAATGAAATGGGATATGAACTAATTGCACCCGACTTATTCCACTGATTTCAAGGAGCATAAAGCACAATCCTCTACAGCCTTACTCATTGTATTTAATGATGTTTACTCTCTAGTAAGTTTGTTTAGGATCACAGCTTTTATCATGACTAACTTTATCAAGCATAGGGGTCAATGTGTATTCTACAACTGGGAACTTTACACAATTCATACTGTATACATTGCAGATTAAACTAACCTGCTTCTGGGTGTTCTAGAGCAGCTTCTGGAGTCCAAGGCCCAGCTTTTACATATCCCCTCTTTTCGAGAGCAATGACAAATCCTCCATCACCAATCACAATTTCTCCAGCATCTAGACGTTCAAGAATACCCTAGAAGAACAACAACAACTACTACATAGTGTTCATATAATATTTTAGAACGTTCAGATAAAAGGTCTGCAAGCAACTTATATCTGAAAACATATACATAAATACATTATATCATGGGGAGGAGAAAAAATCATAAAAGGCATTAACATTTCATACAACATATAAAGTTAAGCTGCTGCACTTAAGTGATCTTCCTGGGGTGCAAGCCTGGGCAGTGTGTATGGAGGTCCTGGGATGTCTAGACAAGACCCCACTTGTTGGTGTGGTCCAAAGGAAAGCAGAGCAATATGTCTGATTCCAACAGGGCAGCAGGAGTTGCCAGAAGGAGGCATACAAGGCACCATCCACTCATCTTAAGACTCCATAATGGATTTGTGTAGGGTTTACTCCTTAGCGTTATCTTCTCCACAAGATATCACACAAGGCAGCGGAGGTTTAGGATCAGAGTTTTCATTTTCTGAAAGTAGATGGGCTACTTTCCCAAGTTGATGAGCCCCATATGCCCCTAATTTCCCTCTACAGGATATGCAGAAGCTGCCTTCTTGACCGTTGGACCCACTATTGATCTTGTCCACTCAATCCGCCGCAGTCTGTCTTTGTGTGTAAGGGAAGTCCCTAACTTGCCAAGGGTTTGAGACTCATCGGCTACCCTCATCTGGTTTAGCTTGCCAGTTGAAGCTGTTCCTGAAGCTGTCGCATACTGACAGCTTCTAGGAGCCACAGATGAGAGCTGATATTTTCTGAAGAAACTTTGTAAGATTCCACTGGTGGATTGCCATGTAGAAAGCAGCTACCATCAACCATGCCAACACATCTGTCTTAAATCTCTCTTTGTGTGCTAGTTTTATATCATTCCCACTGATAAGAGAATGCTTGCCAGGAGGCCTATGCCAAGTTTATTACTCAACCCTCTGAAACTCACACAAAATCATTTTGCGTCATTGCATTTATTCTTTAAATGCAAGACTGTTACAACAGCCACTAAATTCACCAGTTGTGTGCTGGATTCACAGAGCACAATTTTTTAACTTGTAATGGACTAGCTACTTTGAATCTGCACGACAAAAACTACAGGAAATATGTAGAGGGTCACATTCAGCTTCCAGGATGGAAATTACCCATTCCTGATTTAAGAGGACTATTGAGACCCTGATAGGTCAAAGGAACACAATCTTCACCCTTCATAGCACTTCATTATCACCAATGCACTTCTTGGAAATCCTCTTCATTACAGCAAATTCGTATATATATTTTTATAAAAAATTATTTGTACAAAATAGTTTACTCCTTTGAACATATAGAAACATATCTGGTAGTTATTATGGGCCTAAAAGGAAAAACAATACTTGCATTCTGTAAAATACCTAGTCTGGAGGTGATTCTTACCACTGACAGCATTTATAGTATATCATACTAACACCTCTTAGGCGACCAGGTAGACTTGAACCTATTTGTGCCCTATATTGGTTTTTATATCAAGTCTCTTTACCTCTCCTATTAGGTTTTAGTCATATACACGATCAAGCAACAAATATTTAGATGAATTCCTTTGAAATCACACGGAGTAACGTTTATGAAAGCAATTAACAATGAGTCTTCTAGTGAAGCTTTCTAATGACAATGAAGATTCACATCTGCGGGACTGCAAATTTGCATATTCATGGAATAGGAAGTGACCCAACAATTCTGACTGATTACATTTTTATGCAGAATCCTGGCCAAAGCATGGAAAAAGTGTATCTATCTAAATCAGTATCACATTCAGTTGTTCCAAATGCAGAAAACACACTTTGCTATCATACTGAACATTTCCATAGCAATGTGAATAATCAGATTTATACACAAAATAAATGAAAAGTCTTGGGATATAAAAAAATTGTCAGAACCAGGTGCCCCTGGCTTCAATACGTCCCCTGGCTTACACTTCACAGCGTCTAGGGCAGCTGAGATAGTTAAGGGTGTAGACCAGTGGTTCCCAACCTTTTTTCGCCCATGACCCACCTAAGCATCTCTAAAATCCTGATGCCCCCCCCCATATATAATTCTTATTATTTGAAAAGTGAACTCCTGTTCACGTGGAGGAAGCCTAAAGGGCCATTCACTATTAATAATTCATTCTCGAACTGCCCACCTTAAAAATCAAATTGCCCCCCTGTGGGTGTAGACCGAGGTGTCTATTTCTATACCTCAACTCGTGGAGCGGACTTTCACCTTTGACCCTCTTGAAGCCCCCAGGGTCTGCCTATTAGCAAAGCCCCAAACGACCCCTCTCTCTCGCTCACAACTTTTCTATTAAAACACCGTTGTTCTTTTTCTCGATGACGCCTTGCAGGAGATAATCGACCACCTCTTGCCCGAACACTCCGAAGACAGAGAAAGGTCTCTAAGCTTGACGGCTCTATTACACCTCGGGGCTTCTCTTCCCAGCAAAATCAAGCAAGCAAGAGCCCCAAGCAGCCGGCGGCTTTACCTTCTTGTTTTTCGGGGTCCCTCCAATAGGTGCCATGATCTGCCGTCCTGTCGATCCTGTCGGGAACTGCACTTTCCCTCCTCTGCCGCCGAGACAAACAAACGCAGCACGCCCCAGGAAAGAGGCACAGAGAACGGTGCAAAGCGCTCGCGCGTTTTATATCCTTGGGAAGGGGCGGCCGGAGGTGGGTGGATCCTGAGCTGGACGTCGATTGGAGAAAGAGGCGTCTCAATATAGTTGCGTTCGCCCGGGCAGGACCCTGCTCGGACTTGCTCCTTTCTGCGAAGGGCGAAAAGTAACGGTGCCTCGAGAACTCAAGCACCGGATAACGTCTCTCTCACTCTCGAAGAAGCAGCACTGTAGAATCACGGCTACTTAAACGCTCCATACATTTAAAGCGCCACTTCGAGCATTTGGCAACTCATAGCTACCTATAAATAATTATTAGGGTGTTAAGCGCTAACGGCGCAGCATTTTGCCTCGCATGCAGCAGGTCCCAAGTTGGGAAAAACTCGTGACTGAAACCCTGGGCAGCCGCTGCCAGTCAGTGTGGGCAATACTGAGCAGGATAGACCGATGGTGCCGCTCAGTATATGGCAGCTTCCTACGGGGTGAGAAGAAGCAATGCATCAAATTCCCACGTAATTCCCCTCGCCTCCCTCAAGCGCCTAGTTCATGGATGCCACAGATGCATCATATTTTTCAGTGTGCTGTTAGAAGCTGGCTTCCAACGGCCATTTTCAGGATTTCGTGTATACTTCCCAAGGTTTTGAGATTCCTCACTGCAGGAAGCAAGTCATTTTTCCTAAACCCCACTCACCCAAATATGTATCTTTACCGGGTATTAAAACATGGGCCGCTTACAATGGGTGGGAGAGGGCGCAGGAGGAAAAGCAGTTTTTAAAATACGAAAGAGTTTGGGTGCGCCTCAACCGCGTTTCGCCTCCCCTCACGGCGCCAGTGTCGGTTTCTTCCTTAACTTCCCCTGAGCCTCAGTTTTTGTCTCCTCGCCCTGACACCCGCATCCCTAGCTCCCAAGAAGCCATTTCGGCGGGGGGAACCCATCCAGCAATTGCTCCCTTTTCCCCCACCCCTCAAAGGGAGAAAGGTTTAAAGATAACAACAACACCCCCATAAGCTGCTCTTTCGCCTTCGAGGGGCGGTCCTGGTTCCCTCCGCCGTGGGGATTGGCCGCAGAGTGAGCTCTGCCAACTGGAAAACGACGGCTCAGCCTGTCTGTCTTGTGGGGAGCAGCGGGAGCGGGGTGCACATTGGGAAGGAAAGAGCCTCGGCTGGCCGAGCCACCAGCTCCTGAGACAGACAGAGAGAGAAGAAGCCATGCTCCGGGGAGCCCTGCGGTCGCTCCCGCCAAAGCTGTGGGGCAGGGAGCCCGCCTTCTCGCTCCCTGCTCGGCCTTTTGCCTGCAGCCCGACCACTGAAAGGTGGTGAGTCCAGCTTCAGGCTCTTGCCTCCACTTCTTCTCTCGCCGCGTTATACTCTAGTCTGGCCTCAAATAAAGGCTGATTCTGTGTGCATAGGCAGCCAAGCTGCTCTGTGGTGTTGGTGGTTGTGTAATTTGTCCCAGACCCGAGACTGGGAAGTTTTGGGGTGCTCCTGACTTAAAAAGGGATGTTTTTCCTATTTCGTGAAATTGGTCTGAGGCAGAGAGACTTTGGGTTGCGTTTTACATGCGTAAAATTATTAAAACATAGCAGGGCGAGGATGCACTTAATTACACCTGAACAAATTTAATGTAGATCCTGTGAGAAGTCAAATTAATATTTAGTTACATTTTTATTGTATTGTTCCTTCACAGAGTTCAGGGTAGCATACATTGTTCTTTCATCTTCACAACAGCGGAGAAAAACTCACCCCTTTTTCACCTGGGAAGCTTTGTGGTTGAATAAGGATTGGAACCCAGGTCTTAATGTCCTAAGTCATTTCTAAAAGACCGCTTGCCTTTGATCCATTATTGGCATACTTAGAACTCTACAAAATTGCCCTTTTCTCCTCCAACAGTGTCTGTGGAGGTGTTTTTGGGGTGCATTTGTATGCATCCTGTTGTAGCCCATACTCTGTAACTCCTATGCAGGTGTGAAATGCCTTAGCTAAAAAGGTAAATACTTTCTCCGAAATCCTTGCATGTTGGTGACACTGAGATGTCCCTCCCTCTTCCCACAACTATAACCTTTCTGTTTAGAGATCAACCAAAATTAAGAAAGGTCCATTCTGTGTCCATTCCCACATGGTGTATTATTAATACACACTGAAAGGTAAAACACAACTGAAGACTTTTGAACATTAAATTGGTGTACCTCAGCTCAATATGGAAGTTGCCTTTAGGGTGAATGTGCCTGTGAATGGTTGTGAGTAGTGAACAGTGGTGGCTGCTCCTCCTCACTTGAGCTGGTAGAACAGTGGGCAGGGCAGCTAACAGCAACTGGAGCTAGGGATAAGCAGAGCCAGAGGTCACAAGAGGCAAGCTCACTTAATCCAGAAACACACACTGGGCACTTCTAGACTGTCGCCATTGTATAACCTCCCTGCCAAAAGAATAAGAACGAATGCTCAATAAATAGCTCCATAAACATGTACAAACAGACAGGGCCAGCCCAATACACTTTGGAACCTGAGGTGAACCACCAAATGGTGCCCTCCTCCCCACCAAGAAAAATGGGGTGATTGAAGACCTACATCAGGAACAAAGAAGGAATAAAGATCTACATCAGGATCTGCTGCCACCTGAGGCAGTCATCTCACCTGTCCTCATGGGTGAGCTGGCCCTGCAAACAAAGCAGGATGAAAGCTCAATAAGTAGGTTATATGGAAGCAAATACAGACTTGATACATACACAAGTGAGTGTGTGGCAGGGGAAGAAAGCAAGACTGGAGACTCGGAGAAGGACAAATGGAGATGTTGAAGGCAGGCAGGGTTCTGCAGGCAGGTTCTGCATGGCACTGCAAGAAAGTGAGTCTTTCCCTCCAGCATGGAAACCAAAAATCTTGCTGTGGCTCATTGCCTCTGCTTCAAACAAAAGTGGCACAACCTGCCTGCTCTTTCTGCTGCTTCCTACCCAGTGTCTGGAATGGTATGTTAACTAAGCTCCTCTCAGATTTGCAGCAACGGCAGCAGCAGTGTGATTAGCTGAAAGCATTCTGAGTGAATCCTCGTTTCCCAACCTGGATAAAATGGGAGGGGAATATTTTGAAGCGCTCTTAGTGGATTGGTAGTGGGTGTCATTCTGAAAGGAACAGTGTTATGAATAGAATTATTGAATTGTAGAGTTGGAAGGGACCATGAGGCTCATCTAGTCCAACCCACTGCTATGCAGGAATCTTTTGCGCAACATGGGGCTCAGACCCACAACCCTGAGAGTCTCATGCTCTACCAGCTGTGCTATGATTTTGCACAAGTGCAGCAAATGTCTCATAATTGGCTAGCTGTTTTCATTCTCTAGGAAAGAAGGGAATTTGATTTTCATTCTCTAGGAAAGAGGGGAATATGATAATTTATTTATTTATTTTTATATAATTTATTTTTTAAACTGAGGCTTCTTTCACTCTGCTATCTTAGGGATGACAATACACTTCTTGAACTATTTATGTAAAATACATAAGAAATACAGTATATTAAAAAAGGCAAAGAAGCAAGATTCCTGTTTCTATGTTTTTCCTAGGGAAGAAAAACCTTCTACAGAAGCAAGATGGAAAGATGCAGCAGAAACAGTAATTATTGGAGGTGGTTGTGTTGGTGTGAGTCTTGCCTACCACTTGGCCAAGGCTGGCATGAAAGAAGTACTTCTGTTGGAAAAGTCTGAACTCACTGCTGGATCTACATGGCATGCAGTAAGGGAAAGTTCTAACATATTAAATATGAAACAAGCTATCCAATTTCTAGTTGCTTAGATAATAACAATTTCATAAATTATATAATTACTGTCATTCTAAATATAGCCTTTCGCAACTCATTAAATTGTCTCTCATAAACACAGTGGAAATTTGCATAGAGCTGAAACTCATTAATTACTGATGCTTACTATGGGAGTGTGACAGAATAGCTCATCCATTGCATGTTTGGCAATTGAAGTTGGGCCTCGCAAATGCTACCATTATAGCATGTAACCTAAGCAAGCGGAAGCAGTTTTTTTTAAAAAAAAAACCTAACGTGTTTAGTTACAGCTCCTTGCCAAGGGTGCAAGGGAGCCTAGGTACACCTCTGTGTCTTCTGAAGCAGCAAAATCCTTCTTGTACCACCTGCATTTTTCAGGAAGATTGCTCCCCACCCATACAACTGAAGCCAATAGAAGCCTTTTTGCAACACTGGGTTTTTTTTGCGGGGGAGGAACAGCACACAAGGAGGAGAGTTTTAGACCTTTCATCATCAGCTGCAACTTCCCTGCAAAAAGATGCCCCATGCCACAATTATGCATGAAAAAGGCAATTATTGCCTCCAATAGAGGGCTTTTTAAAAGACTAATTATGGAGGGGAGGGGGAAGCAGAGGGAGGAGAGATCTGCAGGGTGGATGAAGGGGCCCCAGGGGGTGTATCTGAACCATGGGTAGGGATGTTCAAGAATTCCTAAGAAAACAGAAACAGGAGTGGCAATTGGCAGTGTTTGCTTATTTTCACATGCCTGGAACAGAAATCAATCCAGCAAATGTGTTTAGCATTCAGTGTTGTTGTTGTTGCTTTCAGCCTGCAAGCAATACGTAATTGATTACCTTCCCCTCACATTTTCATTGTGTTTCCTTTGCATTGAAATGAATGGGGTGGAATAATGTAACGACAACATAATTTATATAATTAATTACACGTTAGGTAATTTCACTACAGTTGACAGCAAGACGAATAGCATAGTTTTTGGCAGATGATGACTACAATGGGGTGCAAGCAGCACTGCCTGCTTACAAATACAGGAATGGAAAACAACGCCTTCTTACATCACTACGCATAGACCAGCAATTCCACATCTCTGAAAGTGACAGGACTCCAATGTTTGACCTGAGTTAATGTTGTATCTTAATTCTGCCTCTGCCTCGTTAAGATTGTCAGGATTGCATTGAAAGGTGAAAAACCCTTACACTGATTTAATGGAGAGAGGAAGACCATTTGGCAAGGTTCCCTGCATAGACTAACCATAGCATTCACAGAAAAACAATCTATTTATATTTCTGTAGTTATGCAAGGCATTCTGCTCCATGCGAGAATTACAGATTAGTAGCTGGATCCATATTACGCAAACTGTGCAGTGACCTAGCTAGTTACCAAGAAGAAGTTGTTTTCAGTAGCTTGCAGCCTCAGGGTAATCCTAGATATCATATCGTGTGTCAGTGGTGGTGTGGGAGTCATAAAGCCACGGCAAAGGCTTGTAATATTGCAGGGTGCCCCCTGACCTCGGCTGACCAGCACTCTGAGCTTTACAATGTATTGGAATGTATTGACCTTAAATGGAGTTGTGTTTCCTCTGGGCAGTGATGACCTTATATGGTTTGTGGGTGGGTTAAAGCCATGACCGGATGTAGGTAATGTGAGACATTGGCAAACGGCCATGCGGCTGGAGAGAGAAAAAGGATAATAAAAAAGCTACGGGAGGAGAGAGAAGTTTGAAAGGAGCTGCTCATACCATCCTGAAAATATTGCCGGCTCTCTGTGTCTTTATTTTATGCTAAACTGCGCCATTTGTAACGGCTGGCTCCGACATGGTGGTGGCTGTAGTAAAGCCAAATTAGACATTACAAACATGTACCGTATCTGCTGAAGTGGTATACATTTCTAGTCACCTTGCATATTCATATACTATTGTAAATTATCAAAGTAGCACTTGATAGGCTTTATGAAATATAGTGACTCTTTCTCAAATTTTGTGCGCATAGTTCTGCACAGTGTGTCCTCCCAAGACCCAAGTTGCCTAAGTTCCTTGAGCATTTGATGCTGTTCTCAGCATTTGATTCTCAAGCTGTGTTGATGTGCTTGCCATTGAAGTTTTAGGCTGAAATCAGATACACACTTAGCTGGGGGTAAGTCGCATTGAACTCAGTGAATTCACTCAGTGTTAACCACTTAAGTGATTATGATTAGATGAGCTTCATAATTAAAGCTGTTGCAAACTTTGAGAAAACTCAAGTCTTTCCAAGAATTTTCTGAGACTGCTCAGAAGATGCTGGGCCCAGTGGAGCTCTCCATTAGCTCTCTTTTATCGCGAATTCTCCATCCCAAACTTACGCATCAAAGTGGTGAGGGAATTGGTCTAGGTTGGCAAAGCCTATTGCAGATGTTTTGAAACACTCCTGCAGTATTGATATCACTGAGGATATTGATCATAGAAGTACAGGCAGCACTAACTAGTATGATACAGACAGCACTAGAGCAGAATTGTAGTAAGGCATTCCTGTAAGGTAGAGATGACTGTGCTGGTTATGAACTATGTTGTGCTAGAATGAACATATTTCTGTGCCATTCGTTTCCATCCATAGCTTTGGCCAAAGGATAGGATCAGATTTTTAGACAGACAATAAATTGAACTCCCAGAATTATGCAGCTTAGATTTGCAGAATGCAACATACAGGGATTATTTCATCTTTCAGTGAAGTATGCAAAGTGTAGCCTATATAAGAATACTGTTTTTAGTCTTCCTATGCTCATGCTTATGCAGCTGATGCACAAGAGAGAAGTATAGCTCTAAGGTATGAACAAGTAAAAGAAATCTGATGGAAAGAAAAACCTTAAGAGGGAAAATCCTTACCTCTGCCTCGCCCCCCCAACCCAGCTCCATAATAATTCAGTGGCATGGAACATTGAGGGACTAAGAGGGGGGAAACTGGGTGGAAGGAGAATAGAGTAAAATGGCTAGAACTGAGAACAGAGAAGCATAGATACATAGAAGGAACCGTCTCAATGTTCAGCGTTCTCAATGTTCTCATGGAGAAGCTCTTTTTCATTGTTCCCAGGGGTGGAAGAGAGAGTTGCTCATAGATGGAGCAGCTGGAACCATGGACAGGAGCATTCAACACTGCAATGTTTTGTTGAAGACACCCCCATTTGTATCCTTTTTTTTTTTTTGGTTCTTTTTTAAAAGGCAGGTTTGACAACGTATTTCCACCCTGGAATAAATCTGAAGCAGATCCATCACTACAGCATCAAGCTTTATGAACAATTAGAAGATGAGACTGGACAGGTGTGTATCTTTAAATATATTTATTACAGATCCAAAATCTTGTGACATACAGCATTTTGCACAAAGCAAGAACATTTTGCATGCTTGGGGTTGTTTAGCAACTTTAGAAACTCCCTAATGATTGCTCCCAGCGGCTTCATGTAGATTTTAAATAGCACTGAAGACAACATAGTGCCCTGTGGCACACTATAGCTCAAAAGCCAAGGGGCTGAGGTCTAGATAATTCTCCAGGAATTATAGCAGCTGCATCAACCACAACCCTCTCAATACCTCCCCCCAAAGGGGGTATTTGTGACCAGGTGGTAGTTGTTAAATATTGTTGAGTCTAGGGTGGGTTTTTACAGTGGTGGCTGCACTATTCCTTTCTTCTTTCCACCTCCTCCTCATACAGAGACCCATTCACCACATCCTGAACTCACCCAGTCTTATCCCCCACCTTGCTAGCCTTAATCATCCAAGAAGGGCAAGGGTCCAAATGGTATGTCATTGGGCGCATACATGCAGAGGTGTACCCAGGCTCCCTTGCACCCTTGGTCAAGAATCTACCCTGGCTATTCCAACAATTTAATCTTTGCTAGACCCAGGAATTAGAAGTGACTCAGGGATACAGGCTAACGTCTCCCCACCACACAAACTTACAATTCTATGATAATGGCAATTTGTCAGTGCCCTCTTATTCAACTTCATGAAGATGGAGCGGCAAATAATTTCCCTTGTTTTGTTTTAATGATTGGTTTTATTGTTTGCTACTTTGGAAAATACTAATGGGCGTTTAAAAAATATGTTTGAACATTAAAGTATGACTTGTCTTAGAATAATAGAATTGTAGTGTTGGAAGGCGCCCTAAGGGTCATCTTGTCCAAACTCCTGCAATGCAGAAATCTCAACTAAATCATACATGTCAGATAGCCATCCAGCCTCTTATTAAAAACTTCTGTTTGTCCATCACTGTCAAACAGTTCTTACTGTAAGAAAGTTCTTTCTGATGTTCAGAATCTCCTTTTTGTAACTTGAAGCCACTGGTTTGGGTCCTACCTTCCGGAGCAGGAGGAAACAAGCTTGCTCTATCTTCTATGTGACAGCACTATAGATACTTGAAGATGACTGTCATATCTCCTCTCATTCTCCTCTAATGCAAACCCCAATCCCTCAACCGTTTCTCATAAGGCTATGTTTCCAGACCTTTGATCATCCTGGTCGCCCTCCTCTTCACATGTTCCAGTTTATTATTGTTTATTATTTTGTTATTTATTTCATTTCTATACTGCTTTATATTTTCAAGAAAAGTCTCAAAGCAGTTTACAGCATATTAAAACATCAATAAAACAATCTGAAGAAAGTAAAATATAGAGTATACAGTCAAAGCAACATAATTAGCGAAAAACTAAAATATTATCTTAAAGATTTCAAAAGACAGTGGTACCTCAGGTTAAACACTTAATTTGTTCCGGAGGTCCGTTCTTAACCTGAAACTGTTCTTAACCTGAAGCACCACTTTAGCTAATGGGGCCTCCTGCTGCCACTGCACTGCCGCTGCACGATCTCTGTTCTCATCCTGAAGCAAAGTTCTTAACCTGAAGCACTATTTCTGGGTTAGCGGAGTCTGTAACCTGAAGCGTATGTAACCTGAAGCGTATGTAACCTGAGGTACCACTGTAAAACATTACAAAGGAGGTCAACTACAGAATACATATTTAACACAAACAAAGTTAACAAAAAACTTAAGCATTAAAAAAACCCATTGCTAAGTGAAGTCAAATATAAAATGCACATTTAAAACAGCATAATGAACAAGAGACTAAAATATCATAAGCATGACACAGCTGTTTAGCAGGCACAAAAAGATGGGGCAAAAGAATCCAGTTGTTAGGGTTTGTTGTCAGGCATATCCTTCTTAAATTGTGGTGCCCAGAATTAAACAGAATTGAAAAGAAAACTAAAAATTAAAGTGGTTAATCTGTTGATATATTTCAAATAACTATAAAGTTAATTATAGCAACTCATTATTTATTCTGTAGCCTCTTCTGAATATAGACTATGCCATGGTTATCATTTAGGACTTTATTGGACTGCTTGTAAGTATTCTATATTGGGAACCTGATAGTCTTTTTTCTGTTCCTGTTAGGCTGTTGGGTTTCATCAGCCAGGAAGTATTAGAATTGCTTCAACTCCAACGAGGGTGGATGAGTTTAAATACCAGATGTCTCGGGCTGGTTGGCACCCAGCAGAGCAGTATCTTATCAAGCCAGAGAGAGTACAAGAATTATTCCCTTTAATAAACATGGAAAAGGTAAACAAATTCAATTATTTTATTTCCAAATGATGTGAAATTTATTTTACATGCAAAAAACATGACTATGATTCAATATCCCTCTTCAAAGTTTGAAGATTATTTTGTAGTACACAACTCTATTAAATCTTCCTAACATGAAACCATTTGAAAGAAGTTGCCTCAGGCAGCAGATTTTACAGAGGGTGCCATTTTTATGTATCCAATATCCAGCTTAGTGTGACATTTACAGAATGAGCTTCAGCCTGGGTGAGAGGTCATTTTGACAGGAGCTACAGGTGCAGAAATGTTACTGGCATTCTGCAGGCTGTGCTGGGTACAGAAGCAAGACTCAACTATTAGGATTTATTGCAGAAGGCTCAGCAGCTAACAGTATTGTAATGTTCAGTGGATATTTGTGATCTATTCAAAACCAACTTTATCAGTGTTTCAAAAATGAAGCAGAGCAACTTGGACATGGTAGAAGAATCCTTTATTAATATGTGTAAATATATTGGTCTCTTGGTTTTACAAATCCTTGGTAATTCCTAAGGTTTTGATCAGAAACAGCCACCAGATATTCAGATGAGGAAACAAAGGACACTTTGAGTAGTTATGTTGATCGTCGTGACAGTAACAATGTATTGTAGGGGCCAGTGCTTTTTCTCTTAAAAAAATGTTTAGGGGTACTCTCATTTTCCTACTCATTTAAATACTGCCCCTTGATGAGGCCAAACTTAGATTCACAAAATGTTTAGGGGTATGTGTACCCTGTCCCCCCCCCCCCAGAAAAAAGCACTGGTAGGGGCCTATGGGAATTGTAGTTGAGTGACATCTGGAAGGCCAAAGGTTCCACACACCTAAATTGGTTGTAATTCTGTTCTCCTGAACTGAGTAGTAAAACACCCATTGGCTGCATTTCCATGTCATTGAAAGCCACCTACACTGTGCCTTACCATACATGAGCTGAACCTGTTTCACTCTTTGCATTCACACTGTTGAGAAACAAACAGTGAACTCTGGCATTGCGCTTTATCTGGACTAGGTATAGGGGTTTGTTTCTCTCCAAGCAAATACAAGATTTGTTATTGGCTTACCAATTGTGGTTTATTTGAATGAAACAAATCATAATCCCTGATTTGGAAGTAATACTAAGTAAAGGATTATGATTTTTACAATGTGTAGGAGAGAAGCAAGTATGATCAGTTCATGTAAAAAATACAAGATTTTTGATCTACTGTTATGTGTGGATACAGTCATTGATTTTAATGAGTATCTTTGATTAACATTGAGCTAAGGTGAATTTCCATGCTATATTTGTTCTTTTTGGTTTTTTGCTGAAACCCTTAGCTATTTTGTTTTTTCTTACATCCAGATTCTGAATTTCTCTTTCCTAGAAATTACGGTACACACAAGTCTCCAGTTCCTTGTTCAAAGAAGTCCTAATATGAGATATCCTCCATTTCTAACATGTTGGTTAAGAAAACATAACAATACTAACACAGTTTCATTTTGTTTGACCCACATAGGTTTTAGCTGGTTTGTACAACCCTGGAGATGGTCATATTGACCCTTACTCACTCACCATGGCTTTGGCTGCAGGGGCCAGGAAATATGGTGCTCAGATAAATTATCCAGTCCAAGTAACTGACCTAAAATCTAGAGCAGATGGAACATGGGAAGTTGAAACTCCACAAGGAATAATTCGAGCAAACAGAGTTGTGAATACAGCTGGTAAGAAATGAAATATATTTGCATGTCTTTGGAAAATTTAATACCCTAACTAGGCCAGATGAAGTAGCTCACACTAAACACAGATTGAGCACAAAAGCTCTAATGAATGCCATGCAGAACGCAAGTGATATATGCTTTGCATTAGCTATTTGATGACCTCCTGGAAGATAATTTGGCATGAAGCAGTGATCCCCCCCCAAAAAAATAATTTTAATAGTTCCTAGAATAGCATGCTTCATTGCTTAATGATTGGATAATGTACATTCCATGTTATTAGCATTCTGGTTTTTAAAAATGCCGTTATGTAAGTCTGTGAATCTCCCTTCCATGTATATTAGTTTAGGACCAGGATATGAGAACAGGGCTCCTGCCTGTAGATTGGCCTTTGACTTTGAAAACTGAGGAAATAGGCCACACTGTTAGGCAATTCCAGTCCAAAATGTCTCCATGAATTGTGGAAACACTTGCTTGGCATTATATTATGTTTACACATTAGAAACACTTAGAAGATTAAAATGGGCTATGTGCCCATGTTTCCTGGAAATAGCTTTTGCCTTTTTATTGAGTTAAGATATTGTTACACACCACCCCAATTTCCACAGCAGTGCAAGATTCTAGGGGTGCAGGCGCTTACTCAGGGTTTGTTTCCTTTGGAAAAGAGACATAGTGGAGACCGTGGTGTCTTTATGATATATAGTTTATTTACACATATATACAATTTGAGCCTAGTATGGAGGGGTAGACACAGCATTACACTCCAAGAGGGTCTGGCTTCTCTCATAGGCACAGTCTTTGGGTTCAAATGGGCATCAGATATCTTGTCTGTTGCCCTGCAGCTTACCCTTCTCTCCCTGTCGCGTAACTCTAAACTTTGCACTAGGCAGCTGCCTAGATTGATTCAGCTTACTGACTGAAAAACCATTTCCCCCAGAGCACACCAGGGCAAACTGCAATCCTGGAATTCTACTACTGGCCTTTGTCCTTCTACCTATTTCTGAGCTCAGGGAGAGGTTCTCCTTTTTCCAGCTGGCACAGAATCTCTGCTTTATTAATCACCCATCTCCCTGCCCCATTTGTTTGCTTAAAGAGTTGGCCATTATCAGGCTGACCTGGACATGGAAAGCTGAGCCCAGCACTTACTAAATCCAGGCACCCACAAATTCTAACACCCCAAACCAACAGCAGTACATTCGGCTCCTAAATGTAATGCAGTTCCCATCATTTAGAAAATGACTTATTTTTGTGTGAGTAAAGGAGTATTTTATTTGGTATTTATAATAATGGGACAATAACCTTATGCACAGAATGCCAGAGGTGGTTTTTTTTTAGGTCTTCCATTCATTCACACTATTTGTGGAAACTTCCTCTTCCCTTTCCCCTCCACATTACTGCTACTTACCTAGATGAATCAGGGGTGAGTCAGGACATCTGCAAGGTCAGGGCTGCACAGGTACCCCAGCCAATCCAATCTCACAGAGCTCCAACCTTGCTGCTGCTCTGCCTCACCCCTACCTGGTAAACAGCAGTGATGCCAGCGGCCCCAGTCTACTGTTCTGGTCATTCCTGATGGTAGTTTTTGCCAGTAATTGGAAATTGTTTGTATTAGGTACTTTTGAAAACAAAAGTTTAAATTCCTATTTATGTATTAACCATTTGGCTCTAATGTATTAATGTTTATAATTGTAGCATAAATACCTCGAGTAAAAAGGTCTGCTCTGAACATGGGAAGCTGGAACATGGGAAGCTGCCTTATATTGAATCACATCAGTGATCCTGCTAGCTCAGTATCGTCTGTGTTGAGTAATAGGCTGCAACATTACAGCAGATGGTCATAGGCAGAGACTGTCCAGGGTTTCAAACAGGGTTTATTTCCCTGCCCTCCCTGGGGATGCCAGAAATTAGACCTCAAATCTTTTCCAAGCAAACCATTTACCCTACCACTTTTCACAGTTCCATATCATCAGTACCACCCCATTTATTCAGTGCTGAGGAATAACCTACAACAGTAAAATGATTGGCACAGGAACCCATTCTTGCAGGCACTGCATGTGACTTGGACCTTTGACATGCATGGCACAGTTTCCTCACTGCTATTTCATATATCTTCTTACATACTCAGTAATTAGCAATGTTTTACTCTTGAGATGTGAAGTTGTGACATCTCTTCAGGCTCTTTGATTTCTTTTTAACTTATTAAACCAAAGGCATACTTGTCAAGTTACAATGTTCAACCAAAGGGAACATTTAGAGCTGGCATTGATTAATGTCCTGGGTCAGGGTAGGTAAACAGCTATGATGTTCCTAATACTCTAGCAGCCAATCTTCTTCCTTCCTTCCATACCCTCCTCTCCAAAAGAAAATAATAATTTACTGTGAGCTTTCATTCCTGTTATATTGCTAAGTTTATATTGCCAACTCAAAACATAGCTGGGTTCATTAGACAGCCGCTTACCTTTCAACCCCTTTCTTATCCAGTTGCTCAATTCAGACAGTACATTTCACATTTTCCAAAGCGTGGTCTGGATATTTCATCTGAACTGAATTATTCTATTGTGTTCTGTCTTGTTGCCTCATTTGCTCACCCCTTCACTGCCTTATTTACATACCCTCCTCCATTTCCTAGCTTTTATGCTGTTATTTGAAATGATGTTTGACTCAGTAACCCATGGTTCATGCTCATCTCCAAACAGTTTGCAAACCCACTTTGGAATATGGTTTATAATTATGGTTTGGGGGCAATTTGTACATCATGGCAAACTATTAGTAGAGAACATTAGGAAAGACCAACACCCCATATCAGAGAATAAGGGTACAAGCCTTTCTTATACTCCCAGCCTCCAAATCACTGTTTGGAAATTAGTCCAGATAATGTCTGCTGTTTTGGTATTTGGGCTTATTTTCAGTTAAATAAGAAATTACACACACCAAATCTCTTGCACAAATCCTGCCTAGATCCCACAGCCACTTCTTATTGCCAACTCTCGCCTGTGGTATTGGTGCACGGATAGGAACAACCTCAGTGTTTTGTGAGTGTTCTAGGGATTGTGGCTCATTAACTACCTGATAACTTATTTCTTCTTTGACCTACGCAAGGTCCTTATTTAATGTTAAGTTATAAAGTGGGACAGAGGGTTTTGTCTCATTACCAGCTTCCCCTCCATTCCTCATCCATGTTTCACTTTGTCCTTTTGCTCAGCATATACTTCATGAAACTCTTAATCTTAGGGTTCTGGGTTCAAGCCCCACATTGGGCAAAAGATTCCTGCATTGCAGGGGTTGGACTAGATGGCCCTCATGGTCCCTTACAACTCTACAATTCTATGATTCGTGGCCAAGACGAAATTGGCTGTTATCAGCAGCAGATATTTATTCTGCTATTTTAATCACAGCAGAAATCTGAGGCAAACCTCAGCCGCAAACAACTGTATTCATGGTTATGCTTGAGAAATAGGAGCATTAATAGAAATGGGTGGAGTTGAATGCAAAAAGCTGGACTTAAAATTTTTTAGAGACAGCCCCCTAAGAGGTGGCCTGTGGTGTTATCTTATTCTCAGCACTGTCCAATACTGTCTGTAGAAACTCTGTGTGCTATTAGTGGTTAGCTGAAACAGTGGTAGTTTAACTAGAAAAAAGGGTTAGTGGAATAAAGTAGGGAAAGTGAAAACTACCAAAGCTGTGGTGCCCATAGATGATGCCTTGTTTGCCTCCTCCAACACAGAAATAAAATTTCTCTCTACAGGCAACCTCTGCCATCCTGAAGCAACATTCCCACCAAATGTAGGCATTCTGTTTATTTTTCCCGTTTGGAAAACATGATGATCTTTGGCATAAGGAGGAGTCCTCCAATGAGTTGTCTCTTTGTTCCACACTAGTCCACAAACAGTTCCACACTATTGAATCATCTCCTTGTTTAAGTAATATTCTGCTTTTATTATTAAAACTCCTCTTCCAAGGTTCATAAATAGTTACATACACAAAAACTTGACATCGTTCCCATATGAGGAAGTTGCAGCTTGGTTGCAGGGAGAGACAGTAATGAAATTTGGTTCCCCTCCCACAAAAGCTTCCTAGCATTAAGCTCAAGTTGACTGCAGAAGGGCAGGGTTTAGAAATATGAGATAACTGGGATGAGCAGGAGAGCAATTTCTGTATTATAAGCAGCAGATAAAATCAAGGAGGGGAGAGAAGAGAAGGAATTACACAAGAGAGAGAGAGGTAATGAAGAGGAACCATAGTAGCAAAAATTTCAGAGGTCAAGGAAGATGCTAGGAATGGTTAACTGGTTTGCAGGACACAGACAGAGAGAAACTATCTTCAACCTTTCCCTATGCTGAGTAGGGAGTCCTAGGTTTAACAGCTGAGATCAGCAGTGGTTCAAAGCCTTAACTTCTGATGTAAGAGGGGATTGAGAATACACTCATCAGCAAGATTGTTCCTTTAGATTCTAAGTATTCTGTTCTAATACTTTCTGTTCTTTGTGTTTTCTAGGTTTCTGGGCTCGTGAAATAGGGAAAATGATTGGATTGCCCCATCCACTCATACCAGTTCATCACCAGTACATTGTTACTGCAACTATTCCTGAAGTGAAAGCCCTTAAAAAGGAATTTCCTGTGATTCGTGACCTAGAAGGTTCATATTATCTAAGACAAGAAAGGGATGGGATTTTATTTGGCCCATATGAAAGTCCAGAAAAAATGAAACTACAGGAATCCTGGGTAAAAAATGGAGTCCCGCCAGGTAATTTTGCTTGAAAAATAACCTCAGGCTTTAGCTGCAGTTATATTATTGTCATAATCCTAGAGTAGAGGCAGAGTTCTCTGGCAAATGCAGGCTCAGAGAGGAGATGGCTCCTTTCCTTGGTTTGATGCATGTGTGTTCATGGGCAGCAGACACCCCCCCATGGTACACCCCCCAGGAGCCGCCTCTGCCACCAGATTCTGGTGGCTTGTCCATAGACTCCTTGGGGATCAAGAGAGCTGGAAACCATATTCCCCAATGGCTGCAGCAGAAGGCACCTTTAACAAGTTAGGAGGCATCACTTAGTGGGTAAAGCCTCTAGTCAATAACTACCTAAAGGTAAAGGGGACCCCTGACCATTAGGTCCAGTCGTGGCCGACTCTGGTGTTCCGGCGCTCATCTCACTTTATTGGCTGAGGGAGCTGGCGTACAGCTTCCAGGTCATATGGCCAGCATGACTAAGCCGCTTCTGGCGAATGAGAGCAGTGCATGGAAACACCTTTTACCTTCCTGCCAGAGTGGTACCTATTTATCTACTTGCACTTTGACATGCTTTCGAACTGCTAGGTTGGCAGGAGCAGGGACCGATCAATGGGAGCTCACCCCGTTGTGGGGATTCGAACTGCTGACCTACTGATTGGCAAGTCCTAGGCTCTGTGGTTTAACCCACAGCGCCACCCGCGTCCCCAGTAACTACCAACTCTGCTATAAAACCTAGTCAGTTGCTCTAGGTCCTGGATGAGACAACTGGGATATTTGGATTCAGCAATGGGAACACTGTCCATGGGCCTGAACCCACACCTTTGAGTCTTTCTAAGCTACTTTTGCTGCTCAAAACTTCCAACCTCCCATTGCTTGGGCCATCACACCTCCTTGGTGGTGGGGATCTTCATGAATCACAATCATGGGATAATAGCCCAGTTCTGCTAATTAGTGCTATCCTTTGTGTAGATCACAGTGGTACTATTTTTGTCATTGCACTGATGGTTGCAGCCAGATACAGTTACTGATACAGGGACAAAACTTTATACCAGTTCTGTGAATGAAACTTTAGTGGCACTGGTGAAGTGTGGAAGGCCATGGCTGCAAATTGCATGTCTGCATCTGGGTCTTTTGTTGCAAATAGCATGGAGATCATGAACATACCTGTGTGTCCCCCAGATGAAGAAAGTAGCATTTGGTGGACTGGGGAGGGGGGGATAGATGTCTGATGAACTCCATGTAGGCATGTCTTTGCATCAGTAAAATAGATAAAAAGAATTGTATTAAATAAATGCCAAATATTTCTTGCATTGTTTTATGCGATGGGAGGTAGAAATTAGTTTATTTTCAGATGCAAGATACAGCTAGGTGTATTGTTATTTTTGCAAGATACAGGTGGCGCTGTGGGTTAAACCACAGAGCCTACGACTTGCTGATCAGAAGGTTGGCGGTTTGAATCCCTGTGATGGGGTGAGCTTGGTCCCTGCTCCTGCCAACCTAGCAGTTCGAAAGCACATCAAAGTGCAAGTAGATAAATAGGTACCACTTCAGCGGGAAGGTAAACGGCGTTTACATGCGCTGCTCTGGTTCGCCAGAAGTGGCTTAGTCATGCTGGCCACATGACCCGGAAGCTGTATGCCGGCTCCCTCGGCCAGTAAAGTGAGATGAGCGCCGCAACCCCAGAGTCGGCCACGACTGGACCTAATGGTCAGGGGTCCCTTTACCTTTACTTTACAGCTACAAAGTTTAGGTTTCACTAATGCAAATTATCAAGCTCACCACTTGTTAGAATTAATTGAATTTATGTTGGCAAAGACGTTCGGTGACTGGAATCTGTGAGTGACTATTATATATATGTATGTTACACATGCATATTCATAAAGACAAAGAGCCTTTCTGGCATCATTAACTTGTTCTCAGATTTCCTATATACGGTAAGCCTGTCTTTCACTTTGTGCTCTTCAAGGGGGCAGATGGGGATTCTCAGCATACAACTCCTATCCTGCAACATTTGTGTGTATCCTGAAAAAATAAGCACTTTGTTTTGATATCAGCGCAGTGTGTAACTAAAGAGCTTTTGGAATTTGAAAATAACAAATGCTTGACTCAAAACCTTTTTTTCTAGGATTTGGGAAGGAGCTTTTTGAGTCTGATTTGGACCGAATAATGGATCATGTTGAGGCTGCTATGGAAATGGTCCCAATCCTAAAGCAAGCAGACATTATCAATGTAGTTGCAGGCCCTATAACATATTCTCCAGATATCTTGCCTATGGTGGGGCCACATCAGGGTGTTCGAAATTATTGGGTGGCTATTGGTTTTGGGTGAGTAAATTTATCTATGGTTAGGAGAAACCTTGTAAATGTTAAATTTATACTTATACGTCTGTCTTCACTGGGTCCCAGATGGTATCTACATGAGTTTTTAAAGAACTGTCTGATCTTGCTTAACATATTTCATCATGACGTAAAAGCCAAGGTTATCATGCTGTTACAGGGAAAACAGAGCAACAACACAAATTTAATTCCAGCCAAATGTAGCTGGAACTCAAATGTTTGTTCTGTTGCTGTAATCACTTACCGTATTTTTTGCACCATAACACTCACTTTTTTCCTCCTAGAAAGTAAGGGGAAATGTCTGTGCGTGTTATGGAGGGAATGCCTCTGGGTGGCATGCCTACGGATTTTCCTCTTCTAAAAACTACATGCGTGTTATGGTCGGGTGCGTGTTATAGAGCAAAAAATACGGTAATCTTTAGTTCAAAGCCTAACTGGGCTTTGCCCGGCTTTCATGCACCTTACATATTTATTTTTTGTACTTATACGTAGTCAGCCCTGTCACTGAATTGGCCCAGGGCCGGTTACAAAAGATCTCAGGTATAATTTAGCTTGAAATCATAAAATAACACAAAGCAAACAAATGATATAATTAACAAATGAGCACACTGTCCCATCTTAAATTCCAGGCTGCATAAGTGTTCCAGATTTTTAACAAGTCTAACTTTCCAGTAATGAGAAAGCACCCCCCCCCCCCAAAAAAAGGTCATAGAGAAGATAATAAGAAGTGAGTTTATAGTCCTCAAAGGTTGTACTGAAATGTTATGTGAAATAAGCTCGTGGGGGAAATGTCTATCTCTTCTTCTTTCCCCAGATACGGCATCATCCATGCTGGTGGCATAGGAAAGTATCTCAGTGACTGGATACTCAATGGGGAGCCTCCTTTTGATCTAATAGAATTAGATCCAAATAGGTATGGGAAGTGGACCACTCCAGAATTCACGGCAGCAAAAGCAAGAGAATCTTACGGATTTAACAATATTGGTAAGATGTAATTTCCCCCATAGAAAAATAAATAAATTAGCAATTGAGTAGAGAATTCTTGTGCTGGTTTTCTTCACCTTCCCCCCACCCCCAGACTAATGGAGAGCAGGGCTTTGCCTTGTACAGTGGTACCTTGGTTTATGAACTTAATCTGTTCCGGAAGTTCGTTCTTAAACCAAAGCGTTCTTAAACCAAGGCGTGCTTTCCCATAGCAGTGGGGGACTCAACAGGAAGCGGAACATGTTCTGCTTCCAAGGCAAAGTTCACAAACCAAAACACCTACTTATGGGTTTGCAGCATTTTTAATCCAAGTTGTTCATAAACTAAGCTGTTCTCAAACCAAGGTACCACTGTAGTTTGCTGGGACATTGTCAGGCATGCAGAGTCCTCCTTTCCCTTCGGTAACTTCACAGACAAGAATGAATGAGCAGTTTATATTTTATAGTCATTTTTATGCAGTCATCTGGTTGCAAGCAAAAATCCACATCTGTCAGGAGTGTGTACAGGAGCCAGGCCCTGTGACCGGTAGGGCTTTGCAGGACTGGGGCTTTTCTAAGTTTGTTCTGCAGAGGCAAGGCGCTGCCGCACAGGTGAGGCCGATTGGTAACTCACAGCACCTGGTGGCAAGAGCTGGGAAGGGATATAAGGTCAGCATTTCCCTTTGGCTCTTTGCCACAGCAACACGCTTCCTGCCTTGCTGTGTGTGGCTTCTTGACTCCTTGCTTTCTGAACCTTGGACCCTTGACTCCCGGCTCTCTGACCCTCAGACCCCTGGCTTCCAGACTCCCGTTCCCGCCCCACCGTCTTGCCCCCGGTCCCGACGTCCTCTGCCAGGACCTCGACCACCTGTAAACCGGACCGTGACAACATCTCTCCACAAGGAGAGCAGTTGGCTACTCTCAATCTTCCCCTTTCTGTCCCCAGCAACATCCTGGGAGCCAACAGAAAGTTCCTCCTCCTCTCTGCATTCTTTGTTCTCTAATACGGACGGACCTCCTAGTTGTTTTGGGAGGGAGGGTCCCCCACACTCTCTAATGACGTCTCTGCTGGCTGTTCCCTCCCTTCTGTTTCTCTTTCCATTATCTTGTAACTAGGCAACTCCTGTTGAAACTGCTCAGTGTCTGTGTCTCTCTCTGCTCCTGAAACCACCGGAAATGGGTGTGGGGGGTTGAATCCCCCCATCTCTGCCTGAGAATGCATTCCTCACTCCTCTGATTCAGACCATTCTCTGACATCCAGCTTACACTGTACTGCTTACCTTGCTTATTTTATTTCCATCATTATGATATTTTGCAGCCTGCAAAGTTCTTCAAAAGCATTATCTGTAGCTACATGAAAAATACTCTGTGTACATGTGCAATAAGTGATTCATTGTCATATCTTTTACCATGTTGATTTTGTTTTTGCTTTTGTTTTGCAGTTGGCTATCCTAAAGAAGAAAGATTTGCCGGGAGACCCACAGCGAGAGTCAGTGGGCTTTATGAAGTCCTTAAGTCGGAATGCTCAATGGGATTCCATGCAGGATGGGAGCAGCCTCATTGGTTCTACAAACCTGGGGATGAGATTGGATACAAGTAAATGAAAAATATTTATTGATTGTTCTTTTGTGCCAAATTAATAGCATTAGCAATATTATGTTCAGGGTTGTCAAAATAAAGGATTGCGAACCGTAGTCTGAAACATAGCATCACTGTTCAGTTGGTCAAATGCGCATTAAGAGGAAGTGGTATCATTCATTCATTTAATAAAATTTATGCACTACATTATTGGAGAAAAACTTCGAAGCAGTTTAATTGGTAGCAGTTATAATAAAGAGGGATATTTTCATGTTTTTACAACACCAAGTGCAAGGCCAATGGTTAGGGATGACGTGAAAACCCCTCCTGGTGGTGCAGCAATAAAACTGCTAGTGCATTTGCAAAGCTAAGCAGGGTCCAGTATGGTTTCAAATTGGATGGGGGTTGGACTAGATGACCCTCGGGTTCCCTGTCAACTGTACACTTCTGTGATTCTGCACTCTCATACATAGGTTATGAGAGCAGTATGCATATTCACTGAGGCCATCTAGAGAAGGACAGCACCTGGAAGAGTATGAAGAAGAGCAGAAGCCACTGTTCCACTGCTGCTGCTGCTTTGCACAGCAGCTTTGGTGACCCCGCCATGTAAAACAGCAGCGGGGCAGGAGGTTGCTTTCCTCCTCAATGCCATCTCTTTTCAGGTGCTGCCCAAGGCAGCTGCCTCATCCCACCTCATTCATGGGCTGGTCCTGCAGATGGTTCATATGTTGGTTTAGATGTGCGGTTGGTGGCTTACAGAAAGCATAATCCCCATTACGTTTCCATTGTTAAATTTGTATGAGTATAGGCATATTGCAGATATATAAGCATCCATGTATATGTAATGGGTGTGGTTTGCTGCCGTGATCCCACTCAATGGCTCTTATTAGATTTCACCTTTAATCTTCAAAACATACTATAAGAACTTGTGATAATCTCCAGCTGATAATGAAATGCAAAACAACAAATGGCAACATTAAAGATTAATTCACTGGCGCTATTGGGGTGGGGGTTTTTTTTGGGGGGGGGTAACTTCAAATGAAAAAGTTATCAATCTAAAATAGTTCTTCCCTCCACATATGCTTAACCCTTTTGTATAAGAAACAGAAACAGCAGAAAGTCTCCTACAGTTTTACTGGGGAGGTATGTTGGGACTCCAAGTACCGTATTTTTTGCTCTATAAGACTCACTTTTTCCCTCCTAAAAAGTAAGGGGAAATGTGTGTGCGTCTTATGGAGCGAATGCAGGCTGCGCAGCTATCCCAGAAGCCAGAACAGCAAGAGGGATTGCTGCTTTCACTGCGCAGCGATCCCTCTTGCTGTTCTGGCTTCTGAGATTCAGAATTTTTTTTTCTTGTTTTCCTCCTCCAAAAACTAGGTGCGTCTTGTGGTCTGGTGCGTCTTATAGAGCGAAAAATACGGTAACTTTAAGAGTCTATCCATGTAATGATGACCGAAGTTTCTATGTCATGCTTACTCTTGTACTGTGTTGCATTTATATTCTGCACTTCTATACAGTAATAGCACCTGCATCTGTGGAGTTCCTAGTTTTTGTCTATAGAATGCAATAATTAATAATTTTTAATGTAAAACATCCACTCAATGGAGTTGAGCAGCATTTGTAATTAAATTAAACATTAACCGAAAGTTACAGTTAGGGAAACTATTGATAAACTTGCCAAAATAAGGTATGCCTATGATTTTTCAGTTTCATTCCCCTTCCCTACTTGTCCAAAGGGGCTGGTAGATGAAAAGAAAGGGAGAGGGCTACTTACAGTTAAGTTGAAAATTACTAGGCACTTTTTTTATTAAAAAAAATGCACTTATTATTTTTCTAGGCCAAGTTTTCGACGTACAAACTGGTTTGAACCTGTGGGCCGTGAATATAAGCAGGTGATGGAAAAAGTGGGTGTGATTGATCTCACTCCATTTGGCAAGATTAGCATCAAAGGCAGTGATTCTGCTAAATTTTTGGACCGTCTGATTGCAAATGTGATCCCAAAGGTAAATGGAAACGTAACAGCAATATAGGTCTTAGATTAGTTTTAATATATGCTGAAAATAAGTTTATAGTCCTACTCATATGAAGTCCCAATTGTACTGAGCCTAAGAGTGGTAAGGAAGTAGGATTACATCTACCTCCACCTTCCTGTGTGCACTTGGCCTGACCTGGATCAACCTCATACCCATGCTATAGATATAATGTTGGACTGGAGTCTATACATTTCACATATGTCCACCTTGTGGAATCTGCATGCCTTGAAATTAAGTTGCGCAAAGATTGCAGGAATTGGAGCTAAACAAATTAGATGCTATGCACCTAAGCCTCATTTAAACATTACCCCAAATTGACTTCCGGGGTGGCGCCATCAGCAATGGCGGACTCCCTCTGATCTGGAGGGACTAGCTCCACGCGAAATGGGTCTTTTCCGCTACGGCGAAGCGGGGACCCTTTCAAAAATCACAGGCAGATGAAGCCTGTGACCATGGGACTCGGCGGGCACCTTTAGCGCCCCCCCAACCCGCAAAAGAACCCACTAACGGGCTCCGGAGCGAAGAGGGGGAAGTGGCGCAGTGCTGAGAGTCAACTGCTTCTTCCGTGGAGCGAAGCCGCACAGCTGTTGCCGGAGAGCGCTGCCTTTTTCCTGGGACAATTTGGCTTCTAAAATAATCACCCGTGAGTACTTAAATTTCGGACAATTGGACTTTAAATAAGGACTTGCGAGCAGAAAGGAAAATTGGACTTAAAAGTTTACCTCAATTTGGCACTGAAACGGGAAGGTCTAAACAGGAAGTCAGCCTTCCGTTTCTTTGTAGATAGATTAAAGCAAAGACATGGCCCTAGAGCTCAGAAAATCGCTTGTAAAAGATTAACTTTCATCATTTAAAATTGTTGAACCCCCCTTCGGAAGCAGGAGAAGAGGGGGGATTTTTTCGGACTGTTTAAACCTGCAGAAGTGAGTGTAAAGTAAAGTAACTTTCCACCGTCCTGATCCTGGATCAGGACTGACGTTTTTTGAAGCTCATTGACCCGAGCCAAACATTTTTGACAGATAGCTATAAGAAGAGAACATTGATTCCATTGTTCCCTTCACATTTTAAAGGAACAAATATTGACAAAATATCTGAAAAAGGAAACTTTGTTGTTAGACTTGTCTTTAAAAGAAAGAACAAATAGAAGTTTTCCCCTAGAGGGAGACTGTGAAACTGTAACCAACTCCGGGGAGCTTGCAGCTGTTACAGATTACAATCGTGGGAATAGACTTCTGACCTTGCAGGACAATGTATTCAGAAGCTCTGTTGCGTGCTTTCTGTAAAACAAATGCCCTACTGGAACAGCTACATGAGAAGACGGACTTGATGACTGATGCGATCAGAAATTTTGAACAGGCAGTGGGAAATTATACGGAGCCCACCCAGGAATTAAATCAGGAGTGTGCCCTGACAGAACAGAGGAGGGAAGAGGATGTTGCTGAATCTTGGGCGCCAGAGATGAAGGGAGCTGTGGCCCAGCAGGAACATGAGCTTTTGGACTTGACAAATGAACTTGGAAAAAGCCAGATTTGGAAAGATAAAGTTTGGTTTGGTTTGGAAATGGGGGGTTGGATAGACCCCCCTATGCAGGGATGTTTGGACCTTTCAAGTCTGGCAATGGGCCGTGAGATGTTTGGGGTTGTGGGGGCTCTTAATTTTGGAGGGATTTTGAAACATGTTCTTAAATACCACATGGAGTTTAGTGTGGACTATGGAAAAGGGGCTGATTTGTCGAGAAGGGTCAAAAACATTGTTAAGCTGGAGTTCCCATGAGTGAAAGGAGCAGGAGACAAAGGAAAATACAGTTATAAATATGAAGAAGAGCTGCGGAAGGGACATGGAAGAGACTTAAGGGCCTCGGATACAAGGTTACCAGGTTAATGCGCTAGATCGATGGGATAATAAGGACTGACAAAACCCGGGACCAGGAGGAAGGGACGCTGGATGAAGACTGGATTGTTTTTATTTCTTTTTTTTTACTACTAGGATTGTTTTATAAAATTGATGAATGTTAGAAAAATGTTGGAACGAAATTACTTGGCTTTAGCAAAAATGTTTAAAGAATTATGTAAGAATATCATGGTTATGAGAAGTTGGCAAAAATAATATTTAAGTTTTAAGTTTTAAGGTTCTTTATAGTAAGATAAGATTAAAATAGATTAAGGTAATGTAATGACAGAATATTATGAAATATGGAAAGGATTTGCTGCGACAATTAACAACTAGGATACAAAAAAAGGGAGGAGGAGGAGGTCAAAGAAAGAAGGTAATGACAGTTGAGGATATGAGAATGATGAATTTGTTTTTGAGTGTTTGTGGTGTATTTTTGTTTTTTGAATTTGTATTGTTTGATGTGGATTGTTTTTGCTTTGTTTTTTCTTTATTTTTTCTGTTTTGTTCTTTTTTGTAATTCTAAAAATTTTCAATAAATATCATTTAAAAAAAAAAATAAACATTACCCCAAATTTGTGGATGTGAATCGGTTCCAAATCAGGTGGACAGATGTAGGAATTCTGTAAGCCAAATTTTCTCCCCATCCTTATGTTAACATGTGAACCTATTTAATATGTACTTTCCAAAGCAATGCATAAACTGAAAATTAGCTATCCCTACATAGTTCTCCATACTTTGCAGTACAGTTCTCCAGCCAAGCCATGTATACAAAAACATATATACTGGAGTAAGTGAGCATACAAATACATACACTGTATTAGTGAAAATAATATATATAATGCATTATATTAGGGGAAATTGCTTACAAAAATGTGTATATTAGGAGAAATTTGCACTAAAATTCTGCTGAATTTTCAAATTGCAAACTGACGTGGAAATGTGACGAACTGAAAAACAGAAAACCGAGAAACTGAGAGAAACAAAAACTGACATTCACCCATCCTTGTGTGCAGGAAAACCAGAACTGAGGCCTTCAGGAATCCCATAGAAATCAGTGGTGCTTAAGCATGCCTAAGTCTGTGTTGGATTGCAGCCTGTGTATTCTAGGAAGAGCTCAATTTCCTTATACTGTATAATGTGTGCTGTACTGTATTATAATTTCTTCTTCTTTTTACTATTCAGATAGGTTTCACAAATATAAGTCATATGTTAACCCCAAGAGGCAGAGTCTATGCGGAGCTCACAGTCTCTCATCTAAAGCCAGGGGAATTTTTGTTAATTACTGGTTCTGGGTCAGAGCTTCATGACTTGAGGTCAGTGTACATTGTAACTACTGAAGTTTAAAAAGCCATTTGTGATTATGGAAATGGGGAAGGAGCTGCAGTTCAGGAAAGTTGCAAGAGCCAGAGAACATAGGAACAGATTAAGTTGCCTTGGACTGAACCAGACTATTGGTCCATCTAGCTCCCTAATGTCTACACTGAGTGGCATTGTTTCAAGCAGGGAGTCTTTTCCATCCCTACCTTGACATGCCAGAGATTGAGCCTGGGACAGATGCTTCACCCTTGAGCTCTGGCCTTTATGCGTCCTGGGATCTTCTGAATCAGAGATAACATTGTAAATAGCTCAGAGTACATCGTAAAAATACTGAGATTATGAATCTTCTCTTCAGAAGAGAGAAGAAGGTATAAATCAAAAGTATTGTTCACCTCTCGCTGAGAGTGCTTAGCCTATTTATCCTGGTAAAACAAAGGCTTCAACAGGCTATGATTGCACACTGCAAATAGTGTAGAGGACATATACTAGCAAGGCGGGTATTTATTTGGGTAGAAATGACTAATGGTCCCAACTAATTTCTGTTGGCTGCTCCTTGATAAAAAACTAAATGGAGCTCAAAAAGAGGTTTATAAATATTTGTAGTGATGAATGTTGTGATAGCCTCAGAAAAGCTGTGGGAATTGGTTGTATTGGTGGATGATATTATTATTCAGTTGGGTATCTCATGCATTAAAAAAATATATATCTGGAATCTGAATATGGGACAGTAGGGAGTGGGGTGAGCTTGTCTCAGAGGTACAAGAGATGCTCTTCAAGACTTGGGTTTACCTGATAGTTATAGTTGTCAACCTAGTTATTTTATGCATTTTAATGTTTGGATTAATAAAATGTTGCCTTTTATTTTCAGATGGATTGAAGAGGAGGCATCTACAGGACAGTTTAACGTTGAGATCAGAAATGTCACAGAAGAAATTGGAGTATTGGGTGTAGCTGGTCCATATGCACGAAAAGTCCTCCAGAAGTTGACAACAGAGGATCTCAGTGATGCAGCATTTAGTTTTCTACAATCCAGACATTTAAACATTGCGGATATTCCTGTTACTGCAATTAGAATATCCTATACAGGTAAGGCAGGAGGGGGAGGGATTTTTGTTCTTATAAGCAAAACATTTGGTTTCTATACAAGGCAGCAGTGCTTGCAAGTAATACCACTTTTACTTGCAGAGATGGGTCATTTAATGTCTTTAAATAAGCATGGTCATAATTTAATTTTAGACTTGATTAAGATGTCTACCTTTGGTTTGTAATAGGTGAACTGGGTTGGGAGTTGTACCACAGGCGAGAAGACTCTGCACCTTTATACTCTGCTATCATGGAAGCAGGCCGTGAAGAAGGAATTGACAACTTTGGAACATATGTGATGAATACGTTAAGGCTAGAAAAGGCTTTTCGCGCATGGGGAGCAGAGGTTTGAATATAATTCTTTCTTTTTTGTTCTTTCTTTGGTGTTATTTGTGTATTGGTCACAGGTAATCATATTTAACTATTCTGCTTCTTCAAGGCCTGATAAGAGTAAAATAAGAAACAGCTACTATTATGATTTACACCTTCTATTTTTCATGAGGGCAAACTGTTAGTATTCTCAATTACATTTGTGGCACCAAAGCCTCCTTTTTCATTCACTGATGTCCCCCCCCCATATTAAAAAGTCTGTTCAATTAAGAGATCACAGTAGTATGTTTGGGTGGAATTCTTATTTAGAGCATACTCTGATAATTAAACTCTGTGCCGTTTCAGTCTAAAGTGTTTTCAGCTCCTAAGGGGCTTTGAAATTGTGCCCAGATCCTTACACCCATTTTAGCAGGTTACTCAGAAAAGAGCTAAGGGTTTGTCTTCAGAGAAAACAGCATGCACTGTGGAGTCAATGAGACCTACATTTAGGTAGCTGTATCCGGGATGCAAACCTCTATTCTGAAGCATTTCTAATTCATTCCTCTGCTGTATGAGGAATTTATAAAAACCTTCTCATTTATCTCAAGGCATTTCTGTTCCAGCAGTCAAAATGTGCACTGACTGCAATTTCACCTTTGTACGACACACTTTAGATATATATCCTATCATCACAGAGAATATGAGGAATAGCTATCCTGTTTGCCCCAATCCTTCTCATAAAATGTTGGATATTATGAAGTCCCTTCCATTTTAGAGGAGGCTGAGCTCACACCTTCCATAGATTTAAACAAAATAAAACTCAACAAGTGTTTTTAAAATGTTATTGATAAAGTTGGAGATAATATACCCTTGCTGCTACTTCCCCCTTAATACATGAACACTTGTATGGTGGATGTGCGTAGCAGAGGATGAACAGGAAAAGCAAAGAAAGAACCATGTGACATGCTCCTGTTCAGTATTTTGCTTGCTTCTCTTCTAGTTCCTCCATTCAGTTCCCATTCCTACCTAGTCAGGATTCCACATCAATTGAGGCTGCTCATGCTACATTGGACTGCTTCTTGCTTGCTTGCTTATTTATTTATTTATTTATTTATTTATTTATTTTTCCGCTTGCACTTCAGGGTATTTTCCTAAAGATGTTTTGCATTTTCTGAATTGGGATAAGCCAGCTTCTTATTTCCCTAACATTTCTCGGCAAAAAGATGCTGATATTAATATGACACCAGCTCTTTCAAAATGCTGTGACCGTAATTCAGTAGGTAGTGATGCATGCGTATATAATTCTCTCCTTCTTTGGAGGTTTTTATGCAGAGGTTGGATGACCATCTGTCTTGGATGCTTTAGTTGAGATTCCTGCATTGCAGGGGGTTGGACTAGATGACTCTTGCTGTCCCTTTCCGGGTCTGCAATTGTATGATTCCACATGCACAAAAACTGCTGTGGATATGGAATTCTCTGGTTTCACCTGGAGAGCAGAGATAGTCAACATAGCGCACTCCAGATGTTGAGATTACAACTCTCACCAGCATGGCCTATGGTCAGGGGTGATTGAAGTTGTAATATAACCACATCTGGAGGACACCACATTGACTACACCTGGTCTAGAGAGCATCCCAATGCAATTGTTACTTCAACAATCCCACAGAATTCCACCCTACTGTCTTACCTGTTGAAAATGAGAAGAACAACTGAGGCATCAGATAGCTGTTCACTGTGGGATGAGGGATAGTGAGGTAGATTTGCAAGTAAATCATAATTGCATCTTCCTTGGTTAGTTCTCAGTGGAGTAAAGGCTTTTTTGCAGGATGTCTCATTTCTTATTGTCTTCTTAACTGTAGATATTGAAGAAATATATACTTGCATTTTTTTATTGAAGATACAAATGTCACTAAGAATTACAATCCTTTAACAAAAGAGATGTTACTTGTTGTTCATAAAGAAATAAATGGAAAACAGTATGAGAAAGTGAAAAGACGTGAAGGAAATATGCCATCTAGTGATTAAATCGCTTATTGCATATTTTTTTAACAGATGAATTGTGACACCAATCCTCTGGAAGCCGGACTGAAATATTTTATAAAATTAAATAAGGTAGGTCTGAAACATTTTTAGAGATATATATTTATGAAATTATTCCTGGGTTTGCAAATATTATATATAAACTCTTCAAAACAGATATTGATAAATTTCTGCAGCACTGTTCCACGTTGTATGCTGGAGGAATGGTTTCAAATAATGTTGCTTTGATAGGTAGATTGGTCCCACGAATTAACTACATCTGCCAAAGAATGTGAAAATCAGAACTAGTTCCTTGTGCATCTCTTTATCTGAAATGAATTTTGTTCTGGTGTCGAATTTTGGATGCTGACTGATTCATTTAATTGCTACTGCAAAACCATTTATATTTCCTACAATCCAACTGGACAGCTGTAAGTGTGGTGGCAAATTCAGTATGTGAGATTTTACAGATGGTCTGGGTCTGGTCAGTGCTTGGGACGACATGGGGACCCTATGTATATCACCCTTAGTTCATTTAAAAAGAGGGGAATATAAAGTATAAGAAATGTCCAGCTGCGGATATTTATCTCCAGCATTTAGAGAAATAAATTTGCTGCAAAATACAGTGAGCCTTTTGAAAGCATGAATGGAGGTAAGAAGTTTACACAAGCCTAAACTATTAACCTGCTTCAATGGAAGAAATAAATTTGGAGATAAAGTCTTGATTGTGACTCCTTAAAAAAAGAATATGCCAGGGTGAAACAGTTCAGGATAGGAAGTCTGTCAAATATTAGTTGCCTCTAGGGGCAAAAAAGACTTTTATGTGTTTACATGTCAAGGGAATTTAATTTGGAAGGCTGTCCTGGAATTATTCAGGAATGGCCAATGAAGAATAATTAATTTCAAAATATTGCACAGGCCTGGCTCTTGTGTGCTGTAAGGTGATGGTTAAAGCAGATTGCAGCAGATGTTGGTGCTCTCTTACTCAGCTGAGTAGGTTTGTGTATATAATTTGGATCCATTCCAGGATTCATAAGAGATTTACCCAATAAATTGTGCCATTAAAAGGTGTTTGCATGTCTTATTGACAGATTGAATTATAATATTTTAGTTCCAAGGGACCCCAAACATCATTGTCCTTAATTAACTCCTTTTATTTTTCTGACTGGATAAAAAAACAAACTCACAATTTGGGAGTTTCTATCTACACTCTACACATCTGCATACTTCGCTTAAAAATAATAGCAATTGCTACTAGAATGTTTCCTATAAACGAATACAGCGTATAGGAGAATATACCATGTTACACTGTAGGAGGCACCTGCTTTAACAATTTGATCCACAAATACTCAGATGAATCTCTTCAGATATGATATAGAGTAAAAGCAAATGACAGACTAATACTCCTACTAAGCAGCCCCACTTCCTTGCCTCAGAGGATCAGAATGAGCTCTGTTACACAGTAGGTAGAGGCCAAAGATCAGTACCAAGGAAGTACAAGGATGAGGGAAGGAAATGCCACCTGAAAAGAATCATGGCACCATAGGGATACTATCTTTCTGTTCCTGATACCACACTTGAATGAAAGTTTAATTGAGCAAATCTTTTGTAAGTCACTTTGAAAGCTTCTCAGGTCTGTAAAGCGGGCTAGAAATAGTTTAAATAAATAATTTTTTAAAAAAGAATTTGGGAATCAGAACCTTTTATACAATTTGCTCATAAAAGAAACCTTAGACATAAATGGAAGGACAGTACAGTGGTACCTCTGGTTAAGTACTTACGTCATTCGTTCTGGAGGTCTGTTCTTAACCTGAAGCACCACTTTAGCTAATGGGGCCTCCTGCTGCCGCTGCGCCACCACTGCACGATTTCTGTTCTCATCCTGAAGCAAAATTCTTAACCCGAGGTACTATTACTGGGTTAGATACCTGAATCGTATGTAACCTGAAGCATATGTAACCTGAGGTACCACTGTACTTTGATTGGAGTCTTCGTATTCTGCCATATATGCTCACACTAGAAAGTCAGGCTGGTTTGATTGCTATTCCATTTTGACAATAGACATTTTTGGGACTTTAAAACACCACAAAACCTTGGAATGTACTTTCCTAGCCAATTAAGCCTTATGTGAAGAATTGCAACAGTGCAACTGTATCCCATGCTTGTTTACTCAGAAGGGAGTCTCACTGACTTCAAATGTTTGTGGGACTATAACCTTAGTCTTCATTACTTTTTTTTTGTCAAAGTATAAATTATTTTGAGGCTTTTCATATCTTTGATTTTTAAAAGTGCAGTAGTTATTACAGGTAAGCAACCATATACAGCAGTTTTGCTGCAGCAGCAGTAGTCGTGAGAGGTATTTTCAATTCTATCACTGCTTTGGTGTCGCTGGTTTTCAGAAACAACAGCCTGATGGCTGAATGTAGACAAAGAAAATCCAGGAAACAACTTCATTTTGATGGAGGGCTGCTGACTGAGGTGGTCATGGTAATGTAGGGGTAAAAGTGGCTATGTCAGAATTCCACATCTATGGAATGGCTGAGGGAGGTCTGCATTGCCCATGGGGTTTTGTGTCTAATATAGAAGTATGGGTGTGTTACTGTTTTGATTAAGGAATCAAAATGTCAGTAACTAGACCTGCTAAAAAGTGGGTTGTTGTTTTTAGAGGACCACTTCCTTGATCAGAAAATTCATTTTCACTGATGGAAGTTATATGAAGATTAATTACATCAGTCTCTGTGTTTCTGACATTAATATTTATCAACTGGCATTTTTCTGGTGTTTTCATTTTTTAAAAAATTCTGATTGGAATAACTTTCCACCCATGGTGAAAGCCAAAGATGCAGTGACTTTTGGAGACTATTTGGATACTTTTGTGGTGCATATCATGAAGAATTTCAGGGAAACTTTCTTGACTGCTGCAAAGACCCATCAATCAAAAACCTTATGGTAAAGTGTCAAATTGGGAAAGGAAGGAAATAAGAGTTGACATTAGCAGCAGGGACAGCATATTGCCTGTGCAATGGAGAACATTAATCAAATCCAAGGAAAACAAGGCCTCACTTGTTCTGTTCCTCAGAAGAAAACTGGTGCAGCAAGCAAAACGTAGTGACACAGACAGGCAGTGGTGATCATGATGGTTATGATGCTTCATCTGTTGGAAGAAACACAAACTACCTCAACTCTACTCATATGATTGTGCATCTGTCTGAGGCAGGGTCAGGTGGACATAAGAGTCACTGTCACAAGGAGCGATAGAGATGCTTTATTGCTACTGATGGCCTTCTAACCTCATCTCAACAGTTAGCTATGGATGAAAGCAGTCATGTCAAATTATATGAATTATATGTTGCCAAGCACAAAGTGGAATGGCATGATTAAGGAAGAGATGGACAGCTGGGCTTTCATGCCACCTTTCATGCCACCTTGGGGCATGATACCACAAGCTAGCTTCCAAGACTGAAAGACCTGTTAAAAGTCTACATCTCCTGTCTCATACATACCTGATGTCCACCTGATTTGAAGTGTCTTACACACCTGATGTATGAACCTACCAGGAAGACACATTCAATTCATATTCTGTTCATTTGCTCCATTCAGAAAGGGCCCACCACCAAGCCTTAATTTTATAAAATGCTATTGTGGCAAACTCAGTTTTCCAAGTCCCACAGAAAGTGGTTGACACATTGAGCAAAGTATGCCTTCTCTACAGATGACAAAAGCCATTTAGCTGAGTGATTGGACATTACAACCTGTGGGTGTACAAGTGGACATCAGTTTGCTTATGTGCAAATTTGTGAAAGTGAACTGGAAATCAGCATGCAAGTGTGTGGATTGGTGCCAAAATCCATACAGTTACAACCATGACAGTGATTTATGTGTGTATTGAAGGTGTCTTGTTATTTTGAAATGTTGTATTGTTTACTTAAGGATTAGATTTTAGTCCAAAAAAAGATTTCAGCCAAAATAGGTTGTCTATATAATTTGCTGCTTTTGGCTCCATTACTGTTTAGGTAGCCTTTTATGGCATAGAGCAGGGGTGTGGAGTTTTATCAGCTTGAGGGTCACATTTTTTCGTGGGAAGCATACCAGGGAGGGACCACAGGCCAGTGCTCAGTGTTGCCAGAATCAAAAGGTTATGTAGGCCCCATTCTAGCCGCACAAAAGTCAGAGAGGGGTATCATACTAGCCAACTTTTCAAGCACCAAACTAGAATGTGTGTCTTCTGGGATGTAGTCCCAGTCATCAAGATCTTGTGCAAAAAACCTGGGATGTCCTGTTTTTCCAGGGCACTTGGGAGGTATGGTGTGTTATGTATGTGCGTGTACCTACACATAAGTAAGCCAGAGGTCTTTATCCCACAAAGAGTATTTATAATGGCCACAACTCTTGTTGGGTACAGCTTCACAGAGACAAGTGGTCCTATTTTTGACAACTCATGAGTTGCAATGATGCTTGGCTCAGCCCAGGCTGCTGAGTCTTCAGAAGTCAGGAAGCAGCTAAAGGTGACCACTGTGTTTAGGTGGCTACTGCCCGGCCATCATTAGGGCACAATTCTGTCACCGCCCTTGAGATGGAATGGCTCATACCTGCAGGAGCCCACTGCAACTCCTTCACTTTTAAGGATCCTACCTAAGCACCCTTTGATAGATACGTCAAAGTTGTGAAAACAGAAAGCAACAAACCCTCCCATGCAGGGGCAACAAGAATATATACCCCACAGGGTTGCAAAAACTCTATGATCAGTTCTGCCAGTCCTGGGCCCAGGTAAGTTTTCTTCCTAATCCCATCAACCAGCAGCTAACACTGGGTCCAGAGAAATCTTGCACTAATTTACTTCAACCTATGTTACATAATGTTATAGCAAAGAGAGTAGGTAGGGATGGGCAGGCTAGGAAAATGCTAGCTGGATCCTCAAGAGGGAGATTGCTCGCCATTTAAAAAAAATTTCAGTCGAATCTGAGAAAGATGGCTAGGAGGAGTTGCATACGTGGCATGTTTTCTGCGACACCCCTACCCCCCCCCCAGCACATGGGCACAAGGGAAGGCTCCCTGTGCAATTGGAAAGCCAGCCTTTATCATACATGAGCTGTACTGAAAGTAATGGGAGATGAGCACAAGTACTCTTCTAGTACTGTTTGTCCCTTGTGCAAGAGAAGCTCCTGCAGGATTGCAATTTTGTACAGTACTTGTTTCTTTGCTCCACTTTTATCACCCTTTGTTGAATTCATGTGTGAAGATTCTCTCCGCTGATACTGCACACATAGACTGAACTACAGTACACTAACACATTTTCCTTCTGGAAATAACATGACATATGAATCATTTCCCTATGTTGGGATTTTAGTTCCTCATGCATGATTTTAAAGTGAATGAAGGAGGTTGGGGTATAGATACAGTGAACATTATTTTAAGTCTAAGTTGTATAGTTTCATTTGCTATAGTCTGCTTTTTTCTGGGGGTACACAGGGGTATGCATACCCCTAAACATTTTGTGAATCTTTGTACCTTTGTCCATTTACTGTATTTATTTTTCTGGATTTGAACTATAAAATGGTTATTTCTTGAGTCAAAATGAGGGTACCCATAAAGATTTTTTAAAGAAAAAAGCACTGGCTACAGTGGTAAAAACTATTACAAAACAATTTTGGAAGATTATCCTACCATGCAGTATAGCAAAAATCCAGAACCTCCACAGTGGAATGTGAAAACATAAAGAAGTTCAGTAAAAGAAATACAGAGAAAGTATATTAATTAAAGCTATGCTTTTCCTTTACTGTCAATAGGAAAGGAAATATTCTAAAAGCTCTTTTTTTGTATTGTAATATAAATATGCTTCTTTGTCTTCACTAAACAACTATTTCAGAAAAAAATACAGCACATAAACTAAAATGTTTTCTTGATCATTGATTTAGCTGCTGAATAATACCTGGTAAATGTGGTTTGAACCATCCTTTTCTTTCTTAGAACTAAATATAACACACATGAATTTTTCTCTCACAAATTAATTTGTGAGGGCTTTTTTTTAAAATGCTAAGGCAAATCAAAATTTCTCTAGCTGTTGCCCTGTTTATATATTCACAGGAGTTAACTACCTTCTATGCAATTAATCTCGAAGTGACCCATTAAAGCAATTCACATCTGTTACCAGGTCATACTCAAGGCTCCAATTATGACTGCTGCATTAACCTTCATGCAAACTGTGTTTTCCATTTATAAATGATGGATTTATGGGAGTCAAGTGAATAATGTTGAAGAGTAAGCATGGGGGAGCTTGGAAGTATTCAAATGCATGGGCTTCTTTTAAGGACAGTTTCACTAGAACATGGAGAAGCTATGCACAGAACTACTGGCTGCAAATAAGAAACGCCAAGAGCCATCAAATGTAAATTGTCAGATTCTCATCTATGATTTCCGCCCTGCCCCCCCCTTTCCATTGTATCTCCTGGAAATAACTGGAGTCAACCAAAAGCAATAGTGCACTCAGTTTATATCATCTGGTGTACTATGGATTACTGCTTTTAATTGGCAAAGCCTGATTGCCATTTTCTATAAGGGTATGTCTGCACTGCTATCTCTCTGGTGGCTCGTGTTTTGGTTTGCCCTTCATTGTCTCTCATCTTCTCTCTCCCTCTATTAATACATTCATGGTATATGGAGAGGACAGCAATGGAAAAGGAGACACTAAGGACAAGAAATAAATTGTGCCTGTTCAAGCAGCATGCTGCCCATGCCTGCTCACAAGTGTGAGTAGGAGAAGTGGTACATGGATTGCAATAGCATAGTGTCCTGGTTTAATTGCTAGCAAATTAATTAGCAAGTAGAAGGGCAACATGTGTTTAAAACATGGATAAGGAAACTTTCTAGCCTGGCAGACCAGATTGTTATTTCCTCCACCCCTTGTGAACCAAGTTTGACAGGCCAGCAGATCCTATTTTGCTCCAAAAGGCAAAGACTTTCTCAAAACACTACAGTGGCACCTCGGGTTACATACGCTTCAGGTTACATACACTTCAGGTTACAGACTCCGCTAACCCAGAAATAGTGCTTCAGGTTAAGAACTTTCTTCAGGATGAGAACAGAAATCGTGCTCCGGCGACGTGGCAGCAGCGGGAGGCCCCATTAGCTAAAGTGGTGCTTCAGGTTAGGAACAGTTTCAGGTTAAGTACAGACCTCCGGAACGAATTAAGTACTTAACCCGAGGTACCGCTGTATTTGTGCAGTGCTTTGAGCTGTGCTTCTGAAGATTTGACAGATCAGCTGATTGCCAGATCTTCAGAAACCCCTTTTAGAACTTTATTTTCTGCAGCCTTGGGGCTTTGCAGGTACTTGCAAACAACTGTTTTGACTGAGCCCTACCCTTACCTGCCCCACACCTGTAAAGTGGCCTTACAAGCCAAATGGCTGGCTAATTAGGTCTGCAGACCAGAGCCCCCCCCCCAATATTGTCTTCTGGGCTTGAGGGACGTTGCAGGAAAGTTCAGTACTGACTTTCTTGAGAGAGGTGGAGTCCTGTGGAGGAAGGCCACGTAGGATTGTCCCGGCCACATCAACTGTCTGCAGAATTTTTCAGGAAAACCTGCGTACATATCCTGAGCCACTCCTGTGTGGTTTTGCTGCCTGCCAAAAACACATATTCCCTGTTTCCTTTTCTTATATTGAAGCTGGGCAGTGGCAATAACAGCAGCAGAAGCATATTTTGAACTGAGATTAGGAAGGCTTCCCACACACCACCTTCTATGTTCTCTTTTGCCCTGTCACAACTACAGTAATAGCATGCCAGTTTGCAAGGAATTACAGGCAAAATTCTCCCCCACTCCCTCATGTGCCCAGCACTGAGGTGATGGAAAGAAGAGAAGGAAGATTTCTGTATTTATATTGCTTCTCTTGCCAGCTTCCAGCTTAAAGTGTTCTTGGATGTGGTGGATATGGACAAGGAGTATTTAAACCAAACCTGAGTAGAGTGTTGGGAGTTGTAAAGCTCACTTTTCATATTGAGGCCAGCTTTAAAAGCCCCTGAAGTTCATTTTCAAGACATATATCTCTATCTGTTTGTTTGTTTTAGACAGAACATTCCAAAGTGAATTTAGTAAGCATTGCTCTTGCTCTAGTTTGGCTTCAGAGGTCATCACATAGACAAATTGCATCATCCAGAAACTAAATTGGAGTAAGTGCTCCCCGATTAATTCTAGCATCTAGTACCAGAAGGAAACATATTTACCATCACCACTGAAAACCATCAAAAAGCAACAACAAAAAGGCAAAGAGGGATTTTTCCCTTACCCGCCTCCTGAAAGCCTAGCAAGCTGAAAAAGGCTGCCTGACAGATTTTAGTTCAGGCCTTCTGTCAGGCTTCAGCAGGGGGCTGCTCTTAACAGGTGCCAACCTGAACGTGGGCAGGCATGGTTCATACCAGAAAGGTTAAGGCCAGGGCAAGCATATGAAGCTATGAGGAACCAGAAACAGGAAAGACTCAGAGGCAAGGGCAGAATCTAAACAAGTGTGACTGAAGGTTGATTCCAGAGGAGTAATGAAAAGTTGATTTGGCTCTGCTGCTGCTACTGATAGCAGACACAGGGGCCAAGCTTGAAGCTTGAGGCCAGGGCTGGATAGGCTACTGCAGCCAATGTAGCACCCTTGTAGTTCTGTATACACACAGTATTCTATTCTAGAATGAGTTGAAATTCTTTGTTTTCTCTTCATACACACACTATCTAGATCTGTTGCATATTTTGCCCCTGAAAAGCGCTTCTTGAGAAACTGGTTTCATTCTGAAAATAAAAGCTTATTGCAGATTGATTCTGTATTACCCTAAGTAATATGTAGACGGTCCCAGCAATTGGGGGGGGGGTATCCATACCTGACCAATGAAGTTGTGGACAGGTGTATACCAAAAGCAAAATCACAACTTCCTTCTCCTGGGGAATGTGCAGAGAGAAAACGGCGTGCCTAACCTAAGCAAGGTGATGGTTTTGAAACGCATATCAACTCCACCCACCCTAAGTAGATGGCAGGATCTAGAATCAATCTTGATTGAAATCAGCATGTTGAAGACAAACATGAATGGTTCTGGATTTTGTGCTGCCAGTGGGTTAATGTGCACACAACCTCAGACTTTTGGTCTAGTTGTCAGTAGTTCATACACGCATGCAAGAGTCTTTCCCACAACTGTTACCTCATGTCTTTTTAACTTGAGAGAGATACCTCAGGCAAAGCCTGGGGTTTTCTGCATGCAAAAGTATATTTGCACATAGCATGAGCTACCCCAATAGCTTTGGAATGCACAAAGTAGTTTACCAGATAAATGTCTGCTGTTGCTATCTTTTGTGGGATCAGGAGGCAGGGGAAAGGGATGTGGGCTTTCTTGCAATAATGTTCTATAAATGTCTCTGCTGTTACTTCCCTATGTAAGTAGCCAAGAGGAAACTCTTTTCAGTATAATATTTTTAAAGGTATATAATCTGAATGTATAGCGCTTAAAGGTTACAAATGTAGACAAATATGAGGTAAAATAACTGAACATACCCACATTCTGAGCAAGATGAAATAACATTCAAGAAGCGCAATGGTTTAATTTAATTTGTACTTTTATCTAAAGCTTAATAATGGATGGAAAAACAAGTGAAGGCAAATTTAAATGCTTGCATCCATAACCCTGTCACAGAGCCTGACTAATCATTTATCATCATTATCTTTTTTTCCCAGCCAGCAGACTTCATAGGAAAGCAAGCACTGAAGCAGATTAAAGAAAAGGGGCTTGAACGGCAACTTGTGTATCTCACCTTGGAAACGGATAATGTTGATCCAGAGGGAAATGAAAGTGTCTGGTATAATAACAAGGCAAGTAGCATAGATTTTGTTTCAAAAAACTGAAGCAAAGTTTTTTAGAACATATTGTGCTCCCATCCATATTTCAAAATGAACAAAAGATAGTTTGCACACAGTTTAAAAAGGGTTGCAAACACCAGCATATGTTTGCGCAAGGAAATACGCACATGTGCAATGATATACGTTTTTATTTTTTGCTATAACAGATTAAAAAATGCCACCCCTTTGCAGTTTCTACCAGTGGCAGTTCTCACAGTCCTCTGCTGGGCTTCTCACAACAAAAGGAATTTGTTACTGGGCCAGGTTCAAGGTTCTTGTGTTAATTCTCAGAGCTCTAAGCACCTTGGACCCAAAGATTATGTAAAGAAGAAGAGGAAGAAGAGTTTGGATTTGATATCCCACTTTATCACTACCCTAAGAAGTCTCAAAGCGGCTAACCTTCTCCTTTTCCCTTCCTCCCCCACAACAAACACTCTGTGAGGTGAGTGGGGCTGAGAGACTTCAAAGAAGTGTGACTGGCCGAAGGTCACCCAGCAGCTGCATGTGGAGGAGCGAGGAAGTGAACCTGATTCACTAGATTACGAGTCCACCACTCTTAACCACTACACTACACTGGCTCTCTAAAGTAAAGGACTGATGAGGACTGTCCTGATGTACTCTGTGCTTCCCCCCCTACTTTGAAACAGAATCAAGACCCCAGTCCACCCAGCTTTCAGGCAGACAAGATAAGACAGCCTGCTGAAATTGGATACAGCTTATAATTCAGGAGGGAGAGAGAGAGGCTGGGAGGAAACAGGAAAGCAGGGGAAAAACGCATCCTGACCTAAGTTGCTCACAATAGCAGCACTACCTTCATACAAATGTATGGTAAAAAAATTAAGAAGTGGGTCCTCAGTTGCATTTTTGGGTTAAAGGAGGGTTCCAGGTCCAAAAATGTTGAAGACCTGTGTTCACACAAAGATTGTGCCACCTTCAGGTGTCAAATTTCCAAAGAGAATGAATACTTTGAGATGCATTCAGATCAATGGACTTTAATAACTCAAGTGGTTTCAGTGGGTCTACTCTGAGTATGATTTAATATCTCTCAGAAATTAGAAATGGAAAATTTATTACAATATTGAGTCACTTTTTAGATCCATCTGCATGTGTCCATATCAACAGCTTTCATTTATATAAATGAAAGTTATTTCTTTAGAGTGGGGAATATTCTAAAAACTGTATTTATTACCTGAGGAATGTGATATATTTTTATGCTTCAGTGTAAGTTTGTAGGGTAGGTTTGTATGCAGCAGTCGAGCTATGTTGCTACTCAAGAACAGGTGATGCATGTGCAATATCTTTTTCCAGGGCACAAATTGTTCTCTATGTTGAGATGCTCCCAGCCTTTTTTTTTTTTTTGTTAAAGCAGACAAGATAACTATGTAACGTGCAGTCATGTGTTTGATTTTCTAACATACTGACTGTTTTATTGAATAATACAACCTACATCAATTGTGTAGGCTTCCATGCACTAAAACCTTTGTGATATTTGGGTAATTTTTCAGGTTATTGGCAACACCACATCTGGATGTTACAGCTACAGCACTCAGCAGAGTCTGGCTTTTGCATATGTCCCTGTGGAACTCAGTAAAGTTGGACAGAAACTGGAAGTTGAACTACTAGGCAAAAATTATCAAGCAACTATTATCCAGGAACCATTGGTTATGACTGAGCCAACAAGAACACGGCTTCAGAAGAAGGGTGGAAGTGCTAAAATATAAACAGGCAGGCGTTTAATTCCTCAATATTAAGAGTCAATACTTGATTAGCATATTTCATTTGAGTTGAATGCAAATTACACATGAAATATGCAACAAAATAATACTTTATGTTTACTAATCATTAAGAATAAGGAACAATTTAAGAAACCACTGTTACTTATGCACATTAGTTCTTGCAAATAATGTACACCAAGTCAGTAAATAGCAGCAGCAACAGTCTTGAGTATGTTGTAAAAAAACGGGATTGTTGCAGTATGATTGAGCAAGTGGCAGGAGTCCTGGGCTACAGAGCATGTGGCAAATCTTTGTAGAAATGATGGTCTGATCACAAAGGAGAACAAAATACTGAGGTTATAAGCCCATGAATTGATGGGAATTTGAAAGCAGTGAAAGCCTCTTACCTAGGTTGGCGCAGTGGTGAAATAAGTTCCATATCTGAAGCAAGGGTCTAGGTAACCAAACAGAAATTTACTTAGAAGACAGTTTTACCTCCCAATGATTTTTGAACTTGCATTGCATATAAGGATGGGGGAGAAATTCAATTCAGTTTGTATTTAAAGGTGAACTTATCTCATTTGCACTTTCTGAAACACTGCACAAACCAAAAGATAGCTATTCTTTGAAATTCATAATTCTCCAATTTTGGGGGCATTTTTCCCCAACCAAATCATGTGTACAAAAATGCATATACTAAGGTTAAGTATGCATAAAAATGCATATATCTGTGAGAATAACATACAAAAATGCATTATATATGGGGAAATTGCTTTGCCAAATTGTGCATACTGTATTAGGCAAAATTGCATACACATATGTATACATTAGGAGAAATTCACAGTAAATTACTGTCAAATCTTCTAGGGGACGTATGAAAAATGGTGAATTGATGTGGAAGTCATAGAGGTAAATTTAAAATAGGGAGGGGGATGAGAAACAGTGAAACTGAAATTGACAGATTCCTCCATCCCTATTTGCAAAACAGCTACTTGGTTCACACCATTTGGGCTATTTTTTAAAAAAAGGAAATTGGGAAAGTGAATTGGAGATAAAACCAATGATACCACAGGGGTCTAGATTCCTAGGTACTCTAGTTGGTGATCAGAAAATAGGGAATCTCTCTCTCTCTGTGTGTGTTTCTGTGTTTCTTTGAACACCTGTACAACACAAATCTCTCATTTGAAACTTCATGGCTGGTGGGCTAGCCCTTCCAGAAAAATCTGTCTGCCTTGGTTGAATAGCCTGTGCTGGATACCAAATCCATAAAACATTGATTAATTTCATACTTAGACCATAATTTTCCCTTTTCATAAGCCTAATGCTAACTTTTAAAACAATTTTGTGTCCCTGCTCACACTATTCAACACTAAATTTTCATTGTCCTATTTAAAGGTCACTTAAACAAAAATTGCTCAAAAGTGCAGAATCTTCCACAGAAACTGATACATCTAAGTCCTTCAGTAAAGAAGCTGAAGCATAAATAAGACATGCCAGTAGAAACACAGTTTGAATAATGAGCACCTATTATTGCCAATGATTTAATGCAAGCTGACATTACATTGTACAGATCTGAGTATCTGTTTACAAAGCAGGTCGCAATAAAATATAGAAGCTGACAGGATTGCCCATAGTGCTAGCTGGAGTGAGAGAGAAAAATCCTTTTCAAAATTATTCTCTTATACTTTATATTATTTGGCCTATTTTCTTCAACCATGACAGGATCTGATTTTATTTTTTTAAGATGACATTGTTTGTAATCAATCACTTTTTACATCTTAGTTTGCCAATACATTCTTTTAGATGTTAAAAAGGATTAGAATTAAGCATATTTTATATAGAAACAAAAATATATAAACACAGGGCACAATTTCTCTCCTGCCTCATTACCTATAGAACTCATTTGTAAAACTGTGAACAAAGGGAAACTTTTATCTCTTCACCTACCCCTTGCGGCTAGGTGCTTGTCCAGCCGTTATGTGGAACGGAAAGTCCATAGATGGATAGATAGATAGATAGATAGATAGATAGATAGATAGATAATCTCCCATAGTGTAGTCATCCCCAACCTGCTGCCTTCTAGAATATGGCCATGTAGCCTGGGGTTTATGGGACTTTTAGTGCAAAACATCTGGAGGGCACAATGTTGGAGAAGGTTGTCTTTACTACACCACGAGTGGGCTCCTTGCTCTTGGAGCATGAGTAGCTTGCACACAGCACTTTGCATAGATGCTACTACGGGAGGTACGCATGCACACCCTACCCCAGATTTAAGCCTGTGCTTTGTGGAGTCCTTTACAGATTATTTATTTATTATATCTATAACATGCCAGGTGTCAGGGAAGAGTTAGAAGTTTCAGTTTCTCAGAGGGAGAAAGCATTCGCCAAGGAGGGAAGGAGAGCAGTGAATGTAACAGAAGAGAGCAAGAGAAACAACAGGGAGGGACTGGCTGTTCACAGGAAAGGCAAGGGTTACGTTCTAGCTCAGATTCGGAGGAGGGGAGATACAAGCCAGCTCTAGCCAGGAGGTTAGAAAAAAGAGCGGGAAAGCGAAGGGAAGGGCGCCTTCGCCATTTTGAGGGTGGCTGGTCATGGAGAAGCAGAGCTCAGAAGGTATCTGAAATAAGTGACTCTGAGGAATAATAGTTAAGAACCATTTATAAGATTGTTTTGTTAATACACAATAAAAAGTTTTATAAAAGAACAAGAAGCGTTTGTGTGGTGATCTGAAGAGGACAACGACCAGTCCTGACACCAGGATTGGCTCCCAAAGCAGTTTACAATTAAAGCCTCTTAAAAGGGGACAATATAATTAAGGATATGTTTGTGACTAGAATAGATCAGGCCTTTTATATTAATTATTTATTGGTGTGATTTCACTCGCTGAATAATCATAAAATGTAAGTTCATACATGTTTGCAATTCCTGATGAATATCATATATTTTTGTTCCTTGCATTATTAAAATTCATATACTTTTTCCTTTCAAAGCAATATAGTTTTTTAAAAGCCCTTGTTCATGTTTTCATGTCGCCAATTTTGTAAGCAGATGGAGATTGTAATTCAGTGGTTTTGTAGGAAAGGTAGCTCTAGCAGTTATCCTTGAGAAATTCTGTCAACATGCCTAGATTACTTAACTTGTTGCACACTAACTGACACAAGTTAAAGCAAGAAAATGCAGAGAGACCTTACTTTTTTTTCCTTAACCGGTTTCCTAAAGTTTAAGTCAGGCATAGGCAAACTCGGCCTCCAGATGTTTTGGTACTACAACTCTCATCATCCCTAGCTAACAGGACCAGTGGTCAGGGATGATGGGAATTGTAGTCTCAAAACATCTGGAGGGCTGAGTTTGCCTATGCCTGGTTTAAGTTTACAAATATTTCAGTAAGAAGAGTTACACTGGGCAGCACAGCTAACCCCACAAATAATTATTTTTATATACTGTACAATACAATAATAGCGCAGTCTCATCAAAATAGCCTCTGATTAATACACTATCTACAGTAGTGTCAGATCCCTAGCTGGCAGGTTCCCAGTCCAATAGGCCTAGTGTAGTGAGGAGCATACCAGAACAAGATAGGAGAACAGCAAGCAAATATAAGGCCCCAGACTCCTAGAGCATTCTACAGTAAATACAAGTAGCTCAGACTGAAGAGCAAGACTGATGACTAGATGTTCTAAGAGTTGGTGGAGTTGGATTGTCTTTAGAATAAGCTAGGATTGCCACCTAAATGGTACTCTAGAAGTTCTTAACCTGAGTTACTACTTCCGGTTAGCGGAGTCTGTAACCCAAAGTGTTTGTAACCGAAGGTGTTTGTAACCAGAGGTATCACTGTACGTCCTTTTTCTTACCTGATTCGAAGCAGTCCTATATGGAGAATGTTCTTGGCCTCCTGCTGGTTTTTTTTTCACTAGTAGAAGACTTCTATCCTTGTTATCCTTTTAAAACTCACAAAAAATAAAATCCCGTTGGTAACCCTCTGTGTCCACGTGGCCTGCTAATGTATACAGTGGTACCTGGGGTTAAGAACTTAATTCGTTCCGGAGGTCTGTTCTTAACCTGAAACTGTTCTTAACCTGAAGCACCACTTTAGCTAATGGGGCCTCCCGCTGCCGCCGTGCCACCGGAGCACGATTTCTGTTCTCACCCTGAAGCAAAGTTCTTAATCTGAGGTACTATTTCTGGGTTAGCGGAGTCTGTAACCTGAAGCGTATGTAACCTGAAGTGTATGTAACCTGAGGTACCACTGTACAGTGAGACTTACATTGTTAAGAAGGTTGCCTGAAGTAGCATAGGATAAATCGGGTTCTGATAATTGGGCTGTGCTATAACCGATTGTTAAATGAAAGAGAGGGAACATAGGCAAGCATACAAATTAGCCGGAATGTGAAGGGAAAATACATCTTGTCCTTGGTCTGGAGGAGGAGAGTGAAAACTGCTGCAGCTAACAGATTTGCCCACAGATCAGATAAAAGTGCTGCTGCAGTTTGGCAGACTATTGGGTGGGTGATGGAGTCAACCCTGAAGAAAGTACCCCAGAGGGCACTTGGAGGCTGCCACCCCCTTTAAGTTTGTATTGATGAATTTATCAATCTAGTAGAAGAAAATGAGCAATGCATTATTAGGTGGTAATTGAAATAATATTTTTTGCTTCCAAAAAGTTGCCTATAAGCAAGTGACTGAATCAGTAAAGAGTAAGGCAAGAAGGAAGTGGCTGTGTTGCTGTTTCTTTGGCCTTGTACTGATGTGGGTGGAGGTAGGCGAATGATCTGGGTCTGAAGATGTTTAATGCTGCCATAGATTCTTTACAAACGAGAAATTCACTTTGTGACAAGTGGTTGGTTGGAAATAAAGCGTGTTAAGGTTGTGGTTGGTGGGAATGGTTGAGAGTGAGATTTGCATGTGGGAGTGTGCTATTTTTGGGAGATGCTATTGTGAAAGAAAGTTTAGGCACAGCTGCCTCCTTAGTTATTTTGCTTAGCAAATGATGCTTTAATATGTGAATTCTGATTGTACTTTTGTCTTTGATTTTTTACTTGTAATGTTTACTGATGTTGATATTTTGTTTCACTGTTAATGGTGCTGCTTTAAATGTGGATCTTTATTACATTTTTGTGTATGATTGTTATTTGCAATGTTCTTTTCTAGTATTTTGTAATATTTGTATTTGATGTTGTATGATGTGCTGTAAACTGCTTAGAGATTTTGTTTCCCCATGCGATGTAAAACAGAATAGAAATAATAAAGTAAGATTCCTATGCTTCTAAGCCAGCTTTATAAAACCAGATCCATATAAGACAAGCACCTGTTAGTTTAGTGTTTTCTACAATAATAAACCTTGTTATTCTTCCATTTCTGCTGTTCTCAACATGGGTTCAAGCTGTCCGGAGCACACTTGTAAGAGTTCTTAAGTTACGGCTACCCTCCTTCACCCATTTGCAGTCACTAGATTTACCTAAGCCTGAATTACAGGTTTTGCCTTTAACTGTCCTAGTAACCTTGGGCTCCCAGCCAACAGATAAGAGTCATGGTTTCCAGTAGGGCCTGTAATCTTAACTCACTGCAGCTCAGCACAGTGCCTAAGGCATGGGTAGGCAAACTAAGGCCCAGGGGCTGGATCTGGCCCAATCGCCTTCTATATCCGGCCCGCAGACGGTCCGGGAATTAGTGTATTTTTACATGAATAGAATGTGTGCTTTTATTTAAAATGCATCTCTGGGTTATTTGTGGGGCATAGGAATTCATTCATCCCCCGCCCCCAAAAAAAGATTGCTGACCCCTGGGCTAAGTCAAAGGATTGGGCCGTTCATAGAATAATACTGCTGTGTTCTGCTTTAATATTTCCATTTTTTTTACCAGATTATTTCTTTTTTATCGCTCTTGCACTTCAGCTGAAACATTCTCTTACAAGATTTCAAAATAAAACATTACTAAACGAAGCCCATTTATGAGATGCACATTTTAACCAGCACAATTAACAAGAGAATGAAACAATATCGTAAGCCTAGGGAAGGCACCAGAAGGATGAGGCAGCTGGTGCTGCAGGAGCAAGTCTTCCCTGGGGCATCCCCTTCCACCCCTAACCCCGGACCATGTACAGTACTGCTCTGTACTTCTTTAAGCCCTCTGGACAGACTCAGGCTGGGGAAGGAAAGGGAGACGGGCAGGCTGGTGGTTCCTGTTTCATTTCGCTCCGGGGGGCGGAGCTGACTGTGATTGGCTTCCTCCAGGGTGGGCGGACCATTTGCCCTCGGAGGCAGACTTGCAGGTCCCTGTGCCCTTCCTGCTCTGTGAGTTCCTGCTGGGGCTGGCGGAGGACTTAGGGATGCTCCAGCGGTTGGTGTTCGGGCGCTGCTCGCCCCCGGGGCTGCTGCTGCTGTTGCTGTGCTTGGCGCGCACGTGCCCGAGCGCTGCGCCTCCGCGGCCCGTCAACTTGGTCTTCGTGTTGGCCGACGACCTGGGCTGGGGGGACGTCAGCTGGCACGGCTCCGAAATCCGCACCCCGACCCTGGACGCGCTGGGGGCGGGCGGCGTGCGCCTGGAGAGCTACTACACGCAGCCGCTGTGCACCCCGTCGCGCAGCCAGCTGCTCACCGGCAGGTACCAGGTAGGCGGGAAAACGCGGCGGGATTGGACTTGCCCAAGCGAAGGGCTTCGAGACTGAGGGAGGGACGTGTAGAAACTGGCTGAGGTGCTTGTGTCTTCCCGCCCCGGCATCTCTCCCTTGCCGTCGGTGGATTCCTGTGAGAATCTAAGCCTAACTTTCTAGCCCTCGCAGTTGCAGTTCGAATGAGTGGTTTCTAAAACTTAGGAACTGCTGAGGTCTTTGCGTATTGACCCATCTTAATTATCAGGGATATGTATTTTTTTATTCTGATTTGAAAGTCACGCCCAAATCATGAGAGCTCTTCATTCGTGTAGCGCGTCACGTGTGCTTGTGTCTGTCCAGCAACGTGACGAGCTCCAGTCAAAAAGAGTCACGTCAGTTTCCTGTCAGAGCTGGCTGGACATCTGAAATAAGGTTGAGGTTTGGGGGTTGTATTTCTGGGCAACGTATTTGTAGTTTTCTTTGCCCGTTGTTCTAAAAGTTATTAGCTCTTAACATTGAGAGGGCCAATATTCCCCTTCCGGCCCGTATGCCCTGTAAACCTTAGCCCAATGATATATCTTGCAAAAATGCACGACGAATTCCTAGTACTGTATTGTTTTCCTAGTGCAAATATACCATAGGAATAGATAATTATCTGGTTTGGGGAGACCTCTAGTGGCTGTTTAATATGCATTTCAGTAAGAGGTCAGGATTGTGTCTTTTGTAAACTTCTGTAATTTGTTAGGGAAAGCAACGTGTAATAATGAATATACTTTATTTTTGCATATCAGCAAGCAGTGCATTTTTGCATATCAGCAAGCAGTGTTTTCCAGTGCACAACATATATTTTTAAGGGAAGGAGGAGCTACAAAGCTCCTTTTGGTTTGCATGTCAGCATCATGAATGAAACATTTTATCAGCAGAGCTGAGAAAGGAAACAGCTGATTAAAACTTAGCCTTCTCTCCTCAAGTTTCAGCGGCTGCCTCAGATCTAACTGACTTTCTATTTGTGGGTGTTTCCTGCCACCTATGATTCTGGGATTATCTCATAAAGTGGATGTGTGCCAATCACTCCGCTAGGAAGCCTGGTGTTTGGATTTGGGGCAGGTGTGCAGGGAGAAAGCAAAGGAAATGGTGCAACTGGTGGCATTTCTTGCAGAAGCCCATATTGTAGCAAGCCGATTGAATTCTAAAGTGCTGCAACACTCACGCTCCTTTACCCTATCCTACTGGCAACGGAAACTGCTTACACAAGAAGATGCTACTGTTAGCTAGTCCTACCACAGGCTGGACACTATTCAAGCTGTTGTTAGGCAACCTGGAGAATTAGTTCTGGGACTGCATCTCATTCTTTAGCAGCAGTGAGGAGGAACTTTAGTTAAGCCACAGAGGGCATGCTTTGCATCCACAAGGTCCCAGGTTCAATCCCTGCCTTCTTTAGTTAAAAGAATCAGGAAGCAACTGATGTGAAAGCCCCCTGCCTGGGACAGCGAAAAGCTGCCGCCATTCACAGGTGGCTTCATTTGAATGTAATGACAAACCATGCTGAAGCCCTGCTTTGTTTTACAAACCATGAGTTGCCCCACAGATTATCAAACAAACCAAAAGTCTTCGAAGTTTGGTTTGTTTTCCAGCTGCTACTGTTAGCCAGTTTTCCAGCTGCTCCTGCATCCTGCCTTTGTAGTTTGGTGAGCTTGGGTGGTCATATAAATTGTGGTTAAGGAAAGGTGCTCAGTTTGCCATGTTTAAAAGAAACTAAGCTATGAGCCAATAACTGTGGTTTCAGATCATGGTTTTGTAGGTAATAGACAAAACAAAGTTCAGCTGCTGGGCAGTGTTCATACATAATGCTGTGCCATGGTTTAATAAACCATGCCCTAGTGTTATGTGCAAAACAGGGCAATGAATATTGTTTAAAGCACACCCTTCCTTATACAAGATTGCAAACCCACCTAAAAATTGAGAACATAAGCCTGATTAAGATGATCTGGTGATGAAGGAGGTCGATTCCAGCCCCCTGCCTTCTCCAAACATATTGTCCTGGCAGCATTAGCTATATGGATTGACAGATGGCACACACAAAGAAAGAAGGATTGGAGCCTTTGATTTCTTATGACAATAGAGTTGTTCATAGTTGGGACTCTGTATACTGCTTGCAGTTCATTCATTCATCAATGACCAATTTGAGAAAAGGAGAACTTAAACTATGCCCCATCTCTTTCACACTCTGCAAAGCTCTATAGCTTAGGATGGGCCTGTAATTAGAGCATCTGCTATGCTTGCAGAATAGTCCAAGTTCAGTCCCCGGTATTTCTAGTCAGGACTGAGGGAATTCCCTGTCTGAAACACTGGAAAGTTTCCAACAGTCCTGTTGCTCCGCCATGACCTCCCTGCCAATTTTGATACAGTGACTGAACTGGAGGCCCTTCAACTGACTTCAGGTCCAGTGTTGGACCATTTTGATCGGATACTCCCTGCTGATGTGGATAGATTCCTCCAAGTTGGTAGGCCCACCACCTGCCTCCTTGATCTGTGCCCATCTTGGCTGATTAGGGTGTGTCCAGATGTTGCGCGGACCCCCCTGGTTGAAATTATCAATTTGTCCCTTGACACGGGGACATTCCCAGGGGAACTGAAGGAAGCAGTAGTGTGTCCACTCTTAAAGAAAACTTCATTAGATCCCTTAGACCTATCCAATTACTGCCCAGTTTCAAATCTTCCATATCTGGGTAAGGTAATTGAGAGAGCAGTTGCTGAACAGCTTGGTAGGTTTCTGGAGGAAACATCGGCTTTAGATCCATTTCAGTCCGGTTTCCGTCCTGGTTTTGGGACCAAGACGGCTCTGGTTGCCCTAACATGATCTCCATAGACAACTGGATCGAGGTGGGTCAGGACTGCTGATCCTTTTAGATTTGTCAGCAGCCTTTGACATGGTCGATCATGATTTTCTGGACCACCGCCTCGCAGACGTGGGGATACAGAGCATAGCCCGTAACTGGCTGTGCTCTTTTATCTCTGGTCGGGGACAGAGGGTGGCACTAGGGAGGGAAATATCGTCGCACCATTCCTTGGTGTGTGGAGGGCCGCAGGGCGCAATTCTCTCCCCGATGCTTTTTAACATCTTTATGTGCTCCCTTGCCCAGGTTATCCAGAGCTTTGGGCTGGGCTGTCACCAATATGCTGATGACACTCAGCTATATCTGCTGATGGATGGCCACACCGACTCGGCCCCGAACACACTGACTAGATGCTTGGAAGCTGTGGCTGGATGGTTTCGTGGGAGCCGATTGAAACCAAATCCTTCGAAGACAGAGGTCCTCTGGCTGGGTTGGGATGGCATGGGGATGAGGGACCAACTCCCTTCTCTTGCGGGGGCCCAGTTAGTGCCACTGCCTTCCGTTAAGAGTTTGAGTGTAATCCTTGACGCCTCCCTTTCCATGGAGGCGCAAGTTACAGCAACAGCCAAGGCGACATTTTTCCACCTTCGCCGCATCAAGCAGTTGGTCCCTTACCTTTCCCGCCCCGACCTGGCCACAGTGATCCATGCGACGGTCATCTCCAGGCTTGACTACTGTAATTCGCTCTACGCAGGGCTGCCCTTGAAGCTGACCCAGAAACTCCAGCGGGTACAGAATGCTGCAGCGAGGCTCCTCACAGGGTCTCTGCCATGGGAGCATATTCACCCAGTGCTTTTCAAACTGCACTGGCTCCCGGTAGAGTACAGGGTCAGATTTAAGGTGCTGCTTTTGACCTTTAAGGCCCTTCATGGCCTAGGACCCTCGTACCTACGGGACCGCCTCTCCCGATATGCCCCACGGAGAGCCTCAAGGTCCATAAATAGCAACACCCTAGTGGTCCCGGGCCCTAAGGAAGTTAGATTGGCTTCAACCAGGGCCAGGGCCTTTTCAACTCTGGCTCCGGCCTGGTGGAATGCTCTGCCTCATGAGACCAGGGCCCTGCAGGATCTGATTTCTTTCTGCCGGGCCTGTAAGACAGAGTTGTTCCATGCTTCCGGGGTGGCGCCATTGGCAATGACGGACTCCCTCTGATCTGGAGGGACTAGCTCCACGCGAAACGGGTCTTTTCCGCTACGGCGAAGCGGGGACCCTTTCAAAAATCACAGGCGGATGAAGCCTGTGACCATGGGACTCGGCGGGCACCTTTAGCGCCCCCCCAACCCGCAAAAGAACCCACTAACGGGCTCCGGAGTGAAGAGGGGGAAGTGGCGCGGTGCTGAGAGTCAACTGCTTCTTCCATGGAGCGAAGCCGCACACCTGTTGCCGGAGAGCGCTGCCTTTTTCCTGGGACAATTTGGCTTCTAAAATAATCACCCATGAGTACTTAAATTTCGGACAATTGGACTTTAAATAAGGACTTGCGAGTAGAAAGGAAAATTGGACTTAAAAGTTTACCTCAATTTGGCACTGAAACGGGAAGGTCTAAACAGGAAGTCAGCCTTCCGTTTCTTTGTAGAGAGATTAAAGCGAAGACATGGCAAACTAGAGCTCAGAAAATCACTTGTAAAAGATTAACTTTCATCATTTAAAATTGTAGAACCCCCCTTCGGAAGCAGGAGAAGAGGGGGGATTTTTTCGGACTGTTTAAACCTGCAGAAGTGAGTGTAAAGTAAGGTAACTTTCCACCGTCCTGATCCTGGAGCGGGGTGTCAGGACTGACGTTTTTTGAAGCTCATTGACCAGAGACAAACGTTTTTGACAGATAGCTATAAGAAGAGAAACCTTGATTCCATTGTTCCCCTTTGCATTCTAAAGGAACAAATATTGACAAAATATCTGAAAAAGGAAACTTTGTTGTTAGACTTGTCTTTAAAAGAAAGAACAAATAGAAGTTTTCCCCTAGAGGGAGACTGTGAAACTGTAACCAACTCCGGGGAGCTTGCAGCTGTTACAGATTACAATCGTGGGAATAGACTTCTGACCTTGCAGGACAATGTATTCAGAAGCTCTGTTGCGTGCTTTCTGTAAAACAAATGCCCTACTGGAACAGCTACATGAGAAGACGGACTTGATGGCTGATGCGATCAGAAATTTTGAACAGGCAGTGGGAAATTATACGGAGCCCACCCAGGAATTAAATCAGGAGTGTGCCCTGACAGAACAGAGGAGGGAAGAGGATGTTGCTGAATCTTGGGCGCCAGAGATGAAGGGAGCTGTGGCCCAGCAGGAACATGAGCTTTTGGACTTGACAAATGAACTTGGAAAAAGCCAGATTTGGAAAGATAAAGTTTGGTTTGGTTTGGAAATGGGGGGTTGGATAGACCCCCCTATGCAGGGATGTTTGGACCTTTCAAGTCTGGCAATGGGCCGTGAGATGTTTGGGGTTGTGGGGGCTCTTAATTTTGGAGGGATTTTGAAACATGTTCTTAAATACCACATGGAGTTTAGTGTGGACTATGGAAAAGGGGCTGATTTGTCGAGAAGGGTCAAAAACATTGTTAAGCTGGAGTTCCCACGAGTGAAAGGAGCAGGAGACAAAGGAAAATACAGTTATAAATATGAAGAAGAGCTGCGGAAGGGACATGGAAGAGACTTAAGGGCCTCGGATACAAGGTTACCAGGTTAATGCGCTAGATCGATGGGATAATAAGGACTGACAAAACCCGGGACCAGGAGGAAGGGACGCTGGATGAAGACTGGATTGTTTTTATTTCTTTTTTTTTTTACTACTAGGATTGTTTTATAAAATTGATGAATGTTAGAAAAATGTTGGAACGAAATTACTTGGCTTTAGCAAAAATGTTTAAAGAATTATGTAAGAATATTATGGTTATGAGAAGTTGGTAAAAATAAGATTTAAGTTTTAAGCTTTAAGGTTCTTTATAGTAAGATAAGATTAAAATAGATTAAGGTAATGTAATGACAGAATATTATGAAATATGGAAAGGATTTGCTGCGACAATTAACAACTAGGATACAAAAAAAAGGGAGGAGGAGGAGGTCAAAGAAAGAAGGTAATGACAGCTGAGGATTTGAGAATGATGGATTTGTTTTTGAGTGTTTGAGGTGTATTTTTGTTTTTTGAATTTGTATTGTTTGATGTGGTTTGTTTTTTCTTTGTTTTTTCTTTCTTTTTTTCTGCTTCTCTTTTGTAATTCTAAAAATTTTCAATAAATATCATTAAAAAAGAAAAAAAGACAGAGTTGTTCCGCCTGGCCTTTTGCTTGGAGCCAATTTGATTCCCACCCTCTCTTTCTTTTTTCCTTTCCTTCTCCTCCCGCGATGAGGCTACATTTTAATATTTTAATGTTTCAATATTTTAATGTTGTCTTTTAATGTTGTTTTTAAGTTGTAATCATTCAACTTGTTTTTATTATTGCTTGTAAGCCGCTCTGAGCCCGGCCTTGGCTGGGGAGGGCGGGGTATAAATAAAAATTATTATTATTATTATTATTATTATTATTAACAGTAAATGAAGCTAGTGCCGAGCTACATGTCGGCATCTGATTGGTAGGTAGATGCATGCACAACCTTTACTACTTGCAACTATCTCTGCTGTGGAGCTTCTATTCCTTTCCCCCCAACTTTTGGGGTTTATTAGCCCAAACATCAAGGATTTTTTTATTTTTTTTGCAAGGGTTATCCAGTTGCTTTGCAGCTGCAAATTCAGATCCAAGTAGCAGATACAGGAACAGGTAATAGTTAACATGAGATACAACATTGCTTTTTAAAAAATGTATCCATGAGTACTAAGTTGCTATTTCTCAAATATTTCTCTTACTTTGTTAATATTGCAACTCAGGGACACAGCGTGAGTCCCCCACCCCTGCAAAGGGTTTTGCAGACATGTCGTGAAAGGGCCAGCAGTGTCCCCATCTTCAAGACTAACCACAAAGCCACTTCCTTCCCCCCTCTCCTCCTGATCTTTAGTAGATATAATTCACCATTCCTAGTACAGGTGCCTTACTGTTATTTTCATAAAGGAATGAATGTAATACATGTTTCTCTTTTTAAAACTCATTTGCTCAATTCATTATGCAGTTATTTCTTTTAGATATAGGCCTTTCACATATTGTGTTTTGTTTTATCTGTGATCCATAACCTACTTTGCTTTTCTCCCTGCGGTTAATCACTCTTTACAGCCTTTGAAGAAGATCATAGCCAGAGGCTAAATATTTGACCAGATGTTCTCCTTATCTACTCCTGCATTTTTCCTATTTCAGTAGGTTTTAAAAACAAAATATTTTCTAAATAGGAGCTGTTCTGGTAAGACCTTGTAAGCCATAAGAGACTCTGCTACTGGGACATTTGGGGAAATGTTCTGCAGCAGCCATATGGTTCCTGATACTGGATATGCAGCATTTTTCACCAGTCATGACCGGGTGACCTGAGAAATCAATAGGGGCCTGGCTGGTTCTACATACCCTTTGCTTCAGCTTCCTTGGATTCCCTAATCAGACTGGGAACAATTCAGATTGCTTACCTTAGACCATGTCTTCTGCTTCTGGCCCCTTGATCTTCATCTGCCCCTGCTGTGATCCCAGCCTATTCCATCCTGACTGGGCTTTGGTGACCCAGTTATTTCATGATATGTGGAGATGTCTTAGACTTCTGCTTTTGTAACAGTAACTAGTGGCCAATTACTATGATAGCAAGGGAAGGAGAGCTGGTATATCTGGAAGAGGCCCTGGAGGGCACAGCTCACCTCCCTGATTTGCTCCCCGGCTGAAATGAAAGGTGGTCATCTCATATTTCTTAATGGTGACCCAGAGGGCAATTTTATTTCCTCTTCCATTTTAAGTATAGGGTGGTGGTTTCTTCACAAGGATGTTTTGTGTTCTACATCCACTCTTTGAAGCATGAGGCCTCTGAACACTTGCAAGGAATCACAGTTGGGGAGAGACCTGTTTCATCCAGTTCCCACTTTAATACAGTGGTACCTCGGGTTAAGTACTTAATTCGTTCTGGAGGTCTGTTCTTAACCTGAAGCTGTTCTTTTTTTTAAAAAAAATAATTTTTTATTGATTTCCAAACAAAATTATACAGTTTTATCCAAATTTTTAACAAATTAAATCTTTGTGGACTTCCTTCAGCTGCTCTGGAAGCTGTTCTTAACCTGAAGCACCACTTTAGCTAATGGGGCCTCCTGCTGCTGCCATGCTGCCGGAGCACGATTTCTGTTCTCATCCTGAAGCAAAGTTCTTAACCCGAGGTACTATTTCTGGGTTAGCGGAGTGTGTAACCTGAAGCGTATGTAACCCGAGGTACCACTATATTTGCATGCTGCTTTTCCAACAGCCAAGCTGAGCTCAAACTGGCTCACAACAAGAACAAAACATTATCAAACAGGGGCTGCTCCCTGATAGAAAAGAAATAGGCAATAAAATACAATAAATGCAGTAACAGAATAAAAATGATATAAAATAACAAAAACCACAAACTAAATCAGTCATGTTGGATATATATATATTAGCAACACCAATCAGCCCTGCAGCATGAAACAGAAAAAAAGCTCCTAATCTTGCTCACCTATGATGTGCACATTTAATTCCCGTCTCTCACACAGGAGGGCAGATTCTACCAACAGGCTCTCCCTGGGGGTAGAAACCAATTCTATCTTCCTGAAGCCAGCAGACAAAATATGCATGAAACCCATATTATAATAGCCAGAGCGCAAAGAAGAAAGAATAGAAATGTGCTACAAACCTGGCATACAGCACTCATTTCCCTCCTGTCTCCCACCCATAGGAACAAGATCAATGGCAACAGGTCCTCACCTGGAACATGAAGCAATTTCCATTCTCCTTCCACTAGTTTCCCCACCGGCAGATAATAAAAATTCTACACAACTCGTATAAGCTAGGATGTTGCAGAAAAATGTGGAGTTATACAACTTCATATTTTTATATAAGTCTAGCTTAAAACAACAGGTCAACAAAACCTTGTGATGTCCCCAAAGAGACAGATCCATTTGGTGTCTTCCCTTTGGGGTGGCCCCACCCTCACTCTGCCTGGTGTTAGCCTCTCACATCATATGAGCTGGATGCTTTATAGCTGAATATTCTTCCCATGAGCATCTAGGTGGCCACAGTGAGAATGGGAGGCTCGACTAGATAGACATTTGGCTTGATCAACAAGGCTCTCTTTTTGTTCTTTCATGGGAGCACATGGCTACTTTGAGCTCTTGCTATTTCAGCCAGTCTGTCCATAAATTGAAAACCTGGGGAATGAGCACAAGGTAAGAACAGTGATCTTTCTCTCCTCTGTCTAAGGAGCCATTGTGTGCTCTCTCTCTCTCTCTCTCTCTCTCTAGTTCACCTCTTTGTTTTGCTTGATATAAAAGGGGGGGGGAGCTAATTTAAAACATTAGTAGTAAAAAACAGTCTGGGGTGTTAGCCATTCCTCTGCTGATCACCACCCTGTCTTGCTAAAACTGCCCTATAGTTTCATATATATTTTCAGAGCTTTTTATTTCCTGAAAGGAAGCCATCTATGTCAATTCAGCCTGGCCATCTGCTTTCCAATCAGAAATGGAAATTTATATTTTACTGCATTGGCAAGTGATATTGACCGCCCCTGTCAGTTGCTCATGAAAACCTGCCGCCAGGTGCTTTTCACCCTCACTAGCAAGCGACACTCCATTTCCATCGCTGGTAGGGCAGGCTAGAGAATTTGCGGGGAACAGTGGACGATTTTGAAGCATTTTAAAATACCTTTTTTTTCCCTTTTTTTTTTACATGAAAAGAGCCCAATGGAAAATATGTCTTGCTTGGTTCCCAGTTCATAGCCATTTTCAAAAATCACCTAAAGAAAGATTAATCCTGTGATCTTATTGATGTTAGTCCTCTGCTATTCCTTCCTGTCACTTGATCATAAATCTGTTGTTAGATCACTGTTCAGAGTTGCATGTGACAGTTTTGAAGATTTTCGTATTAACCTTCTCACAAGTATAATAAAACCAGAAGACTAGAGCACCTTCATATTGTTTTTTAAATGTGCAATACATATTTGACAGTGATTTTTACTTGAGAGAGGCATGCAAAGATATGTAAATTGATGCTTTGCTTTCTTTAGAATTTTTAATAAATCTGGCTGTTCATGAAACTCATATTTGCTGTCTCTAGATGGTTGGTGGGTCATCTGTTAAGGAAGTCAAATAATGCATTTGGGCTTTCTGGCAATAACAGTGAATTTTCTTTTCAGATTATATTTCCATTTTATGTTTATGTTCAGTTTCAGTAGCTCCCTTGTTTCTTTGCTTTCTAAAGCCAGCTAGAATCCTCCATTTGGGTAATCTTCAAGCTCACTGGTTCTTCTGATTATTATGTTTGGCTGGCAAAAATCTCCTCATTTTGCTAGATGATATAATTTTGGCTAATTATGATACATTTGGTATTCCTCTTTTAAGAACTGCCTTCCAAAATAGCTTAATGAAACCATGACTGGAAAAATGAGATACAAGTATTTGTCATTTCTGTGGTTAGTGGTTCAGAAGCTGGAAACAGATTTTGCATTTAATTGAAGCTTGCAACTTTGGGGAGGACTTTGAGAGAAGCGCAAAACATTTCACAAGTGTATGTTGTAATGTTGTACAGGTGTACATGGCATTTGATGGAGGAGTTGAATGCAAAGTGTTAGGGAACAGAATGTTTTAATAGTCCTGCATGTGACGGATTTGATGATCATGAGATTCTGTTGTGAATAGTAATCAGATTCCAACTTTAGGAAGGCCACAAAACTTCATTCCCTCTTCATGACTGAAAGCAGTGATGGCCTACAGCAACATGGGGGAGCCACCATACCTCAGGTCTAATTTGGTTGTTAACACCATTTGAAGCAAACTGTGCCGGTATGTGATCATATCCTCTCCAATCTAAGCTCTAAGGGCAAAGTTGGAGATAAGGGATCTATTGTCTTCCATCTTAGCACTAAGCATTACAGCTCTAAGAACAGAGAGAAACCTGTGCCTGCCACCAGCTTGAAATTAGAATTGCCTGTTGTCATATGATGCCAGGTGATTGACATATGAATGGCCTTGTGAACAGTGGCCTGCAGAGGGTGGGCAAATTCTGGATCCAACCTTTGGGCTGCAAAGGTTTTCCGGAGGTTGAGTAACTTACTGTGGGCCCCAGTCTATGCAGACATTTGTACCCTTTTGTGCTCTGTCACTGGGTGCAAGTCAACATTGCACAATTACTGATGTTCCACCTGCACAAGCATATCAACTTGCCAGACAGAATGAACCCCCATTTCCTTCCGTGTGCTGTTCTGGAGGTTCTCCAGACCCCCTCAGGGCCAATTTCAGTCAGCACACAGTGGAGAAGGGGTGGGGAGAAGCACAAATGTTCTAGCAGAAGCCCTTGCACAGGGGAGGAGCCCTCTGAATCAGGCCAAAGGTCCATCTAGTCCAGCATCCTGTGCCTAAAGATAGGTAATAAAGGCACAAGGTGAGCCTCCCTGGGGAGAGCATTCCACAAGCGGAGAGCCACCACAGGAAAGTCCTATTCATGAGTTGCCACCCTCTGGACCTCTCATGGAGGAGGCACATGAAGAAGGGTCTCAGATGGTGATTGCAGGGTCTGGGTTTGTTCATATGGAGAGAGGCAGTCCTTGAGATATTGCGGTCCTCCATGAGGACACTGACCAGGGAGTAAGCTCCGCTGAGCACAGTGGAGCTTGCTTCTAAGAAAACATTTATTAGAATGGCGCTGTTGAGTATCCTTCAGTTGGGTGACAGCTCCGTTTTCAAGCCGCACCAGGTACCTTTCCCCCATAACTCCTATGTGATAGACATGGCAGTTCTGTGTTTTGCTTCCTTCCATTTGGATTCATAGCCTAGATGTCCTGAAAATGTACACCAATTACTTTTAAGTGATTTCCCACCCTGCACACAGTTGCTGCTTATTTTTCAGTATTTCTAAGATGTGATGTATTTAAAGTTTCATTATTGATCTGGGTATGTTAGATTTGTTTTCCTCTAAATATGAACGTGTTGCTGTGCAGATAGCGCTGCCTGAGCATCAGAAAATTGTGCTGTAACCGATGTGTAAGGTACACTTGTTTTCATTAGATCCATACAGGTTTACAGCATGAAATAATTTGGCCGTGTCAGCCCAGCTGTGTCCCACTGCATGAAAAACTCCTGCCTGAGCTACTTAAAGAGGCAGGATATGTTACCCACATGGTGGGAAAGTGGCATTTAGGAATGTACAGAAAAGAATGCCTGCCAACCCGCAGAGGATTTGATACTTACTTTGGTAAGTGACGTTTACTTTATTCCTCCTTCGTTTTCATTGGATGGTCCAGCAGTCAATAATTTGTTCTGGCTTAGTAAGAACGTAAGATGAGCCTGCTGGTTCATCCCAGTGGCTGATCTAGTCCAGCATCCTGTTCTCACAGTGGCCAACCAGATATCTGTGGAAAGCCTGAAAACAGAACCTGAGCACAAGAGCAGTCTCCCCACTTGTGATTTCCAGCTACTGTCACTCAGAGGCATCAGAGGTATAACTTAGCCATCATGGCTAACATTTTCCTTAAAGCAGCGTTTCCCAACCTAGTGGCTTCCAGATGTTTTGGGCTCATCTTGGAGCATGGCCAGTCATTGGGCCAGGATGATGGGAGCTGTAGTTGAAAACACCTGGATGGTACCAGATTGGGGGAAGCTGCTATGGAGGCTTTGGGGGATGGTGTAACAGCATGAGGAGGACAAAGGCATAAGGTGCTAATTTCTACCGAGTACAGAAGTCTGATGCATCAGGGATGTCAGCTAATTCTGCCTCTGAGATAATGATTTCTCAAAAGTTGTTGCAGGGGCCTTTTGTGACCATGGAGGCATTGACTTGTGTCACTGATTTGTATCTGCGATACCAGATACCAGAACAAGAATCACAGCTGAAGGACTCTGTATTCAGAAAACCTAAGCTGGGGAATTAGAGCTTGTGTTCTGTCACTAAGTTATGTCCAACTTATAACCTCTCTGTGGCATGGAATTTTCTGGATGTGAAGCGCTGGATGGGATGAGTTGAAATGATGAGTTTTGTATGGTGGATTGAGTGAAAAGAAAAATAAAAGCATACAATGTAAATGCGTGGAATGTATGAAATACTGAAAAGATTTGATTTTTCTTCTGTCTTCCATTCAGAAATAAGCGAAAATGTGTAAGGAACACATTTATAGTACAGGAAATGTCTCTGTCTCCCAGAAACAATATTGTCACATGCTTGTACATAAAACGCCAAAATGGAGCAGAAATTGCCTGCTTTTTACTTGGCTCTTGTTGGCTGTCTTCAGGGACCATGTGTCTTTGTTCTTGGTTTGTTCCATCATTTTACTATTATGGATGGCCATGCATATGAGTTATGAATTATAATGAAAATCTTGGGTGCAGTCCAACCAAGGGCATTGCTAAATCCTTAAAAGCCTAAAGGCACAGAACCGTGACACAGATTTGCATAACATTTGCAGATGCTAATTTATATGTATAGATTTAGGCTGACTGTCAGGGAAAATCGCTTAATAAGCAAGTTAAAAACCACAAAATAAAGTTTTTTTAAAAGGGGAAGAAGTAGGATATGTGGGGCATGGTGCAAAAGACGGGCTCAGGTCCCCAGGGCCATACCTTCACAACAGAATCCAGCAGAAGAGACTCAGCTAGTGGACCAGATTCCTCCTTGCCCCATCTGCAGCCTCCTGCATGCCCTAAAAATCTATTGAAGGAGCATGGGGGCAGGAGGAAGAGGAGAAGGGCAAGCCCCATTGCATAAGCAGAAGTCTCCTGCAGCACTGGATGTCACACATTGATTGCAAACTGATACCGGTAATGAGTTGTCAAAGAAATAAACAACTATCTGACTTTTAGAAGACATCTGTTTTTAATGTTTGATGTTTTACTGTGTTTTTAAAATTCTGTTGGGAGCCACCCAGAGTGGCTGGGGAAACAGCCAGATGGGCAGCATATAAATTATTATTATTGTTATTGTTGTTATTGTTGTTATTATTTTATTAATTATGGAGCTGGATGTGGGAATTTAAGATAGTAGGATCTTGCAAAGACTAGGAAAGACTGACTTGGGTACAATAGCCATAATGGTCAAATTGAGGGGTTCCCCCCAGTACAATTTTGAAAGACAATAAAATGCATTGTAGGATTTCCCCTTTTGTATAGAAATGTGCATTTTTCACAGTTAACACAAGCTCCTTACACAATGTTGTTTCAGTGTTGTCAGGTGCACTTCCAGAAAAAAATTAAAAAATTGGAAACGTCAAAGGCCATGTTTAGGTAACTGAGGGTGTAACCCATGCTATATCGTGGCATTGGTACACTGCTAATTTTAATTATCTTTTGGATGTTTAATATCTGTTTTTGCCTACCTTTTATTGATAATCCTGGTTTTGTTTGTAATAAAATCTCTAAATTATTTAAAATCATGTGCCATAAAATGTTTGTTAAATATAATAAAGAAATATAGGACTTTCATTTGCTCGGTGTGACTGCAAACTGGAGGAGCTGCCTATTAACTCTTACTATCCATTGGTGTTAACCCTGATTTGTGTATTTGTGTCTGTTAAATGGCACTAATTTGTGGCAAGCTAGCTGCAGAAGGATTTTATTTGGAAATCCTTCTGTTCTGTTTGGAAATGGGGATACTTTATTCTGGAGAGACTGTCTCACTCACCAGTTGGTGTCAGCAGGAGATTGGAAATGTTTGAATAGCTTGCATGAAAAATACTCTTTGCAACATAGAAATAGCTTAGTAATTCTAGCTTCAGCTGCAAGAATTATTATAGGGTTTTTGTTTCGTTTTGTTTTATCTTGGCTGCTGTGGCTTTTCATCTTTGACGTTCCATCATTTCAGTTTCAAAATTTCTGATGCACTTGCCAATTTAAAAGCATCATTGGACTCCTATTAACCATGCAAGCATGGAAGCAGATGTTAACGGTTTTTGTTTTTAGTTTTTTAATGGTGGGGATGAGAGAGTTTGCCAAATGATTTGTTGACTTGTTTTATAAAAACAATCCTATTTAGTCCTGGTATTCCACCCCCTCCCCCAGGTGTACCAGACCAGGTAAATTCCTCCTTTTTACTGACTTGCAAATCTTACTGCCATTCTGCTTTTAAAGACTCTTCTACTGAAATTGTCACAGGCATGATTATCTGTTGATTTCTTGGTGGTGGTTTCCTGTTTGTGGAATGCCCTCCCCAGTAAGGCATGTCTCCTTCCCTCATTATTGGCTTTCAATATAAATTTAAAAACATTCCTGTTTATCCAGGCTGAAGGATACTGACCATAGCAACCATGAAATTTGCAGCTTTGAGGGTATGTGATGGTTTTTAAATGGTTTAGATACTCTAAAAGTTTTTAAATGTTTTTTATTTGTTTGCTAATGTTTTAAGGATGTTTTATTTTAAATTGTATTGTTTAAACATTTTGATGTTTGCTTCCTTGGGCTTCTTTGAGAGGAAGGGTGGGAAAGAAATGTAATGAATACATAAATTTAATGAATACATAAAAAGAGAGACTTGATATTTCTCTCTTTTAGGTTACCTTCTTGGAAGTGGAGATTACTATTCTCACGAGCGCTGTGTGCCCATCGAAGCGAAGAACGTAACTCGATGTGCTCTTGATTTTCGAGAGGGAGAAGAAGTTGCAGATGGATTTAAAGACATGTACTCTACTAATGTGTTTACAGAAAGAGCAGTAGATCTTATAGCTAATCACCAGACTGAGAAGGTACAATTCTGTCTCTTTCTTAAAATATAAAGTTGGAATTAATACATTTTGATGCATTTAGGATCAGACGCTTTGGTGCAGCTACCTGTTCTTAGTCCCATTATAGTCGTAAGTTCATAATCGGGAATGTAACAATGTATTGGGGGAAAATCATTGACAGGGCTGTCCTACAAAATAGATCAGAAAGAAACTGAATTCAGTTTCTCAAACATTTTCTTCGGTTTTTCTGCTCCTTGTATGATAAATTTGATAGAGCAGCTTCAAAATACTGTAATATTAGTTTGTTTAAATCTTGGCAGCAAAACTTGTACCAGTGCTATCTGCTTGCAGCACCTGTGGCTGCCAGTGTGATGTGGTGAATAGTGTTGTGCTTGATGGTCGCATTGGTTCAGTTCCTTCGTCATTCACTGGCTCCCTGTGGCCGTCACTATGGCTGCAATCCTATACATGGTTGTCTGGTAAACAACCCCCTTTAACTCAGTGGGACCAACTTCACCTGCAAAGGATTTCCATGTATGCCTCTGCCACATCACTCTTAGGTCTCTCATTACCTAAGGTTGGTGTGGAGATGAAGTTGGAAGAACCTTATGTATGCTGTCTTTAGGTCCTTGGTAGAAAACCATATATGTTATTATTAATCTTGCATTGATATTATTAATATCAATACATTGTTAAACCAGGTGATCAATTAGATATTATTATTAAATATCAGTACAATGGTACTTTGGTTCTCAAACACCTTAGTTCTCAAACGCCAAAAACCTGGAAGTAAGTGTTCCGGTTTTTGAATGTTTTTCGGAAGCCGAGTGTCCAGTGCTGCTGTTGGCTGTTGTTTCTGGGGCACCTGCACCAATCAGAAGCTGCGCCTTGGTTTTCGAACAGACTTCCAGAATGGATTAAGTTTGGCGCTTTTGTTTTTGCTATTTGCGTTTTTGTTTTTGTGGCTTTTTCGGTTAATTTGTTTTTGTGACTGTGTGGAACCCAGTTCAGCTACTGATTGATTGATTGATTGATTGTGTGACTGTAAAAATGGATAAAAGCCCCCCATCCAAACAATGACTATCATCATTGCAGGTAAGAAAAAATAATAATTTTTATTTTTATCACCTACAATACTGTCTTATTTATTTTATAGTACAGTACATTGATGATTGCTTTCATTTTATGGATCAATGGTCTTGTTAGATAGTTTTGCATTACTTTCTATGGGAAAGCACACCTTGGTTTTGGAATGCTTTGGTTTTGGAATGGACTTCCGGAAAGGATTAAGTTTGAGAACCAAGGTACCACCGAAATGTTAAATATTAACATTATTATTAAATATTAATCTAAACCACTTAATGTTAAACATCTCAAAGCAATAAACAGTAACAACTATTAATATAAACCACAAAAAGAAATGAAAGATGCAATACAATACCATAAGGTACAAACAGGGAGAAGTCCAGCCTTAGTGTCCCAGGAAAAACTGAGAAAAGAAAGTTTCATATTTAAAAGATGTCTCAGGCAGATTACACACCACTGTCCTGCACTACTAATGTAGCATGTCTGACCCAATTACTGGTGTGCCCCGCTCTTAAATATTTCTAGACTTCCCTCATGAAAGCAAAAATTGAATTTGAAGGTCTGCCTGGAGTTAGATCAGCTTATGGCCCTCCAGATGTTGTTGGACAGCAACTCTCATCATCCTTGACTGCTGGCCATTCTGGCTGGGGCCAATGGAGTCTGGCAACATCATAAAAATGGGGATGTCTTCAATTAAATATTCTTTTATCCTTGAGAACTGAAGACAGAAGGCAGGAAGGAAGCCAGTAGTTGCAGCTGGAAGCTTATCAGCCAGTATGCTGATTATGGCATTTAATGATGCGGTCTCTTTTTTTGGTGTTGTGCCTTTTTGGCGACAGCCTCTCTTTCTCTACCTCGCTCTGCAATCAGTCCACGAGCCTCTTCAAGTACCTGAGAAATACATAGAGCCATATTCTTTTATCAAAGACAAAAGGAGACGCAAATATGCGGGAATGGTGTCTATTATGGATGAAGCTGTGGGAAATGTCACTGCAGCCCTGAAGAAGTACGGCCTTTGGAACAACACGGTTCTAATATTTTCTACAGGTAAGATTAACAATTAGATATACGCACATATTATTGGCAATTTTCTGTTGGCTATTAAGCTGATTATCTAGCAGGGGAAATGGAGGTTGGGAAAGAATGCAGAAGGCTTACTTGGTATCTGTGTAAGGAATGTAACCCCTCCCCCCCCAAAATCGTAAAACTCTTAATAAACCGTCCCTGCAATCCTAAGACACAGCTACCCATTCTGTTGGCTACAACAGAATGCTTCTGTCAGCAGGGGCAGTTGGAGGGGGCTAGGAAAGATTTGTGGGCACCACGTTGGTGACCCCTTGAGAAGAAAAGCAGTCCAGAGCTAAGGCTGCGTCGGTGAGACTCTGCAACCAAAGAATACATGTGCTGCTTCTTTACTTTGTACGACACCTGGAAAAAAAGACCCAAGTTGCTTTGCTTTGTTGCAGTCTTGATATGATAGGGCAATTTGCAGCATTTACATTGATAAATACTACTGCCATTAATCCTACTTGCAGCCGAAATTGCAGTGGCAGTTTCCGGGTGCTGGAGTGGGGGGGGGGATTCTGAAGTGGGGAGCTGGCTCCTTGTGTGAGGCTCGCACAGATGCCGCAGTTTGAGCCTGGGGCCATCTGCATTCCAAGCAGATGCTGTCTGTGCCACTGAGCTATGGCCCTTAGCCTGCTGTTTGTCGTGGCTTCTTAATGTGTACAGTCATACTTCGGGTTAAAGACGCTTCAGGTTGCGGACCACTGAAACCCAGAAGTACCGGAACAGGTTACTTCTGGGCTTTGGCAATCGCACATGCGCAGAAGGCTAAATCGCGCTTTGCGCATGCGCAGATGTGCTGAATTGCAACCCACGCGTGCGCAGACACGCCACTGTGGGTTGCGGACGCTGCAGGTTGCAAATGTGCATCCCGCACAGATCACGTTCGCAACCCAAGCGTCCACTGTACCCATGTAGTCAAATGTTATAGTAAACATGCTTCTGTTTTAGTGCTAAATACCGGAAAGTGTGGGAAGCAATAAGTGGGGCTTCCACCTAACAGAGGCTTAACGGTGGCTTGATAGGCAGAAATTCAACAGACTTACCTGTTTCAGGCAAAAAAATAAAATGATGGGGAAGGGTGATGTACTTTATCATTGTCACAAGAGGGCGCCATAAGATGTGAAGTAGGGCTTCTCTTGTGACAATGATGTTTGATAGAGCCTACATACTAATTTATTTCCACGGTGCATTGTTGGTTCAAAGTGTAGTCCTTTTTACCACTAACACTAGGAGTTTTCAGCCTTTGTCACAGTGTTCCTCCCAAGGGCAGAAAACAAAACAATCTGTGTACGTCCCCCTCCTCCAACGGCTGCTACAAACTAATCAACATCCTGTTCCTATTTGGCATCCTGGAGAGTGTTTGTGTTGGGCCTTCTTCTGTAGGTGGAAATGCCAGAGAGTAATTTGGTCCTGTGGGCAACATGAGCTGATGCAGTACAGTGGTACCTCGGGTTACATACGCTTCAGGTTACAGACTCTGCAAACCCAGAAATATTACCTCAGGTTAAGAACTTTGCTTCAGGATGAGAACAGAAATCGTGCTCCAGCGGCGCAGCAGCAGCGGGAGGCTCCATTAGCTAAAGTGGTGCTTCAGGTTAAGAACAGTTTCAGGTTAAGAACAGACCTCCGGAATGAATTAAGTACTTAACCCGAGGTACCACTGTATAAACGATTAGACTAGTGTCAGGCTAGGACTGCCAAACCCAAGTTCAAATCCCCACTCAACTGTGAAGCTCACTGTGTGACCTTGAGGCAGTCGCTTTTACCTCACAGGGTTGTTGTGATGACATAATTGGGGGAACCCGTGAGCTGCTTGGGGTTGGATAAAAGTGTAACAGACATGCATAGAATTACATTTCCTTCTGCCCCTCACCCACACCTGGCCTAACACTTGTATAGTACATTTTAAGTTGCTTACAAAGAGCTACACAGACCTTGTCCCAATAATCTTCACAGTAGCCATCTGTGGAAGGCTAGCGTGATTATCTCCATATTGTAGGGGATTGTGCGACTGTGGCTGAGAGACTGTGGGTATCTTACAGTCACCTTATAGTTGAGGAAAGATATGAATTGGGACCTGATACAGCCATAGAACCTACTTCTCCACGTTGCTCCAGTATGAAAACTAATATCTGGGCATCTTTCTGAAACATAGCCTACTCTTTGAGATGGCCTTTGGAGTTCAGAGATAAGTTGGAAAAGGAACTTCTTTTTATTTTCCTCTTTGTTTTTTACTCCTCTTAAAAAACTCCACTTGGGTTTGGGTGGGCTATTAATCTAAATAAATAATATAGTGAAATATGCATGAGTCTAAAACCTGAATTGGTTCAATTTCAGCTGAATGATACCAGTATAACAAAAGGTATAATAAAATTATGGTGGCATTGTTTTAAAACAACATATAAGAACTTAAGTAGTTAAATGTGCAAATTTCAGAGGACAACAGGTACAAGCCAAGCCTTTTGCTGCTTTGGTGTAAAGACACTAAAATGTTACTGTGTGTAAATATAGTGGAGTGGGGGGGGCATCACTGTTTTGCAGGATGAGGCTGAGTTTCCATTTCATTCATTACCAGCTAGCAATTGGTTGACGTATGCCTGGGACCCTACAAAGATCCATATTGTTTGCCCCTAGAGAGAACTGCAGTGTTCTACAGATCCTATGCAACCAGATTAAGATTTGAAATGATGAATTGATTCTTAATATGTGTGACTGGGGAGGAGCTTTGGAGTTCAAATTGAGGACAGCGTTCTTCGCAGATACATACCTTGAGCTGCTTGTGCACAGTGTAGGTCTTTGATGTAATCGTTAAATGTCTGGCATCAGTGGGAGTATAGAGAGGCCCATTCTGCAAGTGATTATAGGCAGCATACACACACATCTGTGTGTGCGCACACATGCACGTGCACACACACACAGTGTCTTAAATTGTTCGGTGCATAAGTTCAAGAGTCCAGTTCAATGGGAATGCCAGAGGTCAGAAATCAACTTGCTTGGTTGAGCTATGAATTGGAGCTTTCATAGAGGTTGCATAGCTGTAGTAAATACTATTAATCCTCCCCTTTCATAAGCACTGGAAGGATTCACCCACACAATTAAAAAACTTAATAATGGGAAAAAATGACATGCTTTTATTGCTATCTTTGGCAGCCGGTTCTAAATGCTTCATCCAAGCTAAAGTGTACAGAAGAGCTGTTTCTAGGCTAGCCCCCTGCTTCAATCCAGTCCTCAGCCTCATGCCTTTTTAATAACTAAATGTTTCAGACATTCCATATCAGCACCACCCTCTATAATTCTGGACATATTTAGTCTCCCTTTTATTGTTCCTAATATAGATAGTTCAGACTCGTCAGATGGTTCCTTTTTTTCACAGAGGGATTCCAGATGCAGTGTGCCTCTTTCTGCTGGTTGGTTGATATTTATATATTGACATATTACTTCTTGGCCATGTTTGCACATAACAGTAAGCCAGAGTTAAACAAACTATGGATTACCAGAAATGAGCAAGCACACTAGTACATGTGACTCATACTGTCTCTGCCCTCTTCCTTTTCCCTTTGTTGCACTGGGAGGAAACACATGAGAGTGCTGACTTAGTATTACAGTGGTACCTCTGGATACGCACACCTCTGGTTGCGTATCCTTCAGGATATGAACATGGCAAACCTGGAAGTATTTTTCCGGGTTTCACTGCACATGCATGCGCAGAAGTGGTCTACCACCCCATGCGCATGCGCAGAAGTGGTCCCTCCGGTTGCGGAAACCTCGGGATCCGACCGGAGCTCTGGAATGGATCCCGTCCGCAACTAGATGTACCACTGCACATGCAAACTAGTCCTTGTGTCTTGTTTCTCTCCAGACAACCACAAGGGCAAACCAAGAACAAACCATGGTTCGCATGGAATGCTAAGCCGGCAGTCTGGTTTTGTTTTTTCCCTGACATGGCAAAAGGTATAGGGTGTGTGTGATTTGAGCAGTGTATACCAGCATGCTTGCTCATTTCTGGTAAGCCATACTTGGTTTAATTCTGGTTTACTGTTATGTATGCACTGGGCTTCTGAGGATGCAAATTCATATTCAGTATGATATTGGCCCTTGGTCTGATCCATCAAGGCTCTTCTTCTCTACTTAAAAGAAAGAAAGAAATGTTGTCTGATTCTGCTCAGTTGCTGCCCAACATTATTTGGAACAAAATTGTGGGTGGGCTAAGTTGTTGCATATATGAAGCGAGGTCTGCTTGTGCAATGAGATTTCCCTCCCTTCTCCCACCCATGGAACCTGGCACTCCCTCAATCTGATCTGCAGGGCTTAATAGGAGCTCTGCCTATGCCAATTTCGAGTGTGTCCGCTCCACCTTCACTCTAGGTACAATAACTGTTGCTTCATTGCCCTGAGCTCCCTGGAAAACCAAAGTGTGCCTTCATCCACAGAAAGAGGATGCTCTCAGGAGCAATTGTGTCATCTGTCCAAGTTGTTTCTCTAATCCAGAGATCAACCAGGACTTTGAGGCAATAGGGACTTACCCGGAACAGTCAGAAAGCCATCTAGATCCATTTTGGCTTGATAGGTATCTCCACCCTACTGGAGGTTAGGAGTTCCTGTAGTCTTAAACTTCATCAAATAGATTATTAGGGCCTCACTGTGTGCAGATATGATCCCCTATTTGTTCATTTAGGAATGAGGTTCTTTAGACCAGGGAAACAACAGATAGGAAAAACACCCCTCCCCACCCTTGCACACTGCTTCTCTGCTCCTAATCACCCCCTTCCTCAAAATCAGTTTTGATCCCTCTGTAGAAAGGGTATAAGGGTATTTGAGGTTTCGTTACATGCATGTCTGTGTAATGTGTAGTTAGGCCCCTAAACAGGTTTGTTCCGAAGTAACTTACACTGAAATGGAAACTTGGACTCTTCCAAGTAAATGTGTTTTAGATATATGTTTAGTAAATATGTCTGTCACGTTCTTTATTAACTATAGAATTCTGGCCACCACCTCTGTAATATGTCAGTTGTATTAATAAATACTACATTTGGCATATCCTTCTACAAGGATGCCTTAGTTTCTAAATGTTTTTATAATTCCCTGAGAACCTATTTTGTTTTTCTCCTCTATGGAAACAGCTTCACCTTTTGGTGTTCTGCATAATTTCACAGGTTCCGTAAATGGTGCAGAATGAGACAGTGAAATGTTAGGACTTGCGACAAGCCTGCTGAGATCTTAAAACCGACAAATGATTTTCTAGTTAATTAATAGCCTGTCTTTTTCTTGACATAGTACAAGCCGATCTGTCACCGCTGCTCAAAAGCTGATTGTGTGCTCTTGTTTGATTAATCAGGTCCCATGGCTTAAGCCAAGCCGCACTGGTACCTGCGTCTGTGCACAATGTCACAAACAATGTCACAAACTACCGTACTTGTGATAAACAAGCAAAAAGTTGATATGCACACACACGGCCTGCTCTTTATTTCTTATTCTTTAATGAAGACAATGCAATTTTATCTTTATAAACCAGGCTAACATTTAGGGCTTGCTTCACACCTAGATGAATTGGCATATGAAAAGGTGCCACGAATGTCTAGTTTGCTGCATGTACTTGCATGTAGAAGCAGAGGCATGGGATGCAACAAGCTGAGCACTACAGTGTGGTGCTAACACAGAGGGCACATATGCTCCTTAACAGCCAATAGGAACAACTGATAGGTATATGAATGCTTTTAGAGGGTGGGATAGTAACTAGCCACAGCTTCTAGCTAGAGTAGATCTTTGTAGCGTGTATCTTTGACTTGCTGGCAATTCTATCAAAGTCCATCAAAAGCCTTGGAGTGTTCTTCTTTGAAAACTCCTATATTCATATCTGTGATTATGTGTCCTGAACATGTCTGTTGAGAAGATTGCTATAATACCCATGCAACAAAAAGCCACATGATTCAGAGAAAGAGATCTGTGCTTTTGAATGAATATAATGATATGAAATGAGCCCAGCTGTGTGCATGTGATGCCACAGTAGTTATTTAGATGCATTTTGTTAGAATTGCATATATGCTTTTGCAGATAAATGTTCCAACATGCATGTATATGTATATGTATGTTGTTGTTGTTATTTAGTCATTAAGTCATGTCCAACTCTTCATGACCCCATGGACCAGAGCACGCCAGGCACTCCTGTCTTCCACTGCCTCCCGCAGTTTGGTCAGACTCATGTTTGTAGCTTCGAGAACACTGTCCAACCATCTCGTCCTCTGTCGTCCCCTTCTCTTTGTGCCCTCCATCTTTCCCAACATCAGGGTCTTTTCCAGGGAGTCTTCTCTTCTCATGAGGTGGCCAAAGTACTGGAACCTCAGCTTCAGGATCTGTCCTTCCAGTGAGCACTCAGGGCTGATTTCCTTAAGAATGGATAGGTTTGATCTTCTTGCAGTCTCCTCCAGCACCGTAATTCAAAAGCATCAATTCTTCGGCAATCAGCCTTCTATATATATATGTATGTGAAAATGAAAAGATGGCTTTCACACATCCACAATACACAGCTTTATTCTGAGGATATGCTTCTCTCTGCCTTGTGCTTAACCATCTGCCCTACACATCTTTCAGAACTTGGCAGGCTACAAAGATGATTTAAAATCCTTTTAAGTTTATGGAGACACAATCTACTTGAACAATACTAATCCAATCCAGTCTGGTTCCCTGCTGTGCAAGGTATTGTCCAGTACTACAGGAATATCCTGGTGGAATGGACTTTACATGTCCCAAGGTTAGCTTTCAGCTGAGATTTCCTTTCAACTCTGCTTTTGCCATCTTCTCAAAGCCCCCACCCACCCCAGCAAGTCCTGCCCATCCTAAAAATAGCTAAAAACTGTTAGCACATTCTGAAAGACTCTAATGAATTGGCAAAACAAGGAACGAATGTTAACTCCCAAGCCTTCTGCTTTGCTTTAATAGATGATCAATCAGCACACTAGTAGAGTTCTGTGGTGGACCAGCCAGGTTAGACACCCATGAGATTTTGGTATGATCGGGGGAGGGGGATGCAGAAGTAGTAAGATGACTGCAAGTACCTGAATAGTTAGGGAGATTCATTCATTCATTCACTGATTTGCTACATTTATATAATAGATTGCCATATAAGTTACATGATAAAAGGAGGAAATAAGAAATGAAGCATATCCAGGGACCAGCGATTTCCACCTGTTGCATTAAGGTTGCATAAGGACCAGGTGGAACAGCACAAAAGAAAGCACTTCTGGGATAGGGTAGGAGAAAACCAAGTGGCATTTGGATCCAGCCAAGGTCAGTGGGAAGGATAGGCCTTATTGTGTCACCTCTCAAAGCATGTCCCTTGTCATGCAATAGCTTGAGTTGAGGCAATGTGTTGCAATGAGGAAGCACTTCAACATTTCTCACTAACGTTAACAACAGCAATTTCTCACCAACATTCAAGAAGCATCACAAATGTTTAAGATAAGCGTTTATAAATCAGAATTTGAGAGTGCTGTTGTGTTCAGGTTGTGCTTGTAGGTTTTCCATGGGCCTGTGTGAGAACTGGATACTGGACTAGATGGGTCACTGGCCTGACACAGCAGCACTGCTCTTATAGAATCATAGAATTGTGGCTTTGGAAGGGACCGTGAGGGATATCTGGTTCAACCATCTGCAAGGCAGGAATCTTTTTCCCAACGTGGGGCTCAAACCACGACTCTGAGATTAAGAGTCTCATGCTCTACTGGCTGATCTATGCTCTACCAACTATTATGTTCTTAATTTAGTTGATATATGGAATACTTTAGAAGTAGTATCAAAAATATATTGATTATTAGAAATTTCATAGATAATGGACCATTACTAGCTAAAACCAAATAATCTCATCATGCATGGAACCCCCAGTGTGAGCTGAGATCTTTTTACACAGAAGCCTGTAAAAGTAGGCTGTATCTGTATGTTGCACCATCCCTTCTTTTTTTGGGATGGACGTCCTGTTAGAGGACTTCCTGCTTGCTGAAGGTTTGTAAGAAGGAGCTCACTTCAATGCCCCACTACATGGGGGGACCTATATACAGTGGTACCTTGGGTTACATATGCTTCAGGTTACATACGCTTCAGGTTACAGACTCCGCTAACCCAGAAATAGTACCTCGGGTTAAGAACTTTGCTTCAGGATGTGAACAGAAATCATGCTCTGGCAGTGCGGCAGCAGCAGGAGGCCCCATTAGCTAAAGTGGTACCTTGGGTTAAGAACAGTTTCAGGTTAAGAACGGACCTCCCGAATGAATTAAGTACTTAACCTGAGGTACCACTGTACTAGGCTGGAACAAATCCATCACAACAACAACAGCTACTACCACTCTTATCTATTGTCATAAAGGAAAGTAAATTTTATAGAGCAGGCTTTGGCCAAATAATGGAGAAACATCATGGATACTGTCCTGGTGACAATTAACAAGGTTTTCCAAACCCACTTAGGCTAAGCAAAATTTATACAGGAGATTACTGTTGGAACTACAGTGTTCTAGGAATGTATGTAGATCATATTTGTTGGACAAGTTCCAAGATTATAAATTTTTAGCATTAAATCCTTTATAAAACCAATGATATGATGGGTTATGTTTTACCACTAGGTCCATTGGCTGCATTATTCTGTTTTTGTGAGTTATGTAGTTCTTTGTGAAGAGATGGAAATGATTATCCATTTGTTAATAGCAGCACAAATGGCCATAAACTAGAAATAGAAAAAACAAACCCATCCCCCCATCACAGACTGGCTGTTAGAAGACTTAAGAGATTGTGTGTGTGTGTGTGTGTGTGTGTGTGTGTGTGACCAATGCCATCAGAGTAAAAGGAGGCAGGTGGGTGAATAATTGTTTTATGGAGAAATTGAGCCATTTCATAGCTATTTGGAATAATAAAGTAGAATATGCTGCCCAATATTATACTTGGAGTCATACAAGAGAATAATAAATTTTGGACCAACAACATTGATCTGTTGTTTTCCTGTCGTGGTCTGCTGTAGAAAATTGGACCACGTGGACCACGTGGATTTCTCATTTTGTGTTATCCTGTTGTTTAGAGATGGGTTTTTAAATACATACATACATACATACGTACGTACATACGTACATACATACATGCCACTCCTGGCATCAGAGAAGGGAACTGATTTGGAAAGCAGATGTAAATAGGTCTGATCGGCTGACTGGAGTTATAGTTCACACTAAATAAAGCCACTTCCTTGGGTTTTGGCCTGTGCTTTGCAAGATATGGTACTGTAATTACAGCTGCTCTTTATTTGAGAATCGTTGCAGGAGAAAAACAGCACCACACTAGCAGCCGAGCAATTCCCTGACACTGAGCTACAGCCATGTCACTCATGCCACTATATGCTGAAATGTTTAATCCTTTGTTTTTATTGTTGGTGTTCCTGGGTTGGTTTGGGGGGCTTTAGATGCTGGCCAGTTTTCATTGGCTGCAGGGATTGTTATTGGAATGGCTGACAGCTGTCTGCCAGGCTGTCTGCAGAGCCTTCCTGTGCTCACTGCTGTTCAGCTTCACAGAGCTATTGTTCGCCTTGAGCCCTCCCTCCCCACTCCCTGCCTTAAAGCCTTTCCCAGCCATATCCTGATATGGTAAACCGCTTAAATTAGCTCCAGATTGCTCTGTTTATTTTGTGCAAGATAAGCGACAAAGTGCAGCCACAGCCGTCCACCTCAAATAAACTGAGGAGGAAAGAGAGGAGAGCAAGGTAATCTGGGTGACCAAATGCAGCAGCCTCCAAACAAGAAAGGCACAACACAAAGCGTTAATATGCATAGATCATTTCCTTTCTCCCTCACAGTGCTGCTGTGCCAGAGAGCGTATTCTTGGAAGTAAGTGCAGACTAAATGCGGCACTTTATTTATTTTCAAGGCAGCATTCTCATATAGCTGGCAACCTTATAGGAATCCCTGCTCATTTCCTCAAGATCTTGTGTTTGTTTTTTGTTTGTTTTCCCTGGAAAAGAAAATAGGGGAAAACCTTCTGTTGTCTAGAATGATGTTTAAAAGCAGCCTCCCTCATATGCGTCAGTCTTGATAACAATCACCCTTAGGCCTCTACTTCAGTAGGTTTTGCATTTCTGACTGTAAAAGTGTTCTCCACGCAGCTTGGAGTGTGTTAAGATTGCGAGATTTGGCTTTCTGAAGTTCTTACACAACATCTGGGAAAGTGCAGCAATAATGGCCTCATTTCCTCCATGGCCCTTTTGAAGGCATTACAAATATACATCTCAATTAGGTCCTTAACTTAAAAAAAAAAATAAAACAAAAAAACCCCCCAGATGAGTAGATCCTGTTCCAAAAGAACACACTGCTTCAAAAGGCGTAAGGGGATGCCCAAACAGGGCATTCAAAGTAAACTTCCTTCTCTGAATAAGAGCACACAAATGTTCCAGCCACATTTTAGCAGGTTTTGACCCTTGGAATTCAGTATTCCATTCAGTAGACACAGGTTTTTGGCTACATTCCTAAATAAACTTGCATTGAAGCAAGTTGCAGTGAAACCGGTGGATCTTCCTTCCAAGAAAATGGTTGGCATCTGCAGATATTCTACATTAAAACAAAAACAAGCTTAACTATGTGGGACAGCCATTTGCTTTGTTCAAGACCTTGTGCAAGAATGTGACAGAAGGAAAACAAGGTTGCATTTCGAAAATATATTTTGCACGTGTGTGGGAGCTTATTTTTACAGTTATATAGAAATGTATATAGTGGATGTGGTAGTATTTGGAGTTGCTACAAACCTCATTCTTTATTTTACTCGCTGGTTCCTCCTAGGCTATGTGTTTAGGGCTGAGATACATGCATCCTTTTGTTAATCCTGCAGACTGTTCATTTTTATCTCAGGAGCACGTTAAGGAATATTTTGAGGAGGAGACTTTGCGCTCAGAAATGGCTTTTTACTTGCTATTTTCCAGAGCAGAGTAACCTTACCTTAGCTGCTATTATAATTGAAAAAGTCAGCTCTCTTGAGTTAGCATGATTATTATTCACCATATTTTATTTTCCTCTGAACATTGTGTGCACATAGTCCATACTGAATTACTCTCAGGTGACAGAAATCATGTGTCAGCATCTCTTATTCTTGGAATAGCTCGAAGTAGAAGAAATCAATTTTTTATTACTTCTGTTGCTGTGTTTATTAAAATGAGAAGGCTTCTTGGTTTGGTTCCATATTAAAACAGGAACTCTGAGATAAGGGGTGGGGGTGGGGACAACCCATAAGTACGTTCATGCACTCCACTAAGTTTAATTGACATAATAGTCGACACAGTAGTGTAAAGTTGGGAGGATTTGAAGGTCATTTACTAATAATTATTTGTACTGAGAGGGACTCCTACAGTCCAAACCAAGCCCTACATCATGGGTAGGCAAACTAAGGCCCGGGGGCCGGATCTGGCCCAATTGCCTTCTAAATCCGGCCTGCAGACGGTCCAGGAATCAGCGTGTTTTTACATGAGTGGAATGTGTGCTTTTATTTAAAATTCATCTCTGGGTTATTTGTGGGGCATAGAAATTCGTTCATCCCCCCCCCCAAAAAAAATATAGTCCGGCCGCCCACAAGGTCTGAGGGACAGTGGACCGGCCCCCTGGTGAAAAATTTGCTGACCCTTGCCCTACATGAATGCACAGTTAACTTTCGGGTTTCACTACTTGAAAACAGGGTGATGGTTGCTTGGTTAGATGGGGTTGCAGTATCCACCTGTTCTACAAAGGAAAGGAATCCTTCTGTTAGCTGAGGAATCTTTGATCTAGTAGAGGGCTCCACTAACAGTAGAGGAGGTGAGGCAGTTCCTGGAGATTCCTTCTTCAGATCTCTGTGCCACCACCCATGAAAGGGGCCGTTAACTCTCTGCAGCAAATTTCCAGGGGACACAGAGATCTTACTCCCTTCTTCTGTTAGCAAAGGCATCCGCTGAATCAAAAGCCTGTCCGCACACAAAATGATTCAGTTTGTGCTTCATATAAAAGGGCTAGATCACCTGTGATACTTCAGGTGTTACTGGACTACAACTCCCATCATCTTCCCATTGGCCTTGCTGTCTGAGTTGATGGGACCCATCGTCCCAACAACAAATGAAAGGTTGCAGATTTCCCCATCCCTGTGCTAGGCAAATCTTTGAAGGACCTTCCAATGGTTGTGAGTTTAGTGGAACAGCTGTGCTCAATGGCGGTACATTTCCAGTGTTACCAGATTCCAGGGTAAAAAAAACAAAAGCCAGTGGTCACAGTCATGTCAAGTGTATACCTTTGCTGATCTGTATCTTTGACTACTTATGGAAAAGCTAATGCTAGACCTAAATGGATCTTGCAAAGATCCAGCAAAGGCAATCCTTACATCTAGAATAGAGACCGACAGAATACATTTAATTAGTGGTTAAGCAATCTTGCTTCATTTACATGATGCAGCTACCCAGATTAAGCTTTTCTTGACTGCGGTATTTGGATTTACTTTATAGGTTAATTAACACTTGCTTTTGTTTTTTGTTCATCCACCATGGTGAAGAGAAGCTTAGAATTGTAAGCTATTTGTATTTCAAATAACAGGGAATAGGATCAAATTACTTCAGGGGCACACAATGAGGAATTCATGGGGATTATGTCAGTACACACAACAGTGACCTAGCTAAGCATGGCTCCTTTTCCTAATGTGAGCAGGCATGCTTCACGTTCTCTTAAGACACCTTTGAAGCTTTCTTACCTGCTCTCATTGGCATTTTATTATGGCCTGTCATCTTGAATCTAGTGTAAAATATCAAGGTGATTACCCAGCTAATGGCATCTTGACCACCAGCAATTATTTTGGAAAAGAACTTCCTTTTGACTTCATGTATGGTGGGTTCTGTGTGTGTGTGTGTGTGTGTGTTTTAAGAGAGAGAAACAGTCTGCAACCCAGTTTAAAAACCAATTTTACAATTCTAGTTTGTGGTTTTTAAGACCCCCAATTTTAAATATGTACCTCCTAATATTCTTAGCTTGTTGTGATATCCATGTACGCACATGGCACTGGATCATAGGAAGAGAGCACAAAGATTGTTTCATGAGCTCTTCAAATTCTTGCTGATTTAGTAATGTTGGTTTATTCCAGGTCAAGCATTCATTATTTTGCTGCCTTGCAGTTCTTAAAAGATGTTCATGCTGATAAGCCAGTTTATACTAGTTATCATTGTCTTGTCTGTAGCTTCATGGGCTCACACTGTACCAGGATATCTGGCAAGTCTTCAGATGGAACTGAGCAGAAATGGGGCTGCTTTTCTGCTTTATTGATTCATATAAGATCTTTAGCAAGGCTAAAATTGAATCAAGGTCCTGATTCTCAAAAACCTTGTACTAATAAAGCAATTCTGAAGCAGTTCTAGGGACATGAGAAACATCTGTCCAAAGTTCATGAATAATGATTTTTTCAGCCAAATTTTTACATGAACTGCCTGAGTTCCCACTTTCAGTGCCTTGTTGTAGAGGAAATGAAAAGAAATCTGTTGCTCTTAGGTGAAGATTGGAGAGAAGTATGGAAGAAGCTTCCTACAAGCAGTGCAGATAATTTAATTATGTGCTCAAAAGTTTGCCATATGGACTATTTCCCTAGATTTGGAGGAAACAAAAGAAATAAGAAAAGGGAACTGGAGTGGGATAAAGTTGATCACTGTATTATTTTAGTTATCCAGACTTCGGAGGTAATTCCATCATGCAGCCTTCTACATGCCCGGTATTTTTCTTCTAATCATCAGGAAAATCAGCTGACTTGGATTTCCAATCCAGCTGTTGATTGCAGCTCTGAAGAATGGAGCTCCATTGCAGAAGTGTCCACTCTGTCTTTAATTGCAGTTATGCATTTAGTAATCACATGTATAGGACACACTTGACATATAGGAGTCCGTCCCCCCCTTTATTTGCTTGTGTGAGGTGAAAATGTTTGGGACTGGCACGCGTGCCTGAAGCACAAATTGGTTAATCTCCCATAGATCTAAGGAGCCACATCAAAAGGAATTATGTCAATCTGGTTTACAAAGCGTAATGAAATTGTTCGTGTTTATCTGTCCTGTTAATGTACTTACTGCTTGAGATACACTTACACTTCCTTCAAGCCCTGAGATGCCATTAAGCACAATCAACTTTGGGGCCATGTTCAACATTCTTGGGCACACAGACCCCCCCACCCCCAGTAGAGGGAAATGTTCCATGTGCTCTTTGGCATTTCCAATAGCCTAGGAATCTGCGCTGTACTAAGTCAGTTCATTGGTCCACCTACCTCCGTACTGGCTGTACTGACTGGCAACAACTCGCTAAGGTTTCACACAGGAGTTTTTCCTTGTCTGGAGATGTCATGAAATAGACCTCAAACCTTTCTGCATGCAGAGCACTGTGATCTGCCACTAAGCCACAGCCATGTTAGTTGCATTTCATTCTGACTGAAATAAATTAAAATGGAGGCGTGTCCCCCCCACATTGATTTAAATGGGATCCAAGTGCAGCTAACTCAGTCTGGATACAACCCAATGTATTTCATTTTCATAGAGGTGAATGAGAAGCTTCAGCCTCCATGGAGACCCACTGCAAATGTTGCAGACACTGGATCAGAACCTGCAAGACACTTACTTTTGTAGACTAGTCTATCAAAGTACTGCTGATTGGTTTACCCATACTTGTTTTTAACTCGGTGGCTGGACATGTCACGTAATGGCTCATACATGTGTGTCAGTCATCAAATCACCACCACCAGATTTTTCATAACACTCAATATCAGGCACAATCCTTTTCAATGGAGATGGCTTGCTTACTCAGCTCAAAATCATCAAGTGATGAGAAAACAAGAATATTCTTGAGGCTGTTGTCCTGAAAATGGTTTCTTACCCTTGCATTACAATAAAGCTGATAGGAGTGAAACATTATCAATAATTTTGCCTGAAATGTCTTTGAAATTGTTAAACCTTTGGCCCTGGACTCCAATCTCTTCACGAGTTTAAAGTTTCAGGACAATCCAGGATGTCTGGTAGACTCACATATTGCCAAGTATGTCTAGAAAACTGGTCAGAAATAAGCCATGTTGTATTTGTTGCATGGTTATAGTACAAATCTGTAGCCGAAGCACTGATCAATATAGTTGTCAGGTCCTGGAAGCCAATGTTTAGGTTGCAAGATTACATGTTGAAGAAGTGAACCTCCAAAATAGTATTATCAAAAATCTGTTCTACCCACAGAACGAGCTACACATTCATTACTTGCCAAACCTGGCAAGGTGATGGAGATCTAGGACTAGGTCTTCCATTTCTATATTTTTGATTCAGAGAGTACCACCTCTTGTAGATCAAATCCTGAAAATGGTAGAAGAATCTCAAAGGCCTCTTTCTGTGTTTATTTTCTGGATTTCATACACAAGGCAGTAAAGTATAGTGGTACCTCGGGTTACATACGCTTCAGGTTACATACGCTTCAGGTTACGGACTCCGCTAACCCAGAAATAGTGCTTCAGGTTAAGAACTTTGCTTCAGGATTCAGAAATTGTGTTCCGGCGGCTCAGCGGCAGCAGGAGGCCCCATTAGCTAAAGTGGTGCTTCAGGTTAAGAACAGTTTCAGGTTAAGAACAGACCTCCGGAACGAATTAAGTACTTAACCTGAGGTACTATTGTAAAGAGGATGTTCTTAGAGGATTTCTTTCTCCTTTGTGACATAATGATGGTGCATAGGATCCTGAAGGTTGCTGGGCCCGTGACCTTAGGCTGTTGATGATTTGCAGAAAGGCAGCTCTGGATCCAACCTTTTTGTCTAGACAATGTGTGTATATAAGCCACACTGGGTGTTACCATAGAAGAGGCATTTCTCTTGTGTTAGAATGCATGGGAATACTTGTTTTAAATGATGCTTGAAGCCTGCACATTCATAAGTAGTCACATAAATAATAGGTTTTAAAAATGTATATCTATGTCTGCTGCCCAGCTAATTAGGAACACCTTTTCAGTCAATTAAAAGGTTTTAGAATTGGTTAATCAATCAGTTGATCAAACATTGCAGCCCTACTCACAACCCACCCACCCACTTCAGAACAAAATAATATTGGTCTTTACTCTCCCTGTTTAATGAGCATTAAATTGCAACAGAACACTTCATTACTGTATGATTTTTCTCTAGTAACAAAGAGAAACTGTATTTACTGATGTTAATAAAACTTGAAAGCAGAGCAGTTCAGAGCCAGAAGCAGGTAGAAGTCTATCCCAGTGGGAGGTATCTCACAAGTGAATATGATCCCTTAATAGGTTATCTTTTAAAAATGGGAGTGCTGGGATCTTGGAAGTGAAAATTTTCTTTTAATAAATACATATTTCAGAGTGAAATCCTTCAAATTGTGCATAAGATAAGAACCAGTGTGATGTAACAGTGAGAGTGTTAGACTATGACCTGGGAGACCAGAGTTTGAATCCCCACTCAACCATGAAACTCGCTGGGTGCCCCTGGGGCCAGTCACTGTTTCTCAGCCTGACCTACCTCACAAGGTTGTTGTGAAGATTAATGGGGAGGGGGAACCTTAGAGGCAAAGGAGGTATATAAGTGTAATAAATAAATAAGTATAATGATGATGAGGATAGTTGTGATGCATATGCTGGGGCAGGTCATTGGTCCATCTAACCCAATATTGTCTACTCTGATTGGCAGGGGGTCTCCAAAGTTAGTCAGGAATTTCCCCCAGTACCTGTTACTTGACACTTTCACCTGAGTTGCCAGTTCTTGTTCTTTGCCACTAAATTATGGGCACTCCTTATTAAGATACAGTCCTCTACACCCTGCTTATAAATGTTAGTTAGATATGTTAGCTATGAAATGTTGTCTAATTAAAAAAAACCAACAACCCTGTAGCAGATGATGGTGTGGGGTGTTGTAAACAAAATCTGTCCCTTTTCCCTTATGGGTATCCATAAGGGTATTCCCTTATGGGGTACCCATGTGGGTTCCCTATTGGTAGGAGAAAATAACAGAGGCCAACCAGAGAATATTGAGAAGCAAAGCAGCTTGTAAGCCTGATCTTTATTGAACTGTTGCAACAGGGTGCTCTCCTCACACGCAGGAAGACCCAGAACAAAGGTGTGCCTCCCTTATATAGACATTTTAAATTCCCTGCCCTGGAGCTCAAGACCACCCCTCCATACATCATACATACATCACAGAAGCGGTGTAACCCAAGACCACCCCCCACAAACATCATATCTACCGTATTTTTCGCTCTATAACACGCTCCCAACCATAACACGCACATAGTTTTTAGAGGAGGAAAACAAGAAACAAAATATTCTAAACGTAACAGTGGATGTATGATTTTTGTGGTTCATGCTGTGGCCACAGACATGTGATCTGACGGTGAGTTTGGGGTAGCCCAATGCAAAGATCCTGAGGATCCATGTGGATCCGTGCTTTGCAACCACGTTTTTGCACCACTGCGGCCCCAGGCAACAGTGGGTGCGTGATTTTTTTGGTGCAAGCTGTAGCCATGGACATGCTATGTGATCTGATGGTGAATTTGGGGTGACCCAGTGCAAAAATCCTGAGGATCCATGTGGATCCGTGCTTTGTAACCACGTGAATGAAGGAACTGTCAGTAATGTATGGTATCTCCAATACAGTGATGAAGGTCCTCACACTTGTCCTAGGCAAAGCAGCCAACTCCTATAGGCCTAGGTGCCTTCACCCCCCCATTAAATATTTGAGGGAGTCATCATCCCCCATGCTGATGGGCATTGCCATTCATATAAGGTACCAGTGTGCATGCACTTTGTCTTGAGATCATTGCAGTCTGAGATGGGGCTTACCTGTACCTGCCCCCCCCCCCATATTTTATTGAAGTTGGAAGAGGGAGGGAGGGAGGGAGGGAAGAGAGATGGAGAGCTCACATTTGTCCTAGGCAAAGCAGCCAACTCCTATGGGCCTAGGTGCCTTCACCACCCCCCATTAAATATTTGAGGGAGTCATCCCCCACCCCCCAGTGTGGTATGTGAGTGGGGCTTACCTGGCTGTCCCCCCAATATTTTTTGAAGTTGGAAGAGGGAGGGAGGGAGGGAAGGAAGAGAGAGGGGGAACTCACATTTGTGCAGCTGCCTTGCCTCGAACCGGAGCAAAAAGAGGAGGAGGAGGAGACTCAGGGACACGAGCCTTGTAAGCCGCTTTGTTTGAATTTACCGGTGAGGTGCTGGGGGAGGGACGGAAGGGGATGCCCTCTTTGTCCCTCCTTCCGGCTCATTGTAAAGAAAGCAGAGTAAGAGCCGCTTACATTTGTGTAAGGGAGAGCCATAGAGCAGACAGACACTGAGAAAGAGAGGCTGTCTCCCTTTCCCCACCTTGGCTTTTACACGCTGCGCGCAGCTCTTGCCGGCTTCCGAGCTGCCTCCCTTCTCCCACCTCGCCAAAAAGCCATAGAGCAGGCAGACAGGAGGAAGTGAGGCTGTCTCCCGACACTCAGCTGTTGCTCAGCTGTTGCCGGCTTCTCAGCGAGCCAAGCGGAGGAAGAGAGGCTGCCGAACAGCCAGCAAGAGTGGCTCCTCCTGCCTGCATTCGCTCCATAACGCGCACACACATTTCCCTTTACCTTTTAGGGGGAAAAAACCTGAGTGTTATGGTGTGAAAAGTACGGTACATCACAGAAAGGTGGTCTACAACAGAAATTTGAATGTTGTTGTTTTTCCTGTCTGCCAGGTTATCTAATAAAGCCATATCTAATTGCCTTTCCTGGTAGTCTGCCCATTCCTTTGAAATGGTGATTACCCAATTCCTGTAACAAGGAAGGTTTTCTCACCTCCTCCCTCCTTGCAGAGAAATGTTTAGTCAACTTGGGAGTCAAAATGGTTTCAGCATGGTCTTCCTGTGCTGGTCCAGACATGTGTTCCACATATCTATGTTTGTGCTTGAACATTTATTATATATATAAGACCTTTTTTTTATTACAGGGGCAATGGTGCTTGCCTGACCTCCCAGCAGCAGATCACTGGTGTTTACTGGGAGAAAGAGGGGGGGCAGTGCAGCAATGAGGTTGGCACTGCGCAAACACACACCTGGAGCACCATATTGGTTCTGCAAATGTGTTTGCACAGTGCTGACCTGGTCCACATTACCGTGGTCTTTCCGTTCTTCCTCCCAGTAAACAGCAGTGACCTGTCAGGAGGTCGAATAAACACTGCCACCGCACACCACCATTTGCTACTGATACCATCTGAATCATAGATTTATAGAATTGTAGAGTTGGAAGGGGATCACCCATTCCAACCAGCTGCAGTGCAAGAATCTCAACTACATCAGCCATGACAGGTGGCCATCCAACCTCCTCTTTAAAAACTTCAATGAAGGAGGTATATAAAACTTTTTTAAAAACCAACAACAGGGTTTCTTCATACTTACTGCTTAATATGTTTCAGATAATGGGGGCCAGACGTTGGCAGGTGGAAACAACTGGCCATTAAGAGGAAGAAAATGGACACTGTGGGAAGGCGGAGTGAGAGGAGTGGGATTTGTTGCAAGTCCTTTACTGAAACGGAAGGGAGTGGAAAGTCATGACCTTATCCACATTTCTGATTGGCTGCCAACCCTGGTGAAGCTCGCTGGAGGGTCTACGAATGGCACAAAGCGTCTAGATGGTTTTGATGTCTGGAGAACAATCAGGTAACCTCTGTTTTAGTAGGACATTATCCCCCTCCCCATGGTGCATTATGGGCAACCAAGATGTTGCTGGTGGCAAAATCCTTGTTTGCCATGTTTTCATTTTTTTAAGATAAACGTCCTTAAAAATGTGATCAGATTTTCTTTTAATGGATTTATTAACTAGCAGAAGTGGGGCAACTAAACTTAATCAAGCTAGTAGACTCAAGCAGCAAACATTTTGTATGATGCCTTGTTCAAAAATCCATGTAACTCATGAGAAGGTCCTGAGAAATAATTTATCACTTGAGTGTTTGCTGCTATAAGCGGATTTGATTAAATGAATGATAACCCAGCTGTTTGTAACAGAAAAATTAATTCAAGCCTGATGCATGTCCACTGTGTAATCCATCAGAAACTTTCCTGCCAATAGTCTGATTAAGTCAAATTACTCATGGGCAAGTTTTCACCTTCTAAATTTTCCCTGTAGAATTTCCTCCCCCCCCCCCCCCTTGCAATCTAACCAGAATTCCCCAGAGTGCTGGGTGTTTTAACAGTGTAAACAGATACATTCTTGCATGGTTGAAAAGTAACTGGTTTTCAATATCACAGAGTAAACAAGATGGAGAGAGGTGATAATTGCTTCATTAAGCTATCAGCAATGCAGAAAGCGGTTTGCAGTCTTTACATAGTTTCAGCAGGGGTATTTTATTGAAACTATAATGGCTGGGTTTTTAATAGATTGGATTAAGCTGTCTGAGTTTTAAAAGTACAAGGGTGCACAGAATTATTGGTAGACCCCCCATGGAAGAAAAAACATCTGCAGCAATTACAGTTTTGCAACTGACAGAGTACATGAAATTGACCACAGTCTCCTCCTTCCTTGACTCTGTCATGCATCAGTTCCTTACAACAGCTTTCTATTAGAGCTATTTAAACTATTTTTGCCTGCCTGGGGTGATGTTTTTATTATTCTATCTGGTTGGACAGGCATCTCCAGAGATGTTGTGGATATTGAATATCTTCCTGTGTTGGAACAAAGGGTTGTACTGCAGGAACCATTGGGTATTCTCCAGCAATCTGATTCTGTGAACTTTCCCAAGTGCTGCAGACCAACCAGGGTTTTGGTTGGATAAGGCATTCTTGATAAAGTTGAAAGCATAGCACTCAATTTCCTTTAGAAAGTTTTTTCCCACTAGCTGCAGCTAGTACAAAATGTTTTCACCCCCCTCTTGGTGAATCCAGATTGCTGGGGGCATTAAAAACCTGCTCCCTACTGGTTGCAATGACTACCTGTCAGTTTCCAGGCATAATTCAAGGTACTAATTATGTTGCACAAAGCCCTATATATCTAGGGAGCTGGGTACTTTGTACAGCATCCCCCCCCACATGACACCCTTCTCCCATAAAATTTAGAGAGGCCCTGATCCATTTCCCATGAGGACAAATTTGTTGACTTAGGCAACTGTATTTTTCTTTAGGGTGCTGCAACATTATGTTGTATCCAAGTACTTTCTAATCAGAGTAGATCCATTTACATTAATGAACCGAAGTTAGTCATACCCATTAACTTCAGTGGGTCTACTCTGAGTAGGACTAGCATTGGACACAACCCTTTGAAACGCTTCCCCAAAAAAGTCCTCCTGAGCTCCTACCTTTAGTCATTTTGGCTGAGAGCCAAAGAAGTCATACTTAGAACAGACCAATTGAAATAAATGAGCTTAAGTCCCATGATTTTATTGTATTTTATAGTAATTTTTCAAATTGTAACAACAAATTTTCCACAAATCTTAATTGAACAATTTATATATCCATATTTCTCCCCTCCCCCCTCTTTGGCTTCCCCAATATTTCTGTATTGATTTATTAAACAAATTCTATACCCTGCTGGTTTTACCTCTTATATAATAATAATAATAATAATAATAATAATAATAATAATAATAATAATAAATTTTATTTATATCCCGCCCTCCCCAGCCGAAGCCAGGCTCAGGGCGGCTAACAACACTAAAATAGTGCAACATTATAAAAACATTATAAAAATTAATTAAAATCAAAATTGATGGCAACCATAAACTAAAGTTTTGTAAAGATTGCCAAAGGAGGGAGTCAGGCTGCGCCCTGACCAAAGGCCTGGTGGAACAGCTCTGTCTTGCAGGCCCTGCGGAAAGATGTCAAGTCCTGCAGGGCCCTTGTCTCTTGTGACAGAGCGTTCCACCAGGTTGGAGCCGCAGCCGAAAAAACCCTGGCTCTAGTTGAGGCCAGACTAACCTCTCTGTGGCCTGGGACCTTCAAGATGTTTTTATCTGAAGACCGTAAGTTCCTCTGTGGGGCATACCAAGATAGGCGGTCCCGTAGGTACGAGGGTCCTAGGCCGTATAGGGCTTTGAAGGTTAAAACCAGCACCTTAAACCTGATCCTGTACTCCACCGGGAGCCAGTGCAGCTGGTATAGCACCGGATGGATGTGATCTCGCAGCGAAGACCCTGTAAGGAGTCTCGCTGCGGCATTCTGCACCCGCTGGAGTTTCTGGGTCAGTCTCAAGGGCAGCCCCACGTAGAGCGAGTTACAATAATCCAGTCTGGAGGTGACCGACGCGTGGATCACAGTGGCTAGGTCAGGGCGAGAGAGGTAAGGAGCCAACTGCTTAGCTTGGCGGAGATGAAAGATGCCGCCTTTGTTATAGCTGCAATCTGCGCCTCCATGGAGAGGGAGGTATCGAAGATTACACCCAAACTCTTAACGGACGGTGCTGGCACTAATTGCACCCCCACAAGAGATGGGAGTTGCCCCCTCAATCCCATATCGTCCCGTCCCAGCAGAGGACCTCTGTCTTCGAAGGATTTAGCTTCAACGGGCTCCCACGTAACCATCCAGCCACAGCTTCCAAACATCTGGTCAGTGTGTCTGGGGCCGAGTCAGGATGGCCATCCATCAACAGATAGAGTTGGGTGTCATCAGCATACTGATGGCAACCCAGCCCAAAACTCCGAACAAGCTGGGTGAGGGGGCGCATAAAGATGTTGAAAAGCATCAGGGAGAATATCACACCCTGGGGCACTCCACACACCAAGGAGTGGCGGGATGACAATTCCCCCCCCAAGCGCCACCCTCTGTCCCCGACCAGAGAGAAACGAGCGCAGCCATTGAAGGACTGTGCCCTGGATCCCCACGTCAGCAAGGCGGTGGTCCAGGAGTTCGTGATCGACCATGTCGAAGGCTGCTGACAGGTCTAGAAGAATCAGCAGCCCCGACCCGCTTCGATCCAGCTGCCTGTGGAGATCATCTGTTAGGGCGACCAGAGCTGTCTCGGTCCCATGACCAGCGCGGAAGCCGGACTGGAATGGATCCAGAGCCGATGTTTCATCCAGAAACCTACCAAGCTGTTCAGCAACCGCTCTCTCAATCACCTTACCCAGGAATGGAAGATTCGAAACCGGGCGGTAATTGGATAGATCTAAGGGGTCTAATGATGTTTTCTTTAAGAGCGGGCGCACCACTGCCTCCTTCAGTTCCCCTGGGAATGTCCCGGTGCCAAGGGACAAAGTGATGATATCCCCCAGGGGGGCCCGCACCTCGTCTGGACACGCTCTAATCAGCCAGGACGGGCACGGGTCGAGAGGACAAGTGGTGGGCTTTCCAGCTCAGAGGAGTCTGTCCACATCGGCTGGGGATATCCGGTCAAAGTGGTCCAATACTGGACCCGAGGACAGTCGAGGGGCCTCCAGTTCCTTTATTGTATCCAAATTGGCAGGGAGGTCATGGCGGAGCAACAGGACCTTCTCCGCAAAGAAGCTCGCAAATGCCTCACAGCTGTGTGTCAAATTGTTATTTAAATTTGGCTGTCCTTTGAGGGACGTTAAAGACCGAATTATACTAAATAATTGCGCCGGGCGAGAGCTAGCGGATGCAATGTTCTTGAAGCTCCGTCACGGGCACCCCGCCATACTCGCTCTAGCCATCTGAGATCCCGCTTCATTTTCCAGAGCTCCTCGGTAAACCAGGGAGCCCGGTTTCTGCGGGGTCACAGAGGGCGCTTAGGTGCGATCTCATTGATGGCTGCCAGGAGCTGGGTATTCCAGCCCTCAACAAGCTCAGTCAATGAGTCGCCAGGGGGTGAAAGGTCCCGCAAGGCTTGACGGAATCTATCAGGGTCCATCAGCCTCTGCAGGCGAGCCCAAATCGGTTCGGCACCTAAGCAGGGTGGGGGTGGAACGTCAATCCTGGCTTTCAGAGCGTAGTGATCAGACCATGGCACCTTCATCGAAGGAAACATGATCACATCTATACCGACGCCAAAGATCAAATCCAGCGTGTGGCCTGCTTGATGTGTGGGGCCCGAAACAAACTGGGAGAGCCCTAGTGTTGCCATGGAAGACACCAGGTCCAGAGTCTGTGAGGAGGGAGTGGCATCAGCATGGATGTTGAAGTCCCCCAATACCAATAGGTTAGGGAACTCCAAGGCCCAGCCGGCCACCGCCTCCAGCAGGCCTGACAGGGTGGCTGCTGGTGCACTAGGTGGCCGGTACACCAGCCAGACAGCCAAGCTCACCTCGGAGCCCCACACTAGGCCAACACATTCAATGCCGGGGATCGATGGCGATGGTAGAGCCCTGAAAGAACAATCTTCCCGGATTAATAATGCCACCCCTCCCCCCCCGGCCCACAGTCCGCGACTGGTGGAGGACGGAGAAACCCGGGGGCGCCATCTCTCGTAAGGTAACAGTATCCCCTTCGCGCACCCAGGTCTCTGTCACACAAGCCAGGTCAGCCCCCTGTGAGATGAAGAAATCTCGCAGGGCGGCAGTTTTGTTGCCTATAGACCTGGCAACACCAGTGACGGAGGTGAGTAATCCTTGCTCACTCTACCCTCGTCTCTCGGGATGGGGCGCAGATTGGAAGGGGTACGAGCATATCCGTATCTCGATCCCCTTCGCCTATGACATCTGCCCCCACCGCCATACCTCCCTCGCCATACCCCCACAGTAGGAATCCCAAGCCTCATACTCGCCTCCATTTACAAAATATAAAAGCAAACAAACAAACAAAAAACAATTACACCAAAACAAAACCAATCCCCACCCCACTCAACAACCATCCCACCCCAACCCAAAATAAAACAAAACAAAATAAAAATACATGGATAAAAACCACCGTTTATGGTGGTACAACAAAGTAAAAAGTAAAAACACTTTTAAAACACTTTAAAATATATAAAAACGTTTTAAACATTTGCTGCAGCAGCACCAGTGTCCTTAAAGTTGTGGTGGTGGTGAGTGTGGGCCCCGCCCCCTGGCCTGGTGAAGTGGGCTTGCAGGGGGAAGAGCCCTCCCCACAAACTCACGGCAGAGCGGCAGCAGCAATGTCCCAAGGCCTCCTTGGAGCCTTATATGCTGAGGTGGAGTATGGGGCCCGCCCCCAGGCCCAAGGTGGAGAATGGGCTTGCAGGGGGAGCGGTCCTCCCCACAAACTCACGGCGAAGCGGCAGCAGCAATGTCCCGAGGCCTCCTTGGAGCCTTATATGCTGAGGTGGGGTATGGGGCCTGTCCCCAGGCCCAAGATGGAGAATGGGCTTACAGGGGGAAAGTTTATATAGTTGGGAAAGTTTAGTCAAAACGTGCCAATGGGTCCAAATCTTTATACTGTCTTTTTATATGGTATATAAATGGTTCCCACTCCTTTTTGAAATCCATGTTGTCTCTCTCATGTATCCTCCCTGTCAGCTTGGCCAGTTCCTATGATTTTAAATGAGTCTACTCTGTATATGATTAACATTGGGTATCACCAGAAAGCAAGTGAAAACCATTTTGTTTTACATTATTTTTATTGCTAGTTTTATGTCTTCTTGTTTTATTGTGTGGTAAATGTTTTCTAAATATCTTGCATTGACTTACTGTGTTTTATAACTATTGGGTAGCTAAAAAGAATGTTGTTCTTTGCAGCCCTGGCTTGATTTCAAGACACAGCTGCAAAGGATCTGCAAAGCCATAGCTCAAGCCACTCCTGCAAAGGAACAGTTTTTGTTTGTAGGCATGACTTGAAATCAAACCACATATGCAAAGGAAGAATTGGGAGTGGACTTTCCTTTGATGTTCTGCCTTCTGGCCTCATGTTTACATTGGACTATTGACTGGTAGGTGGCCCTGCACATCTATCCAAGTGGGAAGTTGGTGGTGGAAAGTTCAGTCTGGCTCAGTTCCCCTTCTCTGAACTAAGTTCCACTCAGAATAAAAAGGTAAAGGGACCCCTGACCATTAGGTCCAGTTGCAGACGACTCTGGGATTGCGGTGCTCATCTCGCTTTACTGGCCGATTGAACCAGCATAAAGCTTCCGGGTCATGTGGCCAGCATGACTAAGCCGCTTCTGGCAAACCAGAGCAGCGCACGGATATGTCGTTTACCTTCCCACCAGAGTGGTACCTGTTTATCTACTTGCACTTTGATGTACTTTCGAACTGCTAGGTTGGCAGGAGCAGGGACGAGCAATGGGAGCTCACCCTGTTGCATGAATTCGAACCACTGACCCTCTGATTGGCAAGCCCTAGGCTCTGTGGTTTAGACCACAGCGCCACCCGCGTCCCTTTTTCCACTCAGAGTAGACCAGTTTATGTTAGTCATGCCCATTAATTTCAGCGGGTCTGCTCTCTGTATGACTAACCCATTAATGTGAATCCTTTGAGTTTCCACTTTGTGTGAAGAAAAGCCTTGTGTAACATCTAATAGTGGCCATGTGCAAGCAGAACAGACTTCCACTTGTGCAATGAGACTTCCTCTTCCCCTCCTTCACCCTCCTTATGCACCCCAAATCTCTGGTTGATTGGCTCTCTTCAGCAGATTTGGTGGGGCCACAGGAGCTGCAGGGTGGGGAGGAGAAAGGAAAAAGCGAAGTCCTGATGGCTGAATAAAAGCCCACTTCCCCAATGTTGGATTTTGCCAATGTACGCATTCCTGAAATGCATAACTAAAATTAATTGGGCTCCTGATTACTCTGAGTATAACTTAGTTCAGGGTTGGGGAACTGAATCCAGCCTGAACTCCCCACCACCATGGATCACTTTCCTAGATGGGAAGGGCCACCCACTTGTCAATCATGTGATGGTAACCATGAAACCAGGAGGCAGAGCTTCAAAGGAAAGTGTGCTCCCAATTCTTCTTTTCTTCTTCTGGCTTGGTTTTGGTACAGGACAAACAATATCCTGTTTAAATTTCTGAGCAGCTTTGCACACTTAATTAGTTAACAGACTTCCTTTTTTCTTGAGAGAATCGCAAAAGGAATGATTGAAATAGCTGGGCTAGGATTCTGTTAAACTGTAGAAAGAAATTTAATGCCTTTCCTAATAAACTTTATTCTAGTGAAGGCGAACCTTCCCCCAGAACGGAGCTGCTTCATAACATAGACCCGATTTTTGTGGATCTGTCTCCATGTAAGTCTACCATTATTAATTCCTGGAACTTTTGGACAGGTCCTTGAGGCCCAGTTGGGGGGCTGGGGGTTCCCCTATCAATGTAGTTTTTATTTTTCTCTCTGGGTGAAGAATTTAAATCAGGCTGGACACCAGCCATTCTGCCACTATGCCATAAAGTGTTGCAGTGATCTCATCTTCAGAGCACGGTTAACTACACTCTAAATCATTCCCAGAGTCTGTTGCGTTCTCTCGTGCTCCAAAGTTGCTCATATGTAAATCATAATGCAGCCCAGAGTGTAGAGCTGTTGACAGATAACCACATGCTCCAGGTACATAGTGGGGCACCGTGCCAAGGACCAAAATGCCCCCAGCCCTGAAAAGTGGCGGTTATCTTCCGATAGTTGGGGATATACATGCACATGCCGTTTTCTTGTACAATAAAGCTCTCTTGTTAACCTAGCAGATAGAGAGAAAGGAGGGGGGCTCTAGTTCCTACGTGGCTGTGAAGTTCCAAGTCCCATGGCTGCTTTCATGCTGTAATCATGAGAGATGGGAAGCTTTGCCAATTCTGCTTCTCCACTTAAACACTGTCTGTTTTACAACTCTGCCCAGCTATTTCCCCCCCCCCCTTTTCCTTTTTGTTATTTTGCCAGAGACTAAGCTTTTCAATGTGGGGATTGTTTAAGAAGATTTTCATTGGAACATATCCTTTTTACACTCTCTCTAAGTTCCTTAATGAAATTACTATGTAATAACAAAGGGGTGTCCAAAACCACAGATGGCAGCCCTCCTCGCGTGGTTCTCCCCAGGCTTTGTGACTCTGCCTGCGGCCTTGCACGGTCCCTTTCAGGCTCCCCCACCCCCCGCCAAGTTGAAAGTCGAGGAAGCAAAAGAGTGGACTGGGGTTGCACTCTGTGGGAGCCTGGGCTTCACGTTCTTTGCTGCCCTTTTGCCTGTAGCAATTGAAGACAAGTGGCACAGGGGACAAGCAGTTGTGCATGTGTGTGCGAGAGAGTAGGAGAGGGAGAGGAGGCAGAAATAAAATGAAGTGTGGCTCAGGGCCAGGACAAAAAGCATACATCCTCCTAAGTCATACAGCCTCCAAGCATGTATTTTAGCCCTTCTAGTTCTGCATAAAGTTTTATGAGGTTTTGCCAGGTGGGACTTGCTGGCACACTCTGCATGGCCTGGAAGCCACATGCTGCACAACTTCCCTTGGCTGTATGGGGCCTTCTCTGGGTTCTTTGGGGGCTGTGTTTTGCAAGGGCTGCCTTAAATAGTTTGCTGCAGGTGACAGCTGCTGTTCCAAGAAAACTGACACAGATGTCATAGGCTGGCTAGACCCAGAGGAATGGTGGGAGGCAGCAGCTGGGGAACCCCCTGGGAAGAGGAGGTGTCAGAAGCTGAACAGATAAAAGGGTTTAGTGAGCAGGGACAGTCTGTGGCAGAGAGAAGTGCAGAAGCTGGAGCAGGAGAAGAGGGAGGCCAAGAGGCAGAGATGAGTCAGACTGATGAAGAAGCCAAGGTATCTCCCACTCTTGCTGTGACAAATTCCCTTCTCCCCTGGTCTCCCAGAACCAGAAGAGGTATGAAGAGGGAGGAGCAGAGACAGACTCATCAAGAGAGTCTCAGATTGTTTGGGAAGGACCTAGAGGAGGAGGAGTCTTAGACAGCTATGGGAAGGTGGGGGTCTTCAGCCTCCACAACTGTATTGGTAGGCAAGTGTTAGTGTGCTCGTTAGGCCTGGCTCCCCTGAGCAAGCCTTGTTTCTTCTAATAAAGAATTAACTTCACATACTCCATGTGATTTATTGCTGGCTGGTTCCCTGACAAAAGCTGCAAATGAGTCATTTGTGACCTGTTCCCCCCCCCATATTTTGTGTATTGTATTTATATCCCACCTTCACCCCCTTCTGTAGAATGCAAGGTAGCATCTATAGAGTTTGTAAGCAGTCTCATCCATACCCTGACCCAGGGCCAGATTTAGGTTTGATGAGGCCCTAAGCTACTGAAGGTAATGGGGCCCTTTATATGTCCAGCTGTCCTTTGTCAACAACAAATTGTTGCTGTTTTTTTGTGTTGAATATATGTTATATGGTAATTTATGGACCTAATAGGTATCTAAAGCCATTTGCACATAACAAAATACGTAATTTATCAAAGTAATTGTTGAACTGAAATACAATTAAGAAGAGGTATATTAATAGTGAAATACAATTAAAGGTAAAGGGACCCCTGACCGTTAGGTCCAGTCGCGGATGACTGGTCACCAACTGGCCAAGGGAGTTGGTGTACAGCTTCCGGGTCATGTGGCCAGCATGACTAAGCCGTTTCTGGCAAACCAGAGCAGTGCACGGAAACGCCGTTTACCTTCCTGCCGGAGCGGTACCTATTTATCTACTTGCACTTTGACGTGCTTTCGAACTGCTAGGTTGGCAGGAGCAGGGACCGAGCAACGGGAGCTCACCCCGTCGCGGGGATTCGAACTGCTGACCTTCTGATCGGCAAGCCCTAGGCTCTGTGGTTTAGACCACAGTGCCACTCGCGTCCCTGAAATACAATTAAGAAGAAGTATATTTTTGGGGGGGGGCAAGAGAGTGGTGCCCTAAGCTATAGCATGTTTAGCTTATACATAAATCTGACACTGCCCTGACCAGACCCAGAACTTCTTAGCTTCATCTAGGTTGTTGCATCATGTGCCTTCAGAGTATTGTCTACATTGACTGCCAGCAGATCTTTAGGATTTCAGGCAGGGGTCTCTTCCAGCCCTACCTAGAGGTACCAGGGATCAAACTTGAGACCTTCTTCCAGCAAAGTGGCTGCTCTACCATGAGCTGTTGCTCTTCTACCTCTGAGAGTAAGAAAGAGACGGGTTCCAAGCCACAAGGAATGGCCTTCAGGAAGTGTTTAGCCGTACCACCTAGCAGTTTGAAAGTTATACAGTAATTTTGGATTTGATACCTGCCTAAAGCAGCTTCTTATCTGTACAGAAGGAACATGAGTACATGTTCCATTATTGGCTGGGTCATTACTCCGAGCTGGCTGGTTCTAATCCTGGCTGTTCCAACTTCTCTCAAAAGAATCCTGTCTATTGGTTCCCATTATGAATGTCACTTTCTAACGCAGCTCCTCTTCTGGAATCCATATTCTGTGGTGCTAGTTGAACCCAGATGAGTTGACAGTTGACAGTGATTTCATCGTTGTAAACAGCTTAGAAGCCATTTTGGCATATGAGGGTGTGTGTGTGTGTGTGTGTGTGTGTGTGTGTGTTTCTTCCCTACACCTCCCTGTCCCAATTTTGAGCAATACAGTATATCTCAAGGCAATGAGAGTTTCTGTATGAATAGCATTCTGTATGAATAGCGCTTGACACTTAAGAAAAGCAACAACCCAGCGAAACATCACAAAAATGCATCATCTTTATTTATGCACCCAGCTGACATCATCTGTCATTCTTTAGGTTCTCTTGCATCAACATCTGCTACCCAGGCCATCCTTTCCACCTTTTTCTTACTACAGGAGAATGTAGGAGCAGTCGGGCCCGAGACTTGTATTCACTGGGATTTTTTGACACTTTTACAACAATGCCTTCTATTATAAGGATTCTCTGCATTATTTGTTCACTCTGCTTTAAGAAAATTATTGCATGCAAAGCTACCAGAGCTTAAGCAATGAGTTCCCAGCAGCACTTACCTGGTTTGCCAGCATGGGTGTCACTCCATCTTACTAGGAGGGGCTAGTCTGGCACAGTGAGGATGCATTGCTGGGAGCACCAGATTTGTTCTGCCAAGGCGTCTGCACTGTGATGATCTCCCAGCTGCGTGCACCACCTCTTCCAGTAAGCTGCAGTGACACCCATGTCAGGAGGCCAGGTAAGCATGGCTGCTTCTCACATTCATGAATTCCAGCCATGAGGAAAGAAAACAGCTTTGTACGTGGCATCTGGATCTCAGTGCCATAGTGAGGGCCATAGCTTAGTTGCAGACCCTCAGCTATGCATACAGAAGGTGCTAGGTTCATTCCCCAGTATCTCTCAGTAGGGTTGGGGGAGAACGTGGTTTGAAATCCTGGAGAGTCACTGCCACCCAGTGTAGGCAATATTGATCCAGAGGTAACAATGGTTTGGCACAGTTTAAGGCAGCTCCCCATGTTCTTTTGCACTGGCCCTCTGTCCGTGCAAAAGAAAATGGAGGCTTTGATTCTGCCTTCTCACCAAACAGATGGTTGAGAGTGTGTTGGGCAAATTCTGTCCTGCGTGAGTCTTTTTGGTACAGGGAAATATGTGCACAGCTACAGTCTATGCCAGTGTTTACTCCTGTTGGACTGAGACAAAGGTGTGTGAAGCAACATCACTTTAAAACACATTGTACACAGAAAATATCTGTGGAACTCATTTTAAAACTGAAAAATAATTATACCTTCAAAATTTCTCCTCGACTTGCAGTCTTTCTAGTCAAATGCAACTCATCAACCATGTATGTATGGTGGCCTGCCAGGACCATAGCAGCCCCGTTTGTTTGCAGCCCCAGACTGGTACTGAAAATTGCAACTTTCTCAAGTCCCTTCTGGGAGCGCATACATGGCAGGTAGTCTGCATTCAGTTTAGTAGATCAAAAGTTTTGAAGGCTGCTTTGGGTGAAAATTGAAGGGACCAGTTGCTTTGCATTACACACTTTATTGTTCTAATTTTAGCCATAATAATTTAGCAGGTTTTTTTAAAAGACTGTTTTTGGAAAACATATTAGGATGTTAGCAACTCAGGCTATTAGAAGCATACGTCATGGTCATAGTTCTCAGAATAGTCAACCTATTTTCAGATTATGAGTCTGAGCATCACAGCTCTTGAATAGGTCAGTAGGTTTCTTTACAGACACTCAAAAATCACTGTCTCAACACAAACTTGCCCTCCACAGTTGCAATGGCAGATTTCTGGAAGGAAGATTATTTGCGCCAAGTAGAATACATGTAGGTTCAAGCTCACCACAGAAAATGATAGATCTGGGAACAATTTTACTGAGCATGAGTGTTGCTAACCTCTCTTGGAATAACTTGCACCTTTTCCTCTCATGTTTCTGCCCATTTCTGAACAGTAGGGGGGAGGTGAAGAAAGAACATAATAACATGGGAAGTACTCAGCTATGATATATGTTCCATTCAGAGATATTGACCTCTATGCATTATGTCTGCTTTTGAGGGTCAAACTAGACATGACAGTGGCAGCTTCATTCTGCCCTGTTGACTCAGGAGCATAGGAACCTGTAAATGCACAGGAGAAATCCATAGGAGGAGGGGGACACCCTGTAACCACAAGGACTGAGGATCCCCTCAAAGGACCTTCCACAGAGACACCCGCTAAAGTGCCTGTCAGGAGCAGGTCAGCAATAAATCACATGGAGTAAGTGAAGTTAAATCTTTATTAGAACAAACTAGGGCTGTTTAGTAGCGTCAGGCCATATGAGCACAGCAACTCTTCTTGGTAATCAGTACACCAAACTGGCTCCCTCTTGAACCTTCCATGTGCTGGAAAAGACACAGGTCTCTGGCTTCTTGTGCCTGAACCTTGTTTCACTTTCTTGCTGTGTTGACTGTTGCTTGACCTTGCCTCTGGGTTACCTCTTGGACTGATACCCTCTGTTAGACCTTGGCTTATTTGGTCACTGCTGGGCCCCCATATAATCATTTCTTGGTGAGTTTTTTGGGCAGGAGACTTGGACCTTCCTGAATTGGGATCCTATTACCTAAGGGCACCTGCTGGAGCATGATAAGGTAAAGGTAAAGGTACCCCTGCCCGTACGGGCCAGTCTTGACAGAATCTAGGGTTGTGCGCTCATCTCACTCTAGAGGCCAGGAGCCAGCGCTGTCCGCAGACACTTCCGGGTCACGTGGCCAGCATGACAAGCTGCATCTGGCGAGCCAGCACAGCACACAGAAACACTGTTTACCTTCCCGCTGGTAAGCGGTCCCTATTTATCTACTTGCACCCGGGGGTGCTTTCGACCTGCTAGGTTGGCAGGCGCTGGGACCGAACGATGGGAGTGCACCCCGCTGCGGGGATTTGAACCGCTGACCATGCGATCGGCAAGTCCTAGGCGCTGAGGTTTTACCCACAGCGCCACCCGCGTCCCATGCTGGAGCATGATAGGAGACTGTAATTAGTTGGAAAGTTCTCCTGTAGGAGCTCCATTGGGAAAGAATAGGAGCTGTGCCAAGGCATAGTGCTTTCAGTGGAACTGCTGCAGGAGATCTTCCCATAGGTTTGTGCCTTAAAACACAATAGGAGTTATTGTACATGCTCCTTATCAGTTTGTACAACAGGGTTCGTTGAGCCTTCTTTTCTCTCTCCAATAGTCTGGTCCAAACTACTTTTCAAAGTTTTAAAAATGCAATGGGACAAAGTTCTGGAGAAAATAAGCCATGCTAAACACATGCTATCGCTTGTGGACATGTGCCCCCTGAGACTCAATAATGCCACACTGAATAAGGAGTCAGTGTCTGGAGCAGGGGTCAGCAAACTTTTTCAGCAGGGGGCAAGTCCACTGTCCCTCAGACCTTGTGGGGGCCGGACTATATTTTTTTGGGGAAATGAACAAATTCCTATGCCTCACAAATAACCCAGAGATGCATTTTAAATAAAAGGACACATTCTACTCATGTAAGAACACGCTGATTCCCGGACCATCCACGAGCCGGATTTAGAAGGCGATTGGGCCAGATCTGGCCCCCAGGCCTTAGTTTGCCTACCCATGGTCTAGAGACACACAAATCACTTCCCTCCCTTAATCAATAACCTGCCTTTGCATATTCTCTTGGCATTCTGCTTAATATTTTCATATGAAATTTCAAACGGAACACTTAATAAAAAAAGCATGTAATTCCCTAATGAATATGCTAATTGAATTTGCCATATAAAAGAATAAAACCACATAATAAGTATATGTTTCAAATTAAGTGCACTTATGTGCACTGGGAAAAGTATTGCGAAATGTACAATATCATACACATTTGTTATAACTTTGCATCGTTTCTTTAAAAACAGCTCTCCAAGTTATTGATGGCTTGGCAGCTGTGAGGATGACGTCAGCTCTTCCATTGTGAAGCCTCTGCTTTCTTTTAGATAGTCTTATGGCATTTCATCAAGTTTCGGTGATTCAGCTGAATTAAAAACCAACTGGCTTTGAGTCAAAATTCCCTTAACTGCTAAACCAAACATATTCCTGACCACATAGCCAATGCTAGATGCCCTGTCTCATAGCAGCACTGAAGCTCTATACCCTATTGTAGGCAATTGTTATTTTTCAGAATCTGAACTGAATGACCTAGAGAAAGTAATAGAACAATTGGAACTAAGGGTTGTTAGCCAAAGTCTGTCAATATATTTCCTTACTTGTCATGGTCATTCATTAATAAAACATGAAATATTCACCACCTTGGCAAGACAGACATTCTTTTTATCATCTTGGAGAGAAAAAGGCAGGGTTGTATCAGATGCTTCAAAGGACTGACTTCCAAACTTTTTTTTTTAAGGTGTTGCTAGGTAGAGAGATGTCAATGTAAAGCTCTTTCACCATTGCTCAAAATCCTATGCATTCTGCAAATGGATAAACTGACATACAGTGGCCTGCTTGCCTACTGGTTGTAGTTGGGTTATGGTTGTGCTTGCTTGAAGGCATTGACCCAGAGCATAGAAATTAAGAGGCACTTAGTCTGAGCCAATTTAATCAAAATCTGATATTTTTAAGGACATTACTTGGTACGTTCTACTAATAACTGCCGAAACAAATAGCTGCAGGGAACAGCCATACTTCGGTATGAATCTGACAACCACCCAGCACTCATTTAATTCATAATAATTTATTATATGCACAGAAACAGTGTTAAAGGTACATGTGCAATATTAAAAGCTCCCTGATTAAAAATAACAATAGTGAGCTTTAACTATCCATAGTTTCATAGCCTCAGTGCACAGCTTGGCTTTCAGTTTGACTGAGCAACTGATGGCAGGGTGTGTGAGCTGATTTATTTGATCTGTGAAGGCGTTTGTGAGTGCTATGAACCTTACCACTAAATGCATAGAGTTCTCTCCTGATCGCAGTGGGATTCTGTGACTTGTGAATTATACCGTGTACCACTGGTGTGCCACATTCCAGTCTTGGTGGTGCGCTGTCACTTTCAACAACCTCCATTGCCTTTTACTGGTATTCCTTTCTAGCAGAGTGTGGACTGTGCAGTCTAGCAAAGTTTTCTACATTGTTCTACAAAATTGTATGTCACATTTGTGGATACCTGCACAATATCTGTGCTCTGTTGAATTGGTGCCATAATTTATGATGGAATTGCCCGTATCATTTTTAAGTAATACTTTATGGTGTGTGGATATTTGGTTTATAATAAATCACCTTTGAATTCCAGTGACATTATATATTGCGTCTGCAAGGAACACCAGAAGAATTTGTCTTTATTATGGGACAGTTAACTCCTAGGGGCCCCATTTTTCACCAGGGCTAAAAAGATTCTTTTGACTTATTACATAGCCAAATTGATTTGTGCCATTCATACTTCTTTTCACCACTGGGAAAATATGAATTTGCATAAAGAGAACAAACACTCATTGTAAGTAGATGGTGTGTACTGTTTTTGTGGGTCCATAAATGTGTGGGTGTGCTTTCTCTAAAGGAATAAAAATGGCTTTGCCCTTTATGTTCATGCACAGCTAACACCTGACATTATTTGAAACTTAAAAAAATAAGTGTGTTAACAAGTCCCATCATTTTGATATGATCTTTTCCTGCTGCTGACTTGGTGAATTTGAAACCTTAGAAAGATAATGGCTGCAACATATATACAGGCCATTTGGTCTCAAACTCCCAGGAAGATTATCCTGTATCCAGATACTTGGACATGAAGTCCTACTGGAAAGAAGCAGCTTTCAATAAAATGCAGTTTGGTTCAACCCTAAAATTGGCAATCAGGTAGATTATGCCTCTACAGCTTGTGATCCACCATGTGGAATGCAGCCATTAATGTTGGTCTGCCAGATAACCAATGAACCTACTGTTTTTGTTTCCTTTCTGCAATTGAAAAATGAAAACACATAGCCCAAGTAGAAGAACAGACCCTGAGTAGAAAAAAAGAAAAAAGAAGTAGGTTTTATATCAATAAAATATAAATATCCCTCATTAGTTTCCCTTGCCCATTATCCTATAATAACCAATTTAATTCCCATATTTTCCATCCTAACCAGCCATTTCCTTCAAAATATTGTATTTAGATACGTTACTGAAAATTAAAATTAATTGAATTAGCCACATTTCCTTTTTCCATTAGTTCACATACTATAGTTCTTTGTATTACAAAATAAAAGACTGGAGGGGAGGACCTGTAGTTTAGTTGTATGGCTAGAGCACATGCTCTGCATGCAAAAGCTCCCATGTTAATTCAAAGTGTCTCCATTGCAAGAGTCTTAGGGAGCAGAGAAGACCCCTGCCTAGGACCCTGGAGAACCATTTCCAGTCACAGTAGACAGGGGTGGGTTAGATGAACCAAGTCTTGATTCTGTGTGAGGCAGTTAAATTTACTCATATATTTACAATACATATTTTACTGAACGAGTGCTGCACCTGTATCTGGAAGCTAGACAAGAATCTTTTTGTATCTTTTAACAAAGGCAGGATAGCAACATGAAACTCCTAAGTCTTGTGCCACCTAGTGACTACCGTATTTTTCGCTCTATAGGGCGCACCGGACCATAGGGCGCACCTAGGTTTTTTTTGGGGGGGGGAATAAAGAAGGAAAGCCAAGATCCATCCTGCTGGCTGTCTTGGCTTCCTCTTTAGCCACGCGCAACCACTCCAGCCGGGAGAAGCTGCGCGCGGCTTTGTTTTTAGCCGTGGGGCTGGGGACAGGGGAAGCCCGAGCTTCCCCCGACCCCAGCCCCCAAAACAGGTCCAGGAGCGGCGGCAAGATTGCGCACAACCTCGTCGCCGCTCCCGGGGCTTGCGGGGCTGGGGACGGGGGAAGCCCGAGCTTCCCCCGACCCCAGCCCCCAGAACAGGCTGCTATCCGCAAGCCTTTGGAGCCCGGCAGGAACTCCCGCCGCGCTCAGAAGGCTTGCGGATAGCTGCTTGAAGCCCAGGGAGCACAGCGGCGGTTGGCGCTGCACTCCCCGGGCTTCAGGCTGCAATCTGCAAGCCTTCGGAGCACTCCGAAGGCTTGCGGATAGCTGCCTGAAGCCTGCATTGGCTCCATAGGATGCACACACATTTCCCCTTCATTTTTGGAGGGGAAGAAGTGCGTCCTATAGAGCGAAAAATACGGTAAGCTATATAATGACACTGTCCACGCAAACTTGAGGGGGGTTTTTTGCCTTTGAAAAGAATGGTTTCCTTTTTCTCTTACATTTGTTTCAGGATGTTACAAAGCATTGAAATGAAATCTACTTTTTTCCAAATCCTTTGTTTGGGGAAAAAAGAGAGCATTGGGAGGAAAAATTTTAAGCTTTGGCAATATATTGTGTAATAACTAGAATTACCATTGGTCTCTTTAATTGGTCTCTTTAAAAAAGAAAGGGAATTGGGTAAGTTAGAGCTCATGGCAAAACCTGATTATTTTATGCTTCAGATGTCATTAGAAGACAGTATCTTGGATCTTAGCTGTTTGCCCAGTTTACGGAAGGAGAGTTGTGCTCGCAGAAAGAGTCCTGCTCCTGGAAGGAAACATTCTGTGAGTGGAACTCTTGAATGGCTGCTCCTTCTGTGAAAGGAGCAAAGAGGACCTAAGCCAAGATCTGGAGCTTGCCCAGTCCAGCCTGCTACTGTTTCTTTACTTCCTTGTAAAGCCTTTCATCTTGAACCGAAACATCTTTGTATAAAGCTGATACAATCAGCATGTAGAAGGGTGATTAGATGACTGGTATCTGAAGTTAATAATTCAACTGATATGTTAAGATGGTTGAAGAACATTTCTTGCTTTAAAAAATATATATTTATCATATAGGCATTGTTGGGGTGACAGTAATAAATAAGAGTCTAGATAACTAGATTTTCATCAGTTCCTTCAAAATCAGTATTCCATTAATTTTTCAAAGGTCAAGGTCACAGCCATTCCTCAAGCATTCTTATTTTAATAGAGTAACTGAAAGTGTCTGAGTTCTGCAGAAAATTCATTATCGCCATAAAGCCGCAAAAGGTCACAAAATGTCTTTCTTCACTGAAGTAGCAAAAATTTTTTATTTCTCCAATAATTCATTATCACAGTGGAGCCTGAAGGAGCCCTTGACATTTCAGCATCCTCCTCCTTCAGGGGAAATAATTGTTTTCATATATCATGATTTAGAAAACGACAGAAAAATTAGTGAAAAACAAACACAAACCTTTCTGGTCTGGGAACCATCTGTATTACTCTTTGTTCCTAAAGCTTCCCATCCCCACCCACCCTCCCCGTGCTGTCACTGAAGCTCTCTACATCTGCCCTGTGCAAAATGGTGAACGCCAGATCTATAGTATTGTAAAAAAAACGTAAGAAAATATGAAGAGCCCTGCTGGTTCAGGCCAAAGGTCCGACGTCCTGTTCTCACAGTGGCCGACCAGAGGCCTGTGGGGAAGTCTGCCAGCAGGGCATGATCACAACAACACTCTCCTCACCTGCAATTCCCAGCAGGTGGTATTTGTTATGTACTGAAGTTCTCACCCTGGGCCAGCAGGGGGATACTGTAGATAGTTTTCACTCAGGTCCACATATGCAAATAAGTGATTGAAAGTGACGTTCAGTGATTGGATAGTTACAGAAAATGGTTACTGTTGTGTTCTAGTGGAGCTCTATATAAGCAGGCTGGTTGAACCCTTCAGTTCTGTTCTGGCCTGTGAATAAACAAGAGCTGTTTGAAGAATCGCTGTGTCGTCTGATATGTTCACCCACAACTTAATAGTATTCAGAGGCACATTGCCTCTAACAGTGGAGGCAAGATGTGCATATCTTTCAGTTCACATTCAGCCCTTGCAGTTTGTGCTATACTTTGCTACACTGCCATAATAATAATAATAATAATAATAATAATAATAATAATAATTTATTATTTATACCCCGCCCATCTGGCTGGGTTTCCCCAGCCACTATGGGGTGGCTCCCAACAGAATGTTAAAAGCATGATCAAACATCAAACATTAAAAACTTCCCTAAATAGGGGTGCCTTCAGTGTCCAGTCTGAACGATGGGAGTGGAGATGCTCCTTCGGGTATACTGGGCCAAGGCTTCCCACAGTCATGTGATTGGCCACTGTGAGAATAGGATGCTGGACTACATGGACCACTGGCCTGATCCAGCAAGCTTTTCTTATGTTCTTGCGTTTAGGGAGGCTTTTTGCCTTCAGAGGCTGGTTTCTACTGCTTAGGCCTTAACTGGTACCTGCCTCTATATTATGTTTTCATAGCTGCTTCTTTTAACTGCTTTTGTTTGATGGCTTGCTATTTTGGTTCCTTTATCTTACTTTTTGTTTTTATTGTATCATATTCTTTCTCTCACTAGCCACTTTGAATTGTATAAGGAAAAGTGGGATATAAGTATTTTAATCTAATAAAAATGGAATAAAAAAAATGGGATCCTCTCCACTTTTTTGCAGGGGTTGTGCTGACTGTTCCTTAGGTTTTCTTAGGTTGATAATGCTTCCTAGCAATTCTTGTTGAGCAGGAATTAGACTGACAAAATATGTAATATGTCACGCTTGGGCATCTGTGATTCTCTCTGCCTGGAAAATTTGAACTGTGGGAGGTAGGAGGCAGAATGGTATCATGTTGCTGACATGCGGACACAAAATGCATGCTGATGAAAACAATGGGTTGCATGTAACTTGTTCCATCAGCACAAATATTTATGCTTCTGCAGTGAAACTTCCTCCCTCTTCTTCCATATGACCCCCTAAATCTGTTCTGGGCCTTCCCCCGATGCTCCAGAACAGATTTAGGGAAGGTACTGTGCACATGTGGGGAAAGTTGGGGGTGAGTTCCTTTGTGGAAGCAAAAACCCTTGTTCAGTTGGGACGTGTTAGCTGGATTCTGCCTGAAATGGCCCTGTACTGGTCCTGCTGCTTTCTCCATTGTAGACTGGGTTCATTACAAATACAGTGTGGTGAGCAGTCAGTGCCCTGGCAGGAGTGACGGCAGTGTTGTGTTTCCCAGACTGGTTAATTTCTGCTTCTAAAAGTTTTGTTAGCTCTCACTTCAGAGACTGAACCTCAGTGTTACTGATGAGTATAGAAATCAACTTTCAAAAGCTATTTGAAAAGGGCACCTGATACAGTCCTATTAACAAAACTAAGCCACATCCTAATTCATGTAAGCATCCCCATGTCAACATTTTCCTGTACTTGGAAAGCTAACATTTCAGGGTGAGATAAATAAAACATTTTTTAAAATGTCCAGTAGCACCTTTCGTGCATGCACACGAAAGCTTATACCCAGAACAAACTTAGTTGGTCTCTAAGGTGCTACTGGACAATTTTTTAATTTTTTAATTTATTTCGACTGCATCAGACCAACACAGATAGCTACCCGAATCTAGTATCTCAGGGTGAGGTTAAGGTAGAAGCTTTATCCCTGATGTGGTCATATTATGATTGCAGGTAAATTTTGAGAGGGCACCATATTTTAAAGTTGAGTGATCCATTAGCACGTCCTCCTGTAGGATTGCACCACTCCAAAGCTCTGGAGTGGTACAGTCCCACAGGTGGACAGTGTTGCATCAGAAACAGCATGTCTGGGTAGACTCTTCGTCTACTTCAAGTTTTTAAAACTTCTTTTAAGAAATGTATTTGACATACGAGAAGGAGGAATAAAGGATGAATATTCCATCTTTTTGTACAGATGTAACTGGAACAGGAAAACCATTGTTGGCAGAGCACTACTGAAATCTTGAACTAATGAGTGGAAACATTCTGGAAGCAATTATTTTACAAGCACAAAGTTTTTTGTTTTTATAAAAAAAATCTTTCCTTTTAGTTTTTAAATGTTTCAGCAGAACTGCATTTCTGTTGGAGATGTCTGTGACAGCAAACACAACGTGGAACCCAGATAGTCATGGGACCAAGAGTCTTAAAGCATTCTTTGGGGGCATTTCTCCTTGGCCACTGGTATTCGAGAAGAGAAGAAAGTATGATGCAGAGATCTTAAACAGCTTTATTCATTCATTCATCCATTTAAATATCCATTAGTCTTTTGGCTATTTCGGCAGACATAAGAAACGTGATGCAAGCCCGTGAAGTCAGCTTTCTAGGAGCAATAGCAGCACAGTTTATTCATGAATTAGATTCCAGAGGGAGCCCCCTTGTCCTGCCACCCCCACCCCCAACCAGTGGACACTAGTCTATAAGGCCAAATGGGGCGCTGCAGCTCCCCCCAAACCAGTGGAGGCTCATCTATAAAGGCAAATGGGGCACTGTACCACCAACCTGAGTCTGTCCTTGGCCAGCTCCCCCACCTGCCTTCTTACATTCAGTCCTGGGGGTGGTAATGGCAGGCACCTTCCTGCTCCTTAATCTTTGTGTTTCCCTCAGCATGGAGAAGGATGGAGGAGGGAACCAGGAAGAGCCTCCCATTGGCTCTGGCTCCACCTACTGCCAGCCTTTCTTCCTTCCCCCCAATGGCCACTAGCTAACACTGCCCCAACCTCTGTTTCCAAGTGTAGTTTTAAAATATAAGTGAGGGATTTGTATTTTGTATATGAATATGACTTAAGGCACAACATATGTTGAGAACTGGTCGTCTATTCAGGTTTATATGTTCTTGTAGGATTAGATAGTTTCATGGAGGTTAAGGCTTATCAATAGGTACTAGCCCTCAGATGAATAGTTCCTCCTTGCTGGAAAGTTTCAGAAGGGGCTGTGTGCACCTCACTCACTTGGCATTTAGCTTGACTGTAATGAGGAAAAAGAGCCTCTAATGTGTAGCTAATTATAATTTACTCAGCCCATGTCTTGGCTCTCCTTTCTTGTCCCTGCATTGTTGCCTTCTCTCCTTCGGTTTGGCGGTTCGTCAGATCCCAGTTTTTCCATGCTTTTGTCAAGAGCTGTTGGGATCTGTGTGTGGCTGCCCCATGTGGTGAACCAATGAACTGCAGGTGGCAGCCTAGGTACTGAAGAGCTTTCAGGACTGACTCTACCCACCCAGGCTGTCCACTAAATATTTCTGGGTAGGAAGAAGCATAAAGGGTGTCCTTTTCCACCTGATCCTTTCTTGAGCAGCAAGGTCTTCCTGAGTACTGCCCCATCCCTGTCTCCTAGTTTGCCCTTTGCTCCTGTCTTTTGTCTTGCTCCACAATTCCTTGCTCCCCATCAGATCTTTTCTGTAGCCCAACCCCGACAGATTGGGACTGTTGTGTTGTTTCTGGTGGATCTTTTATTTCAGTTTTGATTTTTATGTGTGATGCCTTGAGCTATGGAAAGGTGGCTAAGAAATCTAGAGGCAGCCCACCAGCTATGTGAGTCAACGGAGGAAGAGCTTGTTAGGTTTGCTGTCATAAACTGTAAAGAAATGGGAGAGGAGTTGGCACCTGGCAAGCTATAATACATGGTTGGCGATATATGTATTTTTAAATTTTTGATATGATAGGTTGCAAAATGTGGTAGGCCTGGTGGATGGCCTACAATGAGGTGACTGTTGGCTCTTTTGCAGCGGTAGTGGGGTCCTCTACAACTTGTGGTTAGAGATACAGGAGAAGGTATTGATACTAGAAACCACCATTTTGAACCAGGAGTATGCACTTGGCTTAGCTAAAAATGAGCAACAGCGGGGGGGGGGGGAACTGTCATAAAGTGTGGCATCAAACTGGATAAGGAACCACAAGGATCTACTGCAAGTGATCTATGTTGAAGTGAAAGTGAAAGGCCACTTTGTGGGATGAACTTCAAGACGTAAGATTAGTTTAACAAGGTCTACTTCTAAATTCTGATAAGGATGGCAAGTATAAAACACGCTGAGCTGTACAGACTTAGTGCCACCACCAAAACATAGGACTTTTCCTACGAAATCCCAATGTTCCTTCCTTATCTGTAAAAAGCTTGTACGTCAAACTAACAAGGTTTCTGTGACCCAGTCAAAACAACGAGCCATGCAATAAACATTCATTTATAGCTTGCTTCTAGCAAGTTGCTTGTAAGGCATTGCGAAGACCATGAAAGCAAGAAGTTCCTCTTGTCTCTCCTTGGGTTATAGGTAGGTATACCTATGAGGCTTTGTAAGAAGGACTGTGGGAGTAGAGTGCATGCTTAAAATGTTTTACTTTTTATATGTTAGCAGGCTGCCAGTGTGGTGTAGTGGTTAAGAGCAGTGGACTCGTAATCTGGTGAACCGGGTTCGATTCCCTGCTCCTCCACATGAAACTGCCGGGTGACCTTGGGCTAGTCACACTTCTCTCTGAAGTCTCTCAGCCTCACTCACCTCACAGAGTGTTTGTTGTGGGGGAGGAAGGGAAAAAGAGATTGTTAGCCGCTTTGAGACTCCTTAAAGGTAAAGGGTAAAGGGACCCCTGACCATTAGGTCCAGTCGTGGCCGACTCTGGGGTTGTGGCGCTCATCTCGCTTTATTGGCTGAGGGAGCCGGCATACAGCTTCCGGGTCATGTGGCCAGCATGACCAAGCCGCTTCTGGCGAACCAGAGCAGCACACGGAAATGCTGTTTACCTTCCTTCCGGGGTGGTACTTATTTATCTACTTGCACTTTGATGTGCTTTCGAACTGCTAGGTTTACAGGAGTAGGGACCGAGCATCGGGAGCTCACCCTGGTGTGGGGATTCGAACCGCCAACCTTCTGATCAGCAAGTCCTAGGCTCTGTGGTTTAACCCACAGCGCCACCCGCGTCGCTTGAGACTCCTTAGAGTAGTGATAAAGCGGGATATCAAATCCAAACTCTTCTTTTTCTTCTCTTGGAAAATAAACCAGTCCAAGCTAGCTGTGCCTCTTCCTCACTGCTTGTACGTGCAAGGCTTTTTGTTTACATTATCTGCAGCTTAAATGAGCACCATATTTGAATGTTTTTAATTAACTAGTGGAACAATGTATTTAATTTTTTTTTATCCTGTTCATACCTCTTGCTTTTGGTCATATTTCCATACACAAAGGAACAAAATGTATACTTTGAGCTTTAAAAAAAAGTTTATTGAGGCAAGGGAGAATAAATGCAAGCCTGTGTCTTGAGAGTCTGGTATAGGCATGCCCTCCTTAAAGGTCTGCAGCACCTCTTAAAGTAATGTAACTTCTCCTTTTTTCTGGTCCAAATCCATTTTCTTTCATATGGGTTATAACAAATGTAAACAGTTACGTTTCCTGTTCACTATACTCAGAATCTGCATAACAAATCTCCATTTTTAATAACCTTGGGTGGCTAAAGCCTTAGAGTGCCTTTGTATATATCATGCATATATTGAGGCCTGCATTTATTTCCATGAACTTTGCAGTTTCTTATGAGTTTCTCAAGAAATCTTCCATACAATCTGAGAGCTCTTAAACGTTTGTTGTGTCCTCAGCAATGCCCATGTGATTCTACATGTAACATGCAGGAAGAAGCAGGCTTCCACACGTGCATCATTTACTGGCTTTGGAACTAGTCAGATAAGAGTTCTCTCGTGGGATTTTATTCTTAGGGTATTTGGCTCCAGGCCTAGAGTATCTTACAGCTGTATATCCACTTTACCTTCTCTGGTTCCTGGTAAAGTTTCTTCTACTCAGCCCTAGTTGGTACTGTCAAGACAAGTCAATAGGGCTACAATTTAACGACAATTCATTGAAAGCACGCACATAGCGTCATGCAAGCAAATAAGCAGAATTCAAAATAGTAGTTTGCTGCGCTTCCAAAAGCACAGCATTCCACTGACAGAGGTGACCTGTCATCCTGTCGTAATGGATAGTCCAACACAGGTGTAAACCAACAGAGTCCAGTTCCAGAAGCCACCCAAAAGTTGCTTTCCCAGTGCTGCTTATACAGTTCTTAGCTTTCCAAACATGGTAACGATGGCAACCTTGACCGCCATCCCCAAGTATCTTGCATATATACTTGTGTGTTCTAGATAGTCCCTAGATGTTTGTGTGTTTCGTAGACCATAGAATTGTAGAGTTGGAAGGGACTCGAATGTCATCTTGTCTAACCCTCTGCAATGAAGGAATCTCAACACACAGTCCTCCAACCAATCTGAAACCTGCTTAGCTTTGCAAATGTGCTAGCAGTTTTATTTCTGCCCCACTAGTAAAGGTTTGTATCTTTACCTTCACATTCTCTTTCGTCCTTCACTTCCGCCTAACTGCAAGCTTGCTTTATTTCCTTTTATGATCCGCTATTGGGATATGTTTAGACCATTCTATACAATATGCGCCTAAGCTTCAGCTCATGACAATATATGTATTTGAGCTTGCAACATAATGCTAGTGATAATACAGTTGTACCTCGGCTCCTGAACGCCCTCCGAGTCGAACGTTTTGGCTCCCGAATGATCGAAAACCAGAAATGGGTGTTCTGGTTTTTGAACATTCTTTGGGAAGCTGAACATCTGACAGGGCTTCCAATTGGCTGCAGGAGCTTCCTACAGCCAATCAGAAGCCGTGATTTGGAAGTTGAACGGACTTCCGAAACGGATTCTGTTCAACTTCCAAGGTACGACTGTAATAGGATTTTTTAACCATTGGACAGAATGGTTTCCCATATGAGAAGGGTTGAGATGATTAAGCTAAGATCTTGAATGGGTAGCTGTCTTCACTGGTGTGCAATTAAGAGATGTACTGTTGCTTTTATCAGGAAAGCATTCTTTTCAATAGAATCTTAACCTTCACCCAGCATGGGATGCATTGCCAGTTTCCCATCTGTGGGAGCACACACACAAGTCACAACAATGCACACTAAGTTGTTCACTTGTAACTGTGTCCAGTCCCAAATCGCACATTCCTTTCTTTAAGAGGCTTTTTGAAATGTCTCTGGGTGTAGTGTGCAGGTTGCTTAGGGTGTTGTGACTTAGCCAGATCAGTTCCATAGCTGTGACTGCAGAGCAGGCGGCAAGAAAAGCAGAGGTTGCTGATGAATAACTCTACTTGGTTGGTTGTAATACATTAGCAGTCACAGTGCATGCCATCTCCTACACTGTGAGCAAAGACTTTCTTTTTTGCTCATGGTCAACGAAGGGTGGCAGTCAAAATATGTTGCCTATGGAAACTGAGCTCGTATGACAAGCATTGTGGAATAAATGATTGGGCATGAGTCTGCTTCCAAATTAAGTATTACGTTTACATGGTTTCAGTCTCCTCCACCAGGCCCCAAAATGTACCGTCCGCACCACAAATACACTGGAATACAGTATGCTTTAACTTTTGTGGTTGGGCTTTCACTAAATACCGTGTTATACCAAAGCTATGTACGCTTTGATCACTTGCCATACGGGGGGGGGGGACTTTTTCAACATGGTTCTCTCTCTCATCATTTTAATCACAGACTAAAGAGTGAATGTATTTGGTTAGTTTTCCTGGACCTTTTTAAAAATGCATCTACTGCCTATTTATATCTCATCTCTTTGTGGTTCTGCCAATGACGCTGGTTACTGGAGCTTTTATTTAAGGAGTGAGGGAATGAGCATGAGGAATATAAATAATGGGCCTTCTATAAAACTGTGTTACCTATGCAGTTGTATAAAACTTAATTCACTGTTGCATTTTTACTTCTCTGCAATTTAATCTTTGAATCATCAAAGATTAGAACATAAACTCAGAAGACTTCTTTAAAAAAAAAAATGGAGATACTTGTTTATGCATGATGGCCTGGTCTGCATGTCATGCTAAACCAAACCATGGCTAACATGAATGCATGTGCACACAGGCCACTGAAGAGGAGTTCATAGCCACTTCACTCTTCCTGGGTTGTTTTTCTGCCCCACTGCACTGAACTAAGCTTTACCTTGGCATAGTGTGTCATCTGAATCTAGGCTCCTGGTTTTATGGTTCCTGGTTTGTCTGCAAGAGCTAAATTATGAGCCTGGATTTAGACAACATGTTAAACCAAACCATGGCTTAGCTTACTGTGGCACATCAACAAAATAACTGGAGATAAATGACGCTGCCATGATCTGTTTGCCATTTATGTTTGTTAATTTATGCTGTGTTTGTGATATCCTATTATGTTCCATGGGACGCGGGTGGCGCTGTGGGTTAAACCACAGAGCCTAGGACTTGCCGATCAGAAGGTCGGCGGTTCGAATCCCCGCTACGGGGTGAGCACCCGTTGTTCGGTCCCTGCTCCTGCCCACCTAGCAGTTCGAAAGCACGTCAAAGTGCAAGTAGATAAATAGGTACCGCTCCGGCGGGAAGGTAAACGGCGTTTCCGTGCGCTGCTCTGGTTCGCCAGAAGCGGCTTAGTCATGCTGGCCACATGACCCGGAAGCTGTCTGCGGACAACCGCCGGCTCCATCGGCCAATAAAGCGAGATGAGCGCCGCAACCCCAGAGTCGGTCATGACTGGACCTAATGGTCAGGGGTCCCCTTACCTTTTTATTATGTTCCATAATGCTATTACAGTTATACCTCGGGTTACAGACGCTTCAGGTTGTGTTTTTTTGGGTTGTGGACCGCCAAAACCCAGAAGTACCAGAACTGATTACTTCCGGGTTTCGGCAGTCGCACATGCGCAGAAGCACTAAATTGCACTTTGTGCATGCGCAGAAGCACTGAATCACAACCCGTGCATGCGCAGAAGCACCACTGCAGTTTGCGGACGCTGCGGGTTGCGAACGTGCATCCTGCACAGATCACATTCGCAACCCGAGTGTCCACTGTATTATATGTTGCTTGTAAACTGCTTTGGGATTAATAGAATCATAGAATTGCAGAGCTGGAGGGGACCCCAACTTCCTGCATTGCAGGACTCTCATCTAAAGCATCCATGACACATGTCCACCCAACCTCTGCTTTAAAAAACTCCAAGGAAGCAGAGTTCACAACCTCCTGAGGGCGTCTGTTCCACTGTCCAACAGCTCTTACTGTCAGAAGGTTCTTCTGATGTTTGGTCACAATCTCTTTTCTTGTAACTTGAATCCATTGGTTCAGGTCTTGCCCTCTGGAGCAGGAGAAAACCAGCTTGCTCCATCTTCCATGTGACAGCCCTTGGGATATTTGAAGGTGGCTATCATATCTCCTCTCAGTCTCTTCTTTCCCAGGCTAAACATTCCCAACTCTCTCAACCGCTCTTCCTAGGGCTTGGCTTCCAGACCCTTTATAATTTTGGTTGATTCGTTCATAATAAAAAAAACCCAAACTCCTCTCCTAGAACCTGCACACTCTCATGTTTGCACTGTCATGCTTTTGCCATATTATTAGTGATAGGCATGGCAATATATAATCATTAATATAAATACAGTAACTCTACACAGGAGCCTATGATCAACATTTATTAAGAAATTGAAATTTAGAAAAAAAGACAGTTAAAATGGGTCAAAGACCGAGATCTATAAAAGTATGCCTGTTCTTCCTCATAATACTAAAATCTAGAGTCACCCAGTAGAGATGAATGAGTGATTCCAAACCAACCAAAAGAAGTACTTTTTCACACTTCCCACAATAAATTGATGGAACTTGCTGCTACATGATCTGATGATGACTATGGCTTTCGAATGAAATTAGATTTATGGAAACAGGTCTATCATTGGGAATTCTTCATGGCAAGTGGGAAATGTCACTTCCCACTTTTTAAGAGGAATGCCCTGCGGCCTCTTAGAGGGCAGGGGACTTTCAGGAAGGAGGAAGGGAGTATGTAGAAACCCCTAGCTGTTTTGAGGTGGCCCCTTTTGCTTCCAAACTGACCAGCACACAACCACCTGGGATCACTATTAGAGGGAATTATGGCTACATGAAAGCTCCAGGTTTAGAGGCAGCATATCTCTGATGACAATGAATGGGAAAAGGAGCAGACTGGGAGGAGAAGGTGTCAGAAGCTGAAGAGGTAACAGGAAGAGGCTGCGGCCAAGAACAGTTCAGACTCAGAGGCAGAAGCAGAAGCAGGGACTGGAGAGGAGTGGGGCCAGGAGACAGAGAGGCAGTCTTCCTATCCTGCTGCAACCAGCTCCCCTCCCCCTTGATCTCCTAGAACACGCAGATAACCGAAATGAGCAGAGCAAAGTGTGCAGATTCAGTTTGCGACTGCTTGGGAAGGACCCTGGAGAGGAGGATTCCTAGTGGGCACTGTTGAGGTGGAGACCTTCAGTTGTCACAACTGCTTCATTGGGGGCAAGACCTCCTAGAAAGAGTTGCTGAGACCACTAGGACTGAGCCGTGGTTTGTTTCCTTAAATAAAGAGATAATTTCATTGGCCTCGGGTGGTTTATTGTTTTATTGCTGACCTATGCCTGACTCCAGCTCTGACACAGCTAAGCTCTTCTTAAGAAATTATGGGAGAGTCAAGGCAGGGTGACAAATGTACAGGCAACAACCAATTGATGCGTGACCTCATGCATCGTGGTGACCTGGAAGTGACCAGAAAAGGGGGTGGAGTTGGCTTAGACATGCTCTGCTATCACGTGTGAGGACCCGGAAAACAGCCCTCACACAAATTGGGGGTTACCTGTAGTTACCTTTACTTAGACTTTGGGGGTGAAAAGTTAGGCTGAAAGCATTAGGATTTTTAATTCAGTTGTTTAGATAAATAATTCAGTTGTTTGCTTTTATAAATTGAAAATCAAAAGTTTGGATCAATTTGGAACGAGTCATATGGAATGTACACACAACATGATGAAAGATTTGAATTTTCCAGCCTAGATAATAAATACCATGTGCAGTCCTTTACCTCAATGATTTTCTAATTCAGTGTGTGTCTGGCAGACTTTTCCTTTCATTCTTGTTCCATGTTGAAAGTAGAGCAAGAAAACTGTTAAAAGTGTAATTAAATTTACAGAGATCAAGGAAAAACATAAACCAGCACAGTTTAACCCCTGGAAGTTTAGAGTGGGCTGGACTGACTTTATTTTTCACTTATAAACAGTGTGGGAAAGTGGCTGTTCTAAAAGAGCATATCAAATCTCATGGAAATGTTTCATCATCAGTGCTTCTTAAAAAGGAGCTTGCCTTCATAAATGACTTCACTCACCACCTAATAAAACGCTGCACATATCATTAAAGGTGCGGACGAATTCCCTATTGTCAGACAGAAAGAGGAAACCTCAACTCACCCTGTGCTAGCCTCAGGCAAACAACCCATTCTCTTTGTCAGTCCTCCAACCGCAGTATAGGATAATAACAATGACCTATGATGCACTGCTGTTGTATGGCTTACTGAGAGAATCTGTGTGGAGGTGTTTTTGGTGAGCTACAGCACTTCCAAGTGCACTTATATACCGTACTTTTTGCTCTATAAGACTCACTTTTCCCCTCCTAAAAAGTAAGGGGAAATGTGTGTGCGTCTTATGGAGCGAATGCAGGCTGCGCAGCTATCACAAAAGCCAGAACAGAAAGAGGGATTGCGGCTTTCACTGTGCAGCGATCCCTCTTGCTGTTCTGGCTTCTGAAATTCAGATTTTTTTTTCTCTTGTTTTCCTCCTCCAAAAACTAGGTGCGTCTTGTGGTCTGGTGCATCTTATAGAGCGAAAAATACGGTAACTTTCAAGCCTGATACAGGTTAGGACCAGAATACCTGAAAGACTATTTCCTCCTAGATGATGCTGCCTGGACTCAAAAGTTATTAAGAGAGGCACTTCTTCACCCTACACCTAAGTTATAGTAGGTAGGGACATGGGAGAGCATCATATCATGGGAGACCCATACTTCCTCCCTGTTTGATGGTATATAACATTTTTATTTAGGCTGGTCTTTGTCCCAGAAGCTGGATATTTGTTTTCTGGTGGTTTACTTCATTTTTATAGGTTGACTGATTTGTGGTGCTTTTTATCTGCATCTTTTATTGTAATAGTGTGTAGGCATTATTATTTTTATTATTTTTACTTTTGTTTCATAAGACACTTTGAGTGGTTCAGTTTGTGAACTGGAAAGAGAGGACAGAAACATTCCTAAAATAATAATAACGTAATGATAAAACAATTATAGTAGTAAAAATTAAAAACAGTAGCAAACTCTATGTGCTCAAAGAATATGGAAAGAATATGGTTACTCAGCAGTGTATAAGCTGTGGCTGGTGTGTGCCTTTTTCTAGCAGATTCTTAGGACTGTGGCTAGCCCAGGTTGCATCCATCTCATTAGGCTGGAGGCTTGGGAACACATGTTCATTATAATATTTACATTATTGGCAGGGCCAAATTAAAGGCTGCACTGTGTTCTCAGGCCTCACACATCGCTGACAATCAGGCATGCTCTCTGTTCCGCTGGAATAAAGGCAAAGATGAGTCTGCCTTCACAGACAAGGCTTTTCTGAATCATCCTACTCCATCCTAAAGAGGGGGCCTTCTCTGCTGCTGTCATCCATCCACACGCCCTTCACTTATGCATGTACCCTACACAGGCAGATTGCTTCCTATAAAGTAATTTTAATTTAGAACTGATCTTTTTATCATATCGGAAGCACTCAAAACTTTGCCTTCACACAATAACACTGTAAAAGAAGAAATCAAAGCCTAAACATGTAAATATATACAAATGGCCTTTAAATAATCAACACAGATGCAATACTTTAAAATTACATGATTGCATGACAGCTCTATCGTCTGTCAAGTCAAATGCTCAATCAGCCATCACTCTTGCCAGAAACACCTTATGCTTTGGGGATACTGCTCACCTTTTTATGTTATATTTAAGCACCTCACATACATTCATATTTGTTTCACCTGTGCTTTATTTTTAAAAACCTGGCAGGTTTTTGGAACTGATTTGGGCATTGTGAGGGAAGTGTCTTGGTGGTATCCAGTGCTTTTTTCCGGGAAGGGGGAGGTGGTAGTACCCAGGGGTACGCATACCCCTAAACATTTTGTGAATCTTTGTACTTTTGCCCATTTACTGTATTTATTTTTCCTGATTTGAACTATAAAATGGTGGTTTTCTTGAGTCAAAATGAGAGTACCCCTAAACATTTTTTTAAAAAGAAAAAAAGCACTGGTGGCATCTTTGGAAGCAGCATAGCTAGCTGCTTGGGTGCCAAGGGAGACGTGTGCCCTTTGCCCAGGGGTGGGGCAAGCCAGGGCAGGGCACACCAAGCAGAGCCTCTATGGAGTCTGCCCACCACCTCCCCCTCAGCTGTAGGGTAGCTGCAGGTGGATGCAAGCCCCACATTGCCATTTTGGGCAGCACGGAGCCTGCAGGCTCCCGAGCCACCGCGCCACTCCCAGGAGAGACACTTGGCTTGGGAGCACTGCAGGCCCGTGGTAAGTGCCGCCCCCCACAGTGTGGCGCCCAGTATGCCCCCCACCCCCCAGCTACACCTACTATCTCCAAACTTACAGAACTGTTATTTTCATGTGTTGACCATGGGGAAAGAAGGCTATATTTGTATGGAATGTTATTGTTACACTTCCAAGCTATCTCCACAGCTCTAACAAATGATTCCTCTGTCTTCACCATAAGTCTGTTTATAATTGTAAGTATTTCTTTAAAATGCATAATAGGTTTCAGTGCACTCTGGCACTCGTCACGGTCCTCGGTTGTGCCAGAAGTGGTTTGGTCATGCTGGCCACATGACCCAGAAAGCTGTCTGTGGACAAACGCTGGCTTCTGAAAGCAAGATGAGCGCCATGCCCCATACTCGCCTTTGACTGGACTTATCTGTCCAGGGGTCCTTTACCTTTTTACTTATTCCACACACAAACAATATAATTTCACAATGGATATAATACTCGTGTCCTATTTGATCTTAGGTGCAGGTATCAGCAACAGAACTTCATCGCAGAGTAATTATTTTTCCTGGGAAGATTCAATTTTCAATACCTCCATACATGCTGCAATTCGACATGGAAAATGGAAACTACTAACAGGCTATCCAGGTAAATTTTTATGGGATTCCTCCCTTTCACATGTTCCAGATAATGGCACTTCCTTGTATTTGCTGTATTAAATTTGTGAATACTGGTTTTGGTAGCAATTGATGCTCCAGAGATGTAAGAAAGAACTGACTAATAATGATCATAAGAACTCCCTGCCCTTAAAGTAAGGTTGGTTGGTTGGTTGGTTGGTTGGTTGGTTTGTTAAATGTGTATGGCCACCCATCAATAGATATTTCCTCCTGGGCAGCTTACAGAGGTGGGAAAGATGACCAGTTTAGGCTGTTCTGATTGAAAAAGTAACTTATTTATTTAAAGTGTGCTAACATTCCCACATGCACTATCTGTTTTGACATAGTATGAAGCATTGTATTCAAATTTGTCACTTGAAGCAGCAAGAGGCACACCTGCTAGAAAGCTCACTGGTTGGTAGGCATCCCAGCTTTCCAGTTGAGGCATCCAACTGGTACTATAATTTCCTATATGTCAGTCAGTGTTCTTGCAGAGTAATCTCTTACCTTGTTTCTAGGATGGCACTGTTTGTCCACTTGTGTATGTCTTGTTGCTCAAAGTTCACCCGCTGATCATTGAATGTTCATTATAAAACATATGTAAAGGTGCAATAAGAGAAAGGAGTTGAAGGCGGTGGTGTCAGAACCAAGAAAAGAGCAACAAACCTCAGCCAAATAGCTCTATTGCAGACTGAGCTTCATACCGTTTATATTAGGAACTCTTCTTCCTACTAACATCTAATTCATCTTCTGGGTATTCTGTTGGTCAGCTGGCAAATCTCCATATCACAAGTTCGATTCCACTTCTCTGAAATTGAACAAGTCAGATCTGTGAACAAGCTGGAAACAAATTAAGAGGCTAATGCTGTCCCAACTAACCTCTAATCTGCTCTGTTCCTGCTTATAGGTTGCTCCCACTGGTTTCCACCGCCGTCTTTATTTAATGAGTCAGAGGCTCTGTCTTCAGACCCTCCAACAAAGAAACTTTGGCTCTATGACATTGTTAATGATCCTGAGGAACGAAGTGACTTGTCAGAAGAATATCCTGACATTGTGAGAAAGCTCCTTTTGCGTCTCCGGCACTATAACGATAACTCTGTTCCCGTGTTCTACCCAAAAAATGACCCTCATTGTGACCCAGGAACCAAGAAAGCCTGGGGGCCTTGGATGTAGGAAACTGCTCAGCAGCCTGAGAAAGGTATGTCAAGGGTAGTCATAGAGCTGATTCCCACGTTATATTTGTGTACATAAAATATCCTTGTGTACACCACGGCAAAGTGTACAAAAATGTTCCATGGGAATCAGCCCATAGACTCAGGGACACAGACATTTCTGACTCGTTTATTTTACCTCTTCAGCTTTCACTTCAGTCCATTGGATCCAGTTCTTCTTACTCAAAAGCTGTTTGAAGGATCCAGTTTCACCATCGGTTGTGCTTGAAGTACTATAGAATCATAAATCTGCCATTTGGATGTTGGTGGGTTTTTTGCCGTCCATGACATGTCTCTGAAGCAGAGGGTAAAATGATGCCGCCTTCCCAAAGTTCCTGGCCAGCTGGGAAACATTATTTCAGTTGGAAAGCTCTGAGTCATGGCGGGGCGGGGGGGGCAGGGCCTTCTAAATTCTTTCGCATCTGAAGTCAAAGGCTTGATTTCATACTTGCCGGGAGCCAGCTTTTATCGGAGGCTGACAGAGTTGTAAAGAAAAGGAGAAAGAAGCCAATTGTAGAGTTCCTTTTCTCTCTCCCCACCTTTACCTCGCGAGTCACTCTAACAGGAGCATCCTGGAATCTCCATGAACAGAACCTCTTAGCAGCTACACACCAAGGTCCTAGCGATAGCCAAACATGTCAGCTCTACACCCAAAATGTCTTATTTCCACAACATGAATATTGTGATCAATATGAATACTGTGTCCAAAGTGGTGGACAGGAGATGTATACCTGACCTCCCAGCAGGTGAGTTGCTGCTGCTTATCAGGAGGGAGAAGGGCAAGATATTGTGGAGGGTGGCACAGTGCATATGACACTGGCAGGAGCACCGAATTGACTCTGCTGGCACCTTTGAGAGCCAGTGTGGTATAGTGGTTAAGAGCGGTAGACTCGTAATCTGGTGAACCGGGTTCGCGTCTCCGCTCCTCCACATGCAGCTGCTGGGTGACCTTGGGCTGGTCACACTTCTTTGAAGTCTCTCAGCCCCACTCACATCACAGAGTGTTTGTTGTGGGGGAGGAAGCCGCTTTGAGACTCCTTTGGGTAGTGATAAAGCGGGATATCAAATCCAAACTCCTCTTCTTCTTTGTACTGCACCAACCTTGCCACCACTGTGAACCTTCCAATAAGCATCAGTGGCTCACCAGCCAGGAGGTGAGGTAGCTGCCTCCACCCCACCATTCCATCTGCTACCGCCGTATTATACGTATTTACTCAGAACTCTTTGGGCTTTTTTCCCCCCCACAAAATCCCCTCACCAAAGGCTCCTGATTAAACTTAGTAGTTATGGGGTGAGAGGAAAGGTTCTCTTATGGCTCAGTAACCAAATAACAGAAAACTGGGAGCAATAATATATGGACAATTCTCACAGTGGAAGTGGGGTTTCTCAAAGATCTGTGATGATACCTGTTATGCACTGAAGTTCTCACCCTGGGCCAGCAAGGGGATACTGTAGATAGTTATGCAAATGAAGGATCGAAAGTGACGTTCAGTGATTGGCTAGTTACAGAAAATGGTTACTGTTGCATTCTAGTGGAGCTCTATGTAAGCAGGCTGACTGAGCTCCTCAGTTCAGTTCTGTTCCAGCTTTCAAATAAAGAGCTGCTTTGGAAGAATCGCTGTGTCGTCTGTTATGTTCGCCCACAACTTAACAATACCAGTGTTTTTAATATGTCTGTAAATAATGTGGAGGTCGGTGTGAGCAGAGAGGCAGCCAAGTTTGCTGATGACACTGTTTTGTTGAGGGTAGTAAAACCAAAAAGGGACTGTGAAGAGTTTCGGTGAGAACTCCACAAAGTGGGTGAAAACGTAATAGCGGTTTATAGAATTCTGCACGAGGTGGAAAAAGTAGATAGGGAAAAATGTTTTGGGAGTATCTTAATCTGTGTACTGTGTTCTTTTTAAATAAAGGGATGGTCAGATGCCATCACAGGATGGTGGTCAGAGTCTCAGTTGGTCATTTTATTAGAGGGCTCTAATAAGTTTGAGCAAGTTGAATTTACTAAGCAAGTTTCAAAACATCTAAATATTGTAATTTCCTTTAGACAATCTTCTTGCTTTCTGGGTTCCCCCCTCTTTCGATGATCTCATGCATTTTACACTCTGAAACTTTTCATTTGTGACCAGTGGACCACAAATAAATTATATTTGTCCGATTGTTTCTTCCTGGGCCCAATTCACAGTGCTTCCTCTGACATTACCAGAGCAAGGTAAAGTGAGGGGGAGAATGGGCTGAGGAGATTCTATGGCGGAGAAGCTACCACCTCCTAGGATCCACCACTCAACTCTGGCCAGGATGGAAAGTGCTGTGGTGGTCCTTTTCTATGTTATTCCCTCACACCAAATGTATTGTTCAGAAAATGGGTGTAAAGGGGGTGGGGGGCTTGATGCCATTTTTGCTTCAATGTATACTGTTTAGGTTGACAAATTGTTCAACTCTACCAAGGAAAATCCTCTATTGGACGAGCTGCATGTTCCAAGTCCAGTTTAAAGTTTAAAGATAAAAGTTTAAAGATAAAAGAACCATAAAAAGCCCCTTTCAAGACAAGGGCCTTGAAGTTGCTCATCAACAGGTTGCATTTGGACAGCAGGCTGCAGGTCACCTGCTCTGGTTTAAAAAAAAAAATTCTGTTAAAATTGTGGTAATTTTAAGGGTGCAAATTATATGCAAACTTGTGTCTTCTTTTATTTCATTTTGGCAATGTGTAAGCAGTCACCCTGGAAGAGCTAAGCACTGGATTCATAAGAAACGAATTTGAAGAAGAGGTGTTTTGTTTTGGTAAGTGCCAAATTGATGATGCTAAACACATAAGTATACACAGGATTTCAGTTCTATTAAACTGTGTATTGCATATCTAAACACAACCTATACTGTACGTTAAGTAAAAGATTTATTGCGTTAGGTTTTCCAAGCTATAAATAAATCGTGAGATCACATGGAGGTACTGGGCTTCATCTTCTCTCATCCTTCATCACTAAGGCTGCAATCCCATGCATGCTTACTCAGCAGGTAGGTTCGACTGGAATTTACTCCTGTGTGATCACAAATCTTGACCTATGTGTATTACAGATGCACCAGGTTTGCTAATTATATTGGTCACCTCATAGATGAATTTCTGCTTCAGGGCAGGAATTGTGTTTGGGAACATTGGAAGGGCTGATACTAAACCTCTTGCTTGTGTTGTAATAATAATAATAGTAGTAATAGTAATAATAATAATTATTTATTATTTATACCCTGCCCATCTGGCTGGGTTTCCCCAGCCACTCTGAGCGGCTTCCAACAAAATATTAAAATACATTAGTCCAAACATTAAAACTTTCCCTAAACAGGGCTGTCTTCAGATGCCTTCTAAAAGTCTCGTAGTTATTGTTCTCTTTGACATCTGGTGAGAGGGCGTTCCACAGGGCAGGTGCCACTACCGAGAAGGCCCTCTGCCTGGTTCCCTGTAACTTGGCTTCTCGCAGTGAGGGAACCGCCAGAAGGCTCTCGGCACTGGACCTCAGTGTCCGGGTTGAACGATGGGGGTTGAGACGCTCCTTCAGATGTACTGGACCGAGACCATTTAGGGCTTGAAAGGTCAGCACCAACACTTTGAATTGTGCTTGGAAACATACCGTGAGCCAATGTAGGTCTTTTAAGACCAGTGTTATGTGGTCTCAGCAGCCGCTCCCAGTCTAGCTGCCGCATTCTGGATTAGTTGTAGTTTTCAGGTCACCTTCAAAGGTAGCCCCACATAGAGAGATAACCAGAGCATGCACCGCTCTGGTGAAACAGTCCGCGGGCAGGTAGGATCTCAGCCTGCATACCAGATAGAGCTGGTAGACAGTTGCCCTGGACACAGAATTGACCTGCACCTCCATGGATAGCTGTGAGTCCAAAATGACTCCCAGGCTGCGCACCTGGTCCTTCATGGGCACAGTTACCTGCACAGTTACCCCATTCAGGACCACGGAGTCCTCTACCCCCACCTGTCTCCTGTCCCCCAAAAACAGTACTTCTGTCTTGTCAGGATTCAACCTCAATCTGTTAGCCCCATCCATCCTCCAACCCCCTCCAGACACTCACACAGGCTGAACATCTGCTGCAATCATAAAAAAGATAACCTTCCCAGCTGCTAGTTACCCTTCGTTCTGTCTGGGCTCTGTGATAAAGAAAGCTGCTGTGTTTTGTCTGAAGAGCTATAGTTAAAATAAGTACAGTCAAAGAGAAATTCTAGATTTAGATGTACAGATCATACTCTTCAGAAACCACAGCAAGCTATACTAGCAAAGCCACGGCTTACTATGGACAAACGCTGGCATCCAAGGCAATGAAGAAAATATAGGTTTGACTGCATAGTGCCTTTCATTCTTAAAATATCTGAGGGCTCCTTATAAAGTTATGAGCTATACTACAGTCTGCTGCACAATACACTAAATCGACATGTTGGAGCTGGGCACATATTTCATCTTTGGCATACATTGTTTTATTTATGTCTTCAGATTTAGCAAACAGCTCTGAGAATCAGCATAACTACAAGGACTTTTAATCTTTTTAAAAACAGATAATATTCTATGGAAAACTTAAAGCTCTGCCAATCAAACTGAACATATAAACAGAATGGGTTAGTACTAGATGACTATGATTCTGTTATTTATACAGCACTTCAGGGGAGTAGGAGGACTAAGAACGTCACATAGATCCTTTTTTTAAAAAAACCGCTTCAAAATTTAGTAAAGAAAGCCTCCAGAATGTCAGCAGATTCCCTTTCTTCAGTGTTCAACTGGTGGGTGCTTATTTCTTGAAGGAGTTCAAGACCCAGTTTATCAGCAGACATCATAGATTGGTAGGTTTCTTTACAAGACACACACACCCCTCTGGCCTGCTACCAAGGCCTATCTTACATAGCAGCAGTCAGTTATTTACTGTCCTTCCACTCTCCCCCTGTCTCTTGTGGTGAGAGGCTTCTAATCTAGTTATCCCTGTTCCACTTGCACACGTTCCCCCATATCTTTTGTCCCAGTTCTCTCTCCCTCCTCAAACAAGCTCCCTTACTCTCACTCTCCTGTCTGCTTCCTCCACCCTTGACACACTGCTTGTGGTGTTTCAAACCATCCGACATCCCTTGGCTCTCAGCCTACTTAGTGATGGGACACTGAGGGGCTACAAAAGTCTTCACCCTGGTCTTTTGCTTCTGGCCCAGTCTTTGCCTGTTCCAGCTGAGCTATAAAGAGGCCATCATGGCAGTCAGCCATGCTCGTCTCCTAACCCACCCACCCCATAATAAGATAGGTGTGGGAGACTGCAGCTCCTGGGCTCCCCTGCTGCCTTTCTATCTTTTTCCACAATGGCTTCCTTTGATTTAACTTTGTTAAGTCCTTGCCAACTAACAAGTGGTACCTTGGTTTACAAACTCAATCTGTTCCGGAAGTCCGTTCTTAAACTGAAACCGTTCTTAAACCGAGGTGCACTTTCCCTAATGAGGCCTCCCACTTTTGCTAAGTTCGTAAATTGAATCGTTCGTAAACAGGACTGTTCTTAAACCGAGGTACCACTGTATTCTTCTAGGTACAAAACTGCACACTTAATTTGGTATAATACACATAATTCATCCTATTCCTCAAGCTTGGTTTTTCAACTAAACTTTTAAATCCTGTGTACACTCGCTTGTGAGTAAACCCCATGAAACTCGCTGGACTTACTTTTGTGTAAATATGCATAGGATTGCACTGCAAATATTTAAAAGTTCAGAGTGTTCTGATTCCTCTTGCAATTGTTTTACTTAGTTGTGATTCCCCCCCCCCCTTTGACAGGGTGGATATTTTGTGTTTAGGAATTGATTACTCAGTCCATATGGTTCCATTCCTTGTCAGTTTCAAATGTTTTCCTACAGGTATAGGGCGGTATATAAATTCTAACAACAACAACTCTTTTATCCCAATTTTGCAGTTTTTTACAAGCACAGAATCCCCCCACAGATGTACCATTCCCTGTTTATCTGTTTGCTTTGAAACACAAAACCCCCAATAAAAACTAATTCTTAAAAAATGCAAAGAACCCCCACAATTAAGTTGTATAAACATTTCCTTGAAGTACGCATTTTGTACATAATATTTCCCTAAAATACACATTTTTCTATGCCTTTCAATACATTTCCCTTATGAAACACACACAAGGAAGTTTGCAATCTGTTCCATAGTTGACCTGCATATACTTCTTTCTTCTTTGGCGATCACTCGTAGCCAAGTAAGATTGTCTTCCATAAACACGGTTTTAACAATGAGTCCGTAAGTCACTGTGGAGGCCAATTCTGGATCCACACGTCCTTCCACAGTGGGGACATTGGTTTCCGGATGGGAGTTGATCACGGTGTGGATTTGCCAAGCGGGCCTTCCTCTTAGCACGACCTTGCGTCCTGAGTTCAAGTGTCTTCAAAGCCCATGACACCTTTGGTAAAGGCTGTTCTCCAACTAGAGCGCTCGCAGGCCAGTGTTTCCCAGTTGTCAGTGTTTATACTACATTTTTAAAGCTTTGCCTTGAGACAGTCTTTAAACCTCTTTTGTTGACCACCAGCGTTACGCTGTCAATTTTTAAGTTCGAAATAGAGTAGTTGCTTTGGAAGACGATGATCCAGTGAGTGGGTGACCTGCATATAATGCTTGGACTGGTGGATCAGATTGGTCCCCTTCAAAATGCAGATGGAACACATTTTTCTCTATTTGGGAGTCAACTGGTTAATTAAATAGATGATAGCTTTCTTTCATTTATTTTCACTGATACTTTAACCTTATTTATTATTGACTTTGAAACACATTTCAATACAATCCATGTTAAAAACAACTCCCACCAGCAAATGAACTGGCTCAAACTATCCCCTTGGGAGCCTGTCTTCAACCCTCACAACTTCAGACCTGAATGAGAAATTACCGTACATTTGACCTCCATCTCTCCCCATCCCACTTCAGTCTTGGCTGCCTTCGAAACAATCTTGTAAGGCATCATTTAATCCATTATTCTCAGCATGTGAT